GAGAGTCAATCATCAGTCACCTCTCTTTGTTTCTTCTAGCTCCAGGAATTTTCTTGGTAGTACTTGAAGCAGGAGAATAAATTCCTGATTAAGACAGTCTCCTGGAAGTTAGAGAACAGAAATGCTTCCTAATCTCTGATCTTTATGAGTGCCTAAAAGCTGTGTCTCCCAGTGCATCTGAAGTGCACTGTCATGTCATGTCTGAGATTTTCAGTGTATGATAGATCTCACAAGGGGCTCTCACAGGCCTTTGAAGAAGCTGAGCGGGGGAATTTGATTGGTTTCACATGTTCATGCAAAATCTCATGGTAAGTAGAACTTGAGGTTATGAGATATTGCACTGTACATATTATGGAACGCTGTAAATAATGTATCTGAACATTTTTTTTGCCTGTGACTTTTCAATTTGGGATTGAATTTTCTTTCTGGCAAGTTCTGCTGACCACCACTTTTTTACATGCACCTCATCTAATCTTCAGTGATCTTTTTCTCCTGGAGGAGCAGTGCTGTGTGTTACACCTCTAAATGACTGTGAGACTTCCCTGCTTGCCAAAATAGTTTCAAATTCACGTATGATTGAACAAGCACAGACAAATAAGATGCCTTGTTACCTTGTGTCATTTTCTTTAGGGAAGTAAACTTAAAAAAAAAAGAAGAAGAAAAAAAAAAAGCCCAAAACACAGGTTGAAAAATTAAGCTCAAAGAAATTTTGAAATGCATGGATGTAAGTTGTTCAAATGATGCCAGAATTTGACCTGAACTGGCCCCTTTTCTTGCTGTTGGACATGGTGAAAGGAAGTGCATACAGATTTGTGCGCTTCAGTTTGTTATCTGTGTAACAGCAAGGTCCACTCAGTCTTCTCTCAGAGGCTTCAAATTATATTTCAAATATCATAGCACTCATATTTTCTGTGAATACATAGACGTACAAGGCTAGTGTCTTTCACATGGAAGAGCTAGGTCAGCCTGGAGTCCAAGGTATTTGACTAATTCCCGAAATACATGGATTTTGCCCAGTGCTGCTGAGGAGGATGCTGCTAGCTGAGTACCCAGTCTTGCCTGTACTCTGGTGAGTCTAGAGACAGGTCTTCTGCTTGGAAAATTTCTGGAGCAGATCTAAGCACCTGAAAACAAGAGTATAAAATCCTGGGTATGAAAGGATCTTCAAGATCATCTAGTTCCAGCCTTCCTGCAGTTGACAGAAGCACCTGTAACTAGACCAGGTTGCTCCAAGCTCCATTCAGACTGGCCTTGAACTCTCACAGGGGTAGGGTGTCCACAGCCTCTTTGGGCAACCTCTTCCAGTGCCTCAACACCCTCACAGTAAAGAATTTTTTCCTGATATCTGAATCTACTCTCTCTCAGTTTGAAGCCACCCCCCCTTGTTCTATTACTACAGATCTTCTAAAATGTCCCTTTCTGTGGTTTTTGTAGGCTCCCTTCAGGTACTGGAAGGCTGTGATTAAGTCACCCCAAAGCCTTCTCTTTTCCAGACTGAACAACCACAATTGTGTTAGCCTTTCCTTGCAGGAGAGGTGCTCTAGCCATCTAACCATCTTGGTGGCCTCCTCTGGACTCAGTGCAACAGGTCAGTGTCCTCCCCTTGCTGGGGACGCCAGAGCTGGATGCAGCACTGCAGGTGGGGTGTCACCAGAGCAGAGGGACAGAATCACTTCCCTTGCCCTGCTGGCCATGCTGCTTTTGATGCAGCCCAGGACACAGTTGGCTTTCTGTGCTGTAAGTGCACATGGCCAGGTCGTGTCCAGCCTCTCATCTATCAGCGCCCTCAAGTTTAAAAATGCGGGAGATGGATGGTGGGTGCTGCTGCCTAGTGTCTGTTCCCAAAAAACCTCTCTTGTAGAAAAGCAAGTTGGGTAAACGTTCAGGGAGCACAGTCAGATCCACACACCACACTCACTGCACCTGTCTCAGCGAGAGAGGCAAGAAAGGCTCTTTTTGCAAGGTTTTATTCCAGCGAGGTCACATGAAACTGAAGGAAACCCAGCAAGAAAGGGAACCACCACCTGCTTTGGGCAGCCTAAGGAGGGGAAGGGCTGGGGGGCGGAGGTAAGGGCTGGGCAGGGCACAGCCAGCAGGGGTATCCAGGGATAGGGAACAGGGAAAGGAAAAACCAGAGGAAGTCCACGTGGGAGTCTGTCTTTTCCCCTCAGGAGGACTATTCCATGGTAGTCACTGGCGTGGACAAGGCAGAGGACTTGGGAATTGGCTGAGAGCAGAGAGTTCATGGGATGGTACGCAAGTTCTCAGCAGGGCTGTTCTCAGTCCCTTCATCCCCAGCCTGTATGGACAATGGGGGGTTACCCCAGCTCAGGTGTAGTATCTTGCGCTTATTAAACCTCATGAGATTCCCACGGGCCCACATGTCCTAGAAGTGGGCAAACTTGCCTGTCATTGTAACTGCACATTCTCTCATCTGGCCATGGAAGTATTATTCCATGGATTCCCTGCAGAGGCTGGAGCTGGAAACTGCAGTGAAACAGTGAGCTGGAAACAAAGGTATAGGTCTGTTAAAAACCAGTGCTAGTTAGCTTGAGTAAACTTCAAAAATCTCTCGCACACCCCCACCAGTATCAGACATGTTATTTAGTTAGTGGTGAGAATGCGATGATGTTTTCTAAAATGTCATTTAGTGGGAAAAAATACCATGTAGTGTTCTTTATGTGAATCTGTTTTTAAAACAAAACTTGCTGTTCATTAGTTTGTAGAGTACTCTGTAGATAAGAGACATATTTTCAAATGCCAGCAGACCTTAATCAAGCTTAGAGCTTTCGGTTGTTATTTAGGGCCATTGATTCACTGGCAGAAAAGCGCTGTGGTATTTTGCACACAAACCAATTGAGAACCAAGCCCAGGGCTGAGCATCAGAGTGTTGGTACACTCAGAGTGAAGCTGTAGTTGAACAAGTATTTTGTCAGAGGACAGTTGGTTTCAACATCTCTGCTTCATGCTGTTCCTCAAGTTGTGGTGCTGCAGTTCTTACTGCAGCTGTTTGATCCGCTGAACTAAAAACGCCCTGGTAGAGTTGGGGGGGGGGGGGGGGGGGGGGGGGACAGGGAAAGTGCTTTTTTTTTTTAAACTGAGCCTGCTTTCCAGTGTGGTTTACTGTCTAACTCAACAAGTAGTTCAGCCAATCTACCAGAGACAGGACAGCACAAAAAGAGGTACTGAGTTTACTTAACTCCACAAAACGGACAGACTTTCTGGAGTGAGGTGTCTGTGGGCTGGTGTGTCCCATTCAGGTTGCAGGTCTCAAGGCAGGGCTTTCCTTCTGCTGTACTGCTTTAGATCTGTCTGCACCACTCGTAAATTGTGGAAATAACTGAAACAGAAGAGCAGTTCAGCTTCACCTGCTATTTCAGTTTACTCTGACATCCAGGTTTCCTTGACTTGACTCCTTGGAAGGCAGGAGGGTCCTAGTTTTAAAATTACATTGTGCCTTGTAGCATAACTACTGGAGTGCTTATGTTGCCTGTGCAGACTTCTTGCATGTTTTTGAATAGTTTGTTTTAATGAACCTCTTGGACTGTGTGCAGTGTGTATTTTTTTGTTTTAATGAGGTATTTGCCTCACAGCTCAGGAGTTGTGTCTGTAGGTGTTGCCTGCTCAAGCTATGGGAATCTGTTGGATTTCATGGGGATTCTGCTCCAGAGGCCGTGCAGAAGCCAGGATTTTGGCCACTCTGCTTTTTTTCTTGCCCAGCCTGCAGCTGTGATGTCGGGTTTGCTGGCTCACCATGAGCAGTGGACAGCAAGAAGGCACAAATTCCTGAAATCCCTTTTGCATGGTGGGAGATATGCCAGGGGACAGAATTACACTCACTTGCTTCATACTGCCCAGGCAAATGCTCTTTTAAAGAAATGTATTTTAAGCAAAGATAGAAAGCAAAATGGCTTTCTAGAAATGGGAATGCAGAGCGCTAATCCGACTGCAGTAGACTTTTCTATTTGGGGAAGGGGGAGGCTTGCCATTGCCATCACATTTGTGTGCTGAAATATGCTGTCAGCCAGATGCCAGCCAGCTTTTCTCCAGCCTCATCTGACCATAGGGCAGGAGCCAGACTTGTATGTCCACTCCTCAGAGCGGGACTGCAAATGTATTCTATGAATAAGTTGTTCAGGATTGCTCTCTATTTAATAAAATAAAACACTGATCACATGTACTGGGATATAGCTCAAATGGAGTTAGCCCAAAATGCTGTAGTAAAGAGGCAGCACTTAGAGTGCTTCAGTATTAGTGGGATGGCAGTGAGCATAAGCAGAACAAGCACTAGTCATACATGCAGTCTTGTGTAATGGCCTCAGAGTACCACTTAAGTCCAATCACAGCACTCTGCCAGCTTCAGGGAGAACTTTGGATTTTTATGATTCCGTCATCGCTATTGTTAAACTAAAACTTGGAAACCATTCAGCAAGGGATTGAAAACGAAATTTCATGGGTTTGTCACACAGATACTGGCTGACTGATCTTCTAACCCTGGCATATTTATAAATATATGTGGTTACGTGATAGAACAACATGTATGGCTATAGTTGAATATTAAGATTGTGACTGCTCTCCTACTCTTTGCAGCAGTAAAGTCTTAGAAATATAGAGAGTTCCTAAAATCTGCCTAAAAACTGTCTTGATGTAGTCGATGTGAACTAGACAGAACTACTGACTAAATTGAGCAAGGTTTTTGCTATTGCAGAAACTGTTCTCTGGCTTGAGCCACCTCAAGAACCGTACTGAAACAGGCTGGTTTTATGTTCCACTGGGGGAATTGCTGGTGGCTTGTTCTGGTTTTCTTAATGGCAGTAGAGAAGAGGTGACATTTGTGCCTCTTCAGTTTGCTGCTTTTATTACTTCAGCCTTTATTAGAGACTGCAGAGACACTTTTTTTTTTTCCCCAGACAGTTCTTGAGAAAGTGTTCTGTGTTATGCCAATAATTTTTAATTTTCTTCCATCTCTTTTTACTTCTTGCAGTTCTTGTGTGGTTGGTGAAAATAAGTCTGCGCTGAAGGAATGCAAGAAGAGCAACAGCCTGAGGTAGGGCTTGGAAATAAAGTTTGTATCTCAGTACAATTGCAGGGAAGGTCAAGACTGAATCAGCCAGGTTCTTCCCCTTATTTTTGGGCAAGTTCTCCAAAGTCTTACTACTGAGAATGCCAGTGTGAGACCCCTTTTAAAATGGAGATGGAGAGCTGAGTGCTATTGTTCTTGATACATTTACGTTCTTTTCAGATTCTCTTTCCCTCCAGTTGCAAAAGCTTAAAATGGGTCTTTTCTATTATTCTACTTGCAAGTGAGGAATTGCATGAAATCGCCTAACCTATGAGATTAAACCTTTAGGAGGAAAAAGGTTTTGTGATTAAATTACAGAAATTGATTACATACAAATAATCTCATTGTACATGGCTGAAGTTCCTTGCCAAATTAAACTGAGATGCTTTTTCTATCCTTTCTGTTCCTTTTCTTCTTTCATATCCATGTATCTCAAAACTTTTTTCTGGTATAACAGGTGAAGCTCAGGAAATGATTATTCTGTGGAGCATAAGAATGTTGGTTCTTTTGTTCTGTTAATTAAAAAAAAAAAGAACAGCAGATTCCTAATGTGGTGGCTTAGTGCTGTGCTCATTGCAGTGTTGTGATGTTGTGATGACAAAGCCAGCATAAGTGATAGGATTAATTCCAAATGTTACAGATGGATAAATTTTTCCAAAATATTGTTGTGACTAGACTTAACGTATGCAAGCAGTAGTCAAGCCATATGTTGTGATCAAAAGCTGAGCTGGTGTTAAATTAGATTTGTGAATGTAATTGCAATTTGCAGTGTAATTGCAGTTTGCAGTTGTCAATTAACAGACTTCTGCTTTGTACTGAAAGGATGATGTGTTGCTGTGACTACTTTAAACTTTGCACTGTAAAGCTGTTGTACTTTTTGAGTTTAGTCCATTAAATGTGTCATAAATTTTTCCTTGCCTTCAGTAGGGCCACGGTGAGACACTCAGGATTTATTTTCTCAAAATTCCTGTTTGGCATAATGGAATGCAAGAGGAAAATAATTGCTCTTATAGAAAGCTCTTAACATTTGGGCGTGGACATTTGGTACAGCCTTGCTTTAAACTTTACCAGGTTAAGTACAAAGTACATAAACCAGTCATTTTAGCTAAAAAGCTGACATCCATCAGGAGAGCTTGGCTGCCTGCCTACTGACTCATTAGTATTGTCTTTGGAAAGTACTTAAATGATGATGGGTTATCGTCCTGACTCTAACTTTTTGACTTAATGTTGTTCAGAAATTCCAAATTCTTCCAATAATCATCCTGATTAAACTTTGAATTAAGGTAGTTGCCTATAGGTAGTTTATAATTTAGCTTTCCCTTATTCCTGAGTCTTTTCTGCACTAACTCTGCCTCTCTGGCTTGAATGACATTGGCTGAATGACTGGAACTGTTTGAATTCTATGCACAGGTTTTAAAACTTGCTGGTTAATTAAAAATAAGAAACATTTTTGTTAGCCAAAGACCTGTATCATATACTTCTAGGGATAATATTGAAGAGTCAGTCTTCACAAATCTTTTGAATTGCCTTCTTTTCCTTTAGAGAGCAAAACTGTGCAGATGCCTTGTATCTTTTTGACTTGGATTTCTGATATGTATAGAGTCAACATGCACATGAACTTTCTAAGATTTCGTGTGCATATTGTGTAATTGCCTTATTCCATCAAATACTTGACCTGACTCTTCTAGAATGGATGTGTTTAGTCTTGTGGGTACTGATTAACTTTGTCAGACTCCTGACAGACTAATGCTGACTGGTAGTTGAGTCAAATGGTATAAAATAATCAGCGCACATTTTAGTTTTCAACACAAAGTGCTGTAGTTGCTGTAGTGCTGTAGTACTGTAGTAGTGGTAGAGATAAATTTGTTCTTTTTATCTGGAATCCCATTTATTTTAAAACTCCATAGTCCTGTAGTAGTGATAGAGATAAATTTGTTCGGAATGCCATTTATTTTAAAACTCCATGTAAGGTATAAATATTATCTCTTAAAATTGGCATGAAGTAGACAGTTTTTAACATATTCTTTCTCATACGCAGGCAGCTAGGAAAAAATAGTTGTAAAATCAGAGATGTTTTGAACTGTGACCCTGCTTATATTATTTACTTGCTTGAATATTATTGGTAGGTTCAAATTGAGTAAACTCACAAAGGGAAAGATGTATTGAAACATTTCATTATAATTCCCAGCCTCCTTTTGAATTTGTTTCATACAGGCTGCTGCAGATCCAATGTCGTCCTCTGATGCACCAGAAGATGGCCCAAAAGAAACGTCAAGTATTTCGCAGAATATCTGTATGTTTCTGGTTTGACTGGGGAGGGTGTATCATAATGGAAGGGATATTCAACTAAATGTCCTTGCCTTTTCCTTACCTAAAAAGGACAGGGCTGTTGGCAAGAAAGGGAGATATAATCTTGATTTGTTTCAAGGCCCAGTTGTGTAAATCAAATTTAGAAAGAGTAATGACATATTGATTGTCAGTTTGCTGATCCCATACTTTCAAAAGTAAATATTTTTAGATTTAATAGATACACTCAGCTATTGTTTTGAGCTTAGCTATTGCTTTCTAAGCCAGTGATGCATGAGTATGTGTTTGCTTTGACAGTCTGGCATCTAGTGATATGATGGTGCTGAGTTGTCCCAAGTGGAATGCTTTGCCCATGCTAGCATGATAATGATTTGGCAAGCCTGCAATATGTGGCAATAGAAGTATTCCAACCAAAACTGTCTTGTGAAGTCCAGGAAGAGTATCTTTTCTTACCTGTTCTTGGCAAGATCAGATTATGACAGGCATTTCTTTCTCAAGAGGAAAAAACAAAGGCTTCTTAGGATTTGCTTTATCTATATTGATACACTGTTATGATATTAATATATCCAGTGCTCATTTATAATAATAGGAACATTCAGATTGTGCTTTCTGGCAAATAATAGGCTCTGAACTACCTCAGGGCAAATTAGTGTGTAACAGTAACACTGCTGAATAATTCCTAGGGATCTCAGCTTTCATGGGAGCAAACAGAGCCTTGACTAAAGCTATGGGAGGTGTTTGCTTTTTTCCTCCAGACATAGAAGTTGGTTCAATAAAAACCATAGCTGCTCCTGAGACTGTTTTCCTTAATTGTGTCCTTAAATTATAGCATCTGGTGCTGTACCACTATCACATTTTTTCTTCATGTGAAACATTATTCAGTCCAGTACTGAGTATATGTGTGAGGTGAAAGCTTGAAAAATAAATAGAAATTACACCCTTTAAGGGTTACCAAATATGTAGAAACCACTTCCAGTTGGGGGAATCTGAACCATAAATGGCTTTAGGCTAAGAAAGTATTTGAGACAGGTATTACACATGCTTTCCCATGTATTACGCTCTGTATTAAGTGTCCGCTTTTGACCATAGTGAGAGGCGAGATATTTGCTTAGGTGGGTTTTTGTTCATCTTCTATGGCTGCTTTTATAATCATGTGACTGAGAGTGCTACAAATGCAACAGCCTTACCTCTACTTCCTTTTTCAGTCATGTTTTTCTTACCTCCTCCTCAGCATCACCATCTGTTTTGGCGGCAATATTGTCGTAGCTCAAACAGTACTTGTTGCAGCACACCATGTTCTTGGGTATTGACCATGAAGTAGTAGGTTGCTAAAAAGGATGTTGAAAAGTTGCTTTTAGTTTGGGTTTTCTCTTTTGTTTGCTTGGTTTTCTTCTAATTTGTTGGGGTTTTTGTTTGTTTGTTTTTGGTTTGGGGTTGTTTTGCCACACAGTTAAACCAGACTCATAAAATGAATGTCTGGTAGGAGGCTGTAATTTATCTGCATCTTTGACATCCTGCCTACAAACTGTTCACTAATCTTTTTTTTTTTTTTTGTTCCCCTGGGCTTATGATCCTATTCCAGGCTTCTGGAGACCACTTGAGACCTCTGCTAACTTGTGCAGCAGCTTGCCAGAGAAAGAGAGTTGGTTGGAAACAAAACTCTGCTTTCCTGCTTGATACTTTTTTTCCCTAAGATGCATTACAGCTTTAAGATGAGTCATTCAAAGTGACTTTAATTTCCCATCGATGTAGAGTTAAAGTTTCTGTGTCTCAGTCAATGAGGCTATCTGGCAATGAGCATCTCTGACAGAGCTGATAGATCCTCCTATTTTCCATACAGCGAGCTTGACATAGAGGAGCTAAACTCACTTTGTACCATTTTGATATTAAATAGTTGTTCAATCTAGGGAAGAATTACTGGATTCCTGACTTAAATACCTCTTAAGGTTTACTTTTCCTTTGTGTACTGATCCCTGGTGCGTTAATCACAGAAAAGGCTAGGGTTGGTACTGTAGGTATCCTATATGTGCCAATATGTGGAGGTGACTCTGCCATCATAGTCACACCAGTGGCCACGTATTGCTGCCTTTTATATAGATAAGAACCCCAAAATGGAACACTTTGGGTTTAGAATTTTAAAAATGCTTTTTTTTTTTTTCTTTTTCTCTAATTTAGTGTACACCTTTTCTAAGTATTCTTTGCTTCTCTGTCCACCTCACCTGCCACACAGCTTCTCTCTTTCCCTTACTGAACTGCGTGGACAACCTGTCCCAGTGTCCACAGGGTAGGAAACCTGGACTGAGACCCATGCTTGGAGGCAGCCTCTCCAGTGATGGCACTCTCAATGATGTAGCTTCAGAAATGAATGTAAGATTACAGTGGTAAATCCATGGCCTTTTAGCTCTTCTCTGCTGTTTAGTGGCGACATTTTTATTTTCTGTCTTACTCACCTGCACTTTATATCATGTGTGCTTTCTTTTCTATTTTTCTTTACATTTATAGCTGATGCAGATGCATTTAAAATTCTCCTGGAGATGAAGTTGCAGAAGAGGCAGAAAAGGCCTGCTTTACCAAGCACTGTGACTGAGCTTGATACTGAGGATGGTTCTAAAGTATATGTGGTTGGAACAGCCCACTTCAGTGACAGCAGCAAAAAGGATGTAGTAAAGGTAAATACTCAGTGTGAGCCCTTCAGCAGTATCTTTGTAATATTTCAACTTGGCACTAAGTAGAATGAAGTCCAGCTCTCTGACTTGGTTTTGTGCTGTAGCCTTCAGGCTCTGTTTTTTCTAATTGGCTGTTGGAGGACTAACTGCACTATGGGATAAGAATCTGACATGTTACAGTAATAATTTTTGATGCAATATATTGCTCTCCCAGGTCAAATATTTTTATTTGCCCCTCAATAAAAAAGACAGATAATACAGCATCAGTGTTGAAAGTAGAAATCTCACTAGTGAAGCTTACATTGCCTGGATAGTATTGGGCTGTAACACCATGCTGCTCAAAACTTGGATTCCATTCTCAAGCTGCAAATAGGTCTGAAGCCCTAGTGCAAGTAGGAACTATTTAATATTATACCTCCTGCAAACTCTGCAGTTTAGAGTGCCTTTATTCAGGAGCTAGAGGGGGAGGAGTCTTGTAAGAACCAGGGTTGCAGGTTGACCGTTCTGACACAAAGCCTTTCTAACTCAGATGGCAAAATACCACAGAGTACAGTCAAATTAATTTTGTGAATGTGAAAACTTTAACATGAAGTGTTTCTTCCGTGCTCCCCTCCCAGCACAATATGTTCACCATTATCCTGTCCCAAAGCATCCAGTAACTAAGACATTTTGCTGTCACTTTCCTTAATATTTTTGTCAATGCATAGTTATTTAGAGAACTCTTATTTACTATTCTACTGTTTTTTTTAATTGAAAATTATTATTGGAATGTGATCTTAAGGTCTTTTTTCTCTTTAAAATGTTGATGCTGGCTGCATTACTGTTTATTCCTTCTAAAGCAGTATAAATAAATTCATCTCTTTCAGACAATACAAGAAGTGCAGCCTGATGTAGTTGTAGTTGAACTGTGCCAGTACAGAGTTTCTATGTTAAAGATGGATGAAAAGACATTACTAAAAGAAGCCAAAGAAATAAATCTGGAAAAACTTCAACAAGCTATAAAGCAGGTATGATTCCTACAGTGAGAATTAAAGGTTTATGTTGAGCAGTTTGTCAAGTTGCAATCAGAGCTAGTGTTCCCCAGAGCTGGGAATCTAATACGGTTGATGTAGGGAGAGTGCTACTAGAGTGGCAAAGCTGGGTTTGGGTGCTTTTTCTAATTTCAGATGGAGCATTGAGGACTTTCTTTTCACAATGGGATTGGTTGGGCAAATTGTTGACCTTGACAGGAATCCTCTTGCATTTAACAGCTGCTCCATTTACAGGACACAAGTCTAACTTTGCAATTGTAATGGTCTGCTAATATATTTAAATTTGATTATTATTCCTGCAATCTGCATCTGTATCACAGCTATTTAAAGAGCACTTAATTTTGTTTAGCTGCATTTCTTCTTCATCTTAGTGTGTTGCTCTTTAATTCCTACCTATCCACTTGTCTTTGGAGTAGTTTCTAATTGACAACAGGCCCTGAAGGGAGATTCGAAAAATTTAAGCTAAAAAGTGCAGGATTCTATTCAAATTATAACTACTCTAATGTGGACATGTCTGGATGTATGTACAGAAAAAAAGTCCTGTATTTTTTCAGTTCCACCTAGCTAGCTTGCACTTGGGTGATTTTAAGCTAGGCACAGTGCAATGACACAAAGTTGACTTAAAAATGATGGGACACTTGATTAGAATGGCAGTGCGTGGTCAGTAGTAAAGGCTTTCAGTGTCCAGCTGGATGAAGAAATTCGTAGATTGTTATTTTGATTGTGTGCTAACTGTATATTGTATTTACGTTGTTGATGTAATTGGGGAGTTTCCAGGATTGTACTGCCCCCCCATAGGAATATAATCTGCTTGCATGCAGAAGCACTTGCAGTGGCTCAGGGCTTTGCTCACACACAAGGTCTCAGAGCTGGCTTTCTGTCTCACAGACTCAGGCAATAATGCATCTTTCCTGTTTTCTTTATTACGTCCTATCAAAGGAAAAGACACTGCAAAACACTTGCATGTTGCATGAATTGCTGCATCTATCTGTTTATCTTAGGTAAGGTGGATTATTCTGATGCATGTAGCCAAAATGAATGTTCACAACAACTGGAACAGCATAGCCGGGTGTCTTCTGATCTTGTGAAGAGGCACAGAAACTTTTTTTCTTTATATCAAAGCGAAATCCAACAGTTTATGTTGTGTTAAGAGGAAAAAGATAATGAAAACAAAATAGCAGACATTTTTTTCTCTGCGGTGTAAAGTCACATTGGCAGCTTTGCAGTTACCACTTCCTACCAGGGCTTGAAGTGATCTTGCGTGCAGACAGTAAAAAACACAGACTCTATTGGCTCCAAAGCCAGAGAATACTGCAAGGATCCTTTCTATTCTTATAGCTCATATTAGTCTCCTTAACTTTATTTGCAGGAATAATGCAGATAATAAGATTTGAACATTGGGCCTTTTAAAGAATGTATTTCTCTATATGTGGTCTCAACCAAAAAATACCCCAGCCTTTCCCTCTGAATCACTAACAGTATGGATTATATAGAAAAAAACAAGAAAAAAACAACTGTCTCATGCCAAATTATAGTGTCTTTGTTTTTCTCTGATAAAAATCAGACCAGCTGGTAAGTTGCTCAGTTATACCTTATTTGCATCCTCTCATTGAAATGAGACAGGCCCAAAAGCTACACTAAAAGTCAAAGCTGCTTTCAACTTTCATCCTTAAGGTTGGAAATGAGGAGAAAAAAGCCCAAATGGTGTCTTTTTATAATCACTTACATAAATATTAAGCGCTAAAATTTTATTTCATTGCTCTTAATTGAAGCTGGAAATTGAGCAGAATGTTAACATGAAGCATACATATTTGCAATGGATCACTGGCATCCACAGCTTATCAAGTAACTGCTGCAGGTTAAAACCAGACTTCCTTTAGCTCCTCCTTGAATTTCAAAACCCTTACAGCTGGTTGCAGAGAAGTACCCGTTTGCTTTCCATTAAGCAAAGCAACATGGTGCAGACTGGTATCTGGCTCAAATGTGGATAACCTGGAGATGTGCAGTAAAAGTTGGCTTAAACCAAACTGATAAGACAGGTTTTTTCTTATCTCCTCCCCATCTTCCTGCTTCCACTCTCTCTTCTGTGTCCATACCATGGCCCTGTGATAGTTTGAGTAGGGCTTGGTTTGTTGCTACATCATCTCCCAGGGCTGTAAGATTGCTTCTCTTGGCACAGAGGGGCAGTTGAGAAACCTTGCTCTGGGGACAGAAGAGAAAGTGAGCTAGAGACAGCAGAATCATGCCTCTTTTTGTCTAAAGTTACCTGTGGAGGATTATATTGTACTGTTGGTTCTGGCTAGTGAAAAAAGCTCACCTTTTGCACTGTGTAATGCAGCCCTCCATGTTTAGGTAACCCACAGGGATAGTCCTCTTCAATAAAATGGATATAAAATGAATTGATGGATGATACGTACATCCATATGGATAGGAGCAGGCTGCTGTTCACTTGCTACCTTCACTTGTGTTTTGAAATCTACCCTCCAGTGGTCTTGCAGCAGTAGGAAAACCAGTTCCAGGCTCCAGGTGTCGAGGTTCTGCTGCCTTCCTTCTTGGGAATTTGGGTTTTTAAAAGAATTGTGAATGAAACTACACATGGCTTGTTTCTGCACTTGGTGCTGGTTCAGTGACTTGTTATGCAGTCAAAGAGTAGCTCCAAGGCCTCCTGCATAGGCTGTGTTCCCATAGATAGTATAAGTGTTCTTTGCCTGGATATTGCTCTTCCTGCCATTTTCACTGTCTCTGTGCTAGCTGTGTGTCCAATAGTGTACGTGCCCTCAATCGTCCTGTCCCAAGCTTCATGAGTATTTATATGTTTAATCTTTTCTCATATGTCTGGTATTTCTTTGCACACTTTCTAATCAAAGTATCTGATTTTCAAGGCATGAGTCTGCTAAAGATCGTATAGCAGTGCTTTTATGTTTTGCTATTGTTCCTTTCCCAGTAATCTCTCTTATTCTTCTTGCTTTCTGACTGCTCTTGAACACTGAGCTGATAAAATTGGTGGTTTGCTTTCTCTTTCCTATGTGCCAATAGCTTTGCATCCCTCTTCCTGCACAGTTACATTTCTTTATACTTGTGCATTGCTATGTTTACTTATGGCTGTTGCATCTAACCTACACAATTATTGCCATCCACTCAGGATTTAATGTCCTTTTGTGGTCAGCTTTCCTTTTTACAACACTGAATAATCTAGCATAGATAATAACCTCCTTTGCTGTTTTGCTCTCATCATTTTTTGTACATTTTTCCCTTTATCCCCTGACAGTATCTGGCTGGCCAGTTGTTGCTGGTTGCTGCTACATACAGCTGCTTGTCACCCTTTATCTCCTTCATGCTAAACAAATATGCAAGGCACTAAGTTTCATGCAGGTTAAGAGCACAGACAACTTGGAAACACTTCAAAGATGCATCCCTCTGTTAGCCAAAAGGATGAATCTTCCTGTCACAGTGTAAAAATACAACTTCAGGTGCATCAATCCTGAAAGAGAGATCTGCCAGCAAATAACTTCAGACTACATTATCCTCGTTTTTTGGCTGGGGGTTGTGACTATGTTTTCTGAACTTTGGGAAACATTTGTTGCTCAGTCACTTTAACTGGATCTCAAGGATGCACACTTTTTCTCGTGTTTCTTCCTTGGCTCTCCCCAGACGCCCAGCACTTGACTTTCTTCCTTCCTTGCTACTTTGTAGTATGACAAGGCAGGTAATGAATTGGCTTTGAAAATAACCCCTCTCTTTTGTCAGTTCTGGTCCTCAGTGACTGTTGAGTCCATTTAATGGCACAAACCCACCCACAGCCTTTGGAGAGGTCTCACACACTTTGATTGAATCTGGCACAGGCTGGGTCATTTGAGCAAGGAATGGAGACCAGGACCTTTCCCTGGTAACTTCCAGTATTAAGTCAGGCTTACAAAGCCTCATCTGCAGTTGCATGAAGAGCATGATATAGCAGGGAATTAGCCTTTGTTGAGGGAAGGGGCAGTGCCCCTTTTGGCAGAATTATGGACTGATGGCAAATTGGAGGAGATACTGCACCAAGGTAATGTTGATTCATTGAGTCCTAATTGTAAAAATAACTTGTTGAGGATAGCCAGAGATGGACAGAAGGGTCGGATTTGAGATGTTTTTTTCGATCTTTTTTAAAAGGTCAGGTAACGAAAGTTTTGCTTAAGTACATATAGGAGAATTCTTATGTTTTTCAAGAGAAGGGGTTTGATTTTTGAGAATAGTGCTCATGCTTCATAAAAGCAATAGACAGCCTTCAGTCTTCTTGTGGACCTGACTCATACTCCAGACTGAGGTCTCTTTTAAGATCTTGTATGCTGCAGTCATACACTTCAATTTCTTGTGCAATGTTAGTTTCTCCGTGTTTCTGCATCTAACCAGTCCTCAACCTGGTGTTTTTCACTATTGTAGACATGTCTGGGATTATACCACTGGCTATTCACTTCAGTATTTCTAGGACGTGGCATTCACTGCACATTTAATGGAATATGTTCCTGTGGTACCTTTATTTTATTTGTATCCAGATAGGTCAAGAAAAATTAAATGCACACTATGAACTGTTTAACCTTTGAGTTATTCAGACACTTTCTTCAAGCAGACAGAGTAAATATAGACTGAAATAAGTCTGGCTATCCTTTATTTTCTTAACCTGCTATACATTTTTGTTGAAGGGCGGAATACTTTGGCCACACAGTGAGGTAAACTAATAAAAACTGAAATATAGGCTGTGTTGATCAGTGAATTGGCTCCAAAATGTAGCTTCAGTGCTGTTGCTTCTTCATTAAAGTAATTAATGTTTTTTTCACTTCTGTGAACAGCGCATTTTTCAGCCTGTTTTTTTTACATGTTTTCTCCCTCTTCTGCCAGAACGGAGTCATGTCTGGACTGATGCAAATGCTTCTTCTGAAGGTTTCTGCTCACATCACAGAACAGCTGGGAATGGCCCCAGGAGGAGAATTCAGGGAGGCTTTCAAAGAGGTGCGAACTTGAAATGGCTTTTCTAAGGTCAGATTACTGGCCTTTTGTTTCCAGAGTTGAACTCAATAAAACCCTTTTGTTATTGCCTAGAAAAGAGCACTCTGGCCATACCTCTGCTGAAGCCAATGAATAGTAAAAATCATGTTCGACTTCAGACCGTACCTTAAGGTACAAACATTTGTAGACATAAGTGTAGCAATTCAAAAAAAGGCTTCAAATAAGGCTTTTTCCTGATGATATTTGTGAAGACATTTGTTTTCATTAATAATTTAGTTTCTTTTAAATAATTGTTTTTGAATTCTGAATATTGATCTTGGTCCCACTGTTGGTGGCGTCAGGATTACAGGTTGTGAAAACCAGCTCTAAAGGATTAATGAGATCTGACACCTTCCATTCATCTACAAAGACTGGGGAAGTGAAATATCTGACTGGTCTGTTAGTCCTATATAGTCTTTTAATATCACCTTTTGTACTACTGCCAGCAGTGATACTGAATTAAATAGTGGCTGTGTTTTACACTACTCTTTTTTTTGTCTGGGAATACTGGGACACTATTTGCCGTGTAAGCATCCATCTTGCAGAATGTATCTTGCTATTTTTATGTAAATTATGTACTAGTAAAGAAATCCAAGACACATTGCTGATAAACAATCTGGAATAATTTGGCTATATTTATCCTTAATAAAAAGAAAACTTCTTCAAGGTTTATTTTCTTGAGCATTCTAGACCAGAATGAAACATTTTAAGTGTTTCCCATTTAAGTGGGAAAGAAAAAAGACTAGCTCTGTCCTATCCTAAAGCAATTGCTGGAAATTTTTAAACAACTAATCACAGAAAAGAATTTTCTAGAAATTCTGTACTGTGCTAAAATTTGTCAGTGTGAGCTACAGCCAAGTCTGACATTATCACGTGATATCTGGCATCAGTTATTGTCTCATAAGCTCTTTCTTTAATATATTTTACCATGACCAACTGTAAGGTTGATGATCCTGTCAAATCCTAGGTGAAAGCAAAATGATGGCAGTTGGTTCACCTCAGACTTTATTCAGGCCCAGATAGACACTGAGCCCCATTGTCACCTATGCAGTAATAATCAGAAGCTTTGTGCTTCTGTACGAGTAACCTCGAGGGTGTGGCATTACAATTTAATGGTTTTACTGTAATACCTACTGCATTTTGTAGTGGATTTATTCCTTTATGAAGTAATCTAGTAGTATATTGTAAATTCTATTTACTGCAAAGCCAAAATATTTTTTTTTGTTGGAGTATGACACTACTTGCTCTTCTTTAAGATACCTTGTATAACACAGTAAATCCTTAACGTTCCTTAATAAGAATGTGCTGTGCTGCAGTATGAAATGTTGATTAGTTATTTGTATCTTCTCTTTCAGGCCAGTAAAGTACCTTTCTGTAAATTCCACCTCGGTGACCGGCCCATCCCTGTTACATTTAAGAGAGCAATTGCTGCACTTTCCTTCTGGCAAAAAGTCAAGCTTGCTTGGGGCCTTTGCTTCTTATCTGACCCCATCAGGTATGAATCAGCACACCACGTGTTTTATGTTTGGGATGGATTATTCAATTCTTCAGTTTGACTTTAGTATGAGGGTACCCAGCCTGATACAATGAAATATGAATTAAGGATAAATATACAACTATCCTGCAATAATACGTATTTTTGAGGTGAATGCTGTCTTTCTGATCTTGTGTCAGCCTTCCTTTGTCTTTCAGTGCAATACTTCCAGGTGAAGTGTAAGATTTGGTGCTGAAGAATTCCTAGTATAATTTAAAAATGTCTTTAAATTATTATTTTATTATTTTTGTGCAGAAAATCTTTCCCACCACTGTGTGTGGATATTGTAAATACGAGAGAGTAAAAGCCTCAGTACAATAATTTGTATATTCTTGAGTTCCACATCCAGCCATCAACATGAGATTCCATGGAGAATAAAGTAAAAATTCAACATCAAAATTGTCAATCTGTTGATGTTTCTGTGTCTGTGTTGAAAGCTAGCATTTCTCTTTTAGCTTGCCCTGATGTTTGTAGTCTTCTTTTCATCTTGGAAACTAAAGGAAGCCTGTTTGACACCATTCTTTAATAGACAGTGACGTCACACCAGATAATTTCATTGCCACAGGCTATGACCCACACCTAGGGGTGCTAACAGAAGGGTTTATAGCACCTATGAAAAGAGCAAAAGCTCATTAAATTTACTTCTGCAGTTCTTATTTGGCATTTCCTACCTGTTTTCTATTTTTCTGTTCTGCAAATTGGTTTATAACTTTGACATCCCTGCTAAAGACCTGTGATTGACACTAGGAACCTGCAAATCTTTGTCCATGCCCTCAGACTGTGCATTACAGTGTGCCTTTTTGGTTCCTTAAGTAGAGTCTCTGTGTGTTCAGCGATCAGATCTGCTTCCTCAGAAGAGCTGTGTGTAGGCTCTTCTAAGCTTATTAACGCACACTGAAAATGGGGCACCATGGTAACTCCTGCCTTTGAAGCCCTAGTGGTTTTGCAGAGTTGAGTTGTCAGCTTTTACAGTGGGAAAGGAGAAAATCCAGTTGAACTGGCTAAAGGCAAGTGACCTCTTTCCTTTCCTTCACTGCAGAGGCATTGTTAGGTATCAAGTTCGACAGGTTTATGGAGATTATTTTCCTTCTGGAGAGGAAAACTGGGGGAAGAGAACTGTAGACTGTGTTTAGGTGTAATGCCCAATTGTTTTGAGCCATTAGTTTGTTTGTGTTGACCTTTAAAAGTGTAACAGATACTGAGAAAACCTACCTTTCTTTCAGTAAAGATGATGTGGAGAAATGCAAACAGAAGGATTTACTGGAACAGATGATGGCAGAAATGATTGGAGAATTCCCTGATCTTCATCGAACTATTGTCTCCGAACGAGATATTTACTTGACCTACATGCTGAAGCAAGCAGCAAAGCAGATAGAGCTACCTCGAGCTTCAGAAAGTAATTGTTTTAAAGCAGAGATTATAACCAGCAAGATATTCTTTATGTACTGGTCCAAAGTTCAGTTCTCAGGAAATCTGGGATGTTCTGTTCATGAATGCTACATGTCGCATAAGATACAATGCTTAAAAAAATTAAGAAGGGGTATTACTCCTCTGATAAAACAGCCTAGAGCAGTAGACTCTAAATTATGTTTCTTTCCTCATTGTGCTGTTCAGAACTGTTAAGTACTAATTAGCCAGACAACTATTTCAAAAGGCAGGGATCTGGTATGACAGCACAGTATGGGACAGTCATCTATCTCACTTGCCCTGTTGTCTCACCAAATTCATTGTTGTCACTGGCTGCTGAGGGATTAATTTATTGATAAGTTAATTCTCTGATTTCAGTACTCTTCATAGATTTTTTTATAATTACAAACTGGGCTGCTAGGAACTTTGATCTGGCAGTAATAATCATATGTGACTGCTGTTTCAGCAAGGTATAGGCATATAGAAAAATAGTATTTGTCTAATCTTTGAAGTATTCTGCTGCCATATGTAATCAACATGCACTTCCTATAGATAAGCATACTGAAGTATATTACCTCTTACTTAATAACTTAAGAAGATAGTGTTTGTCGTCACTTTAGTGCAGATCTGTTGTAGTTGCAGTTCTGCTTTAGAACAATTCTAGAATAGACTGAGAAAAAGAAAATTTAGAAAAAAACCAGTTTGGTAAATATGTATAATAATTCAAGTGTTTTCAATACAGTTTTATTCCATTTTGAAGTAGGCTGCTCTTCACATGTTTACTTTTTTCCTGGAAAAATCAAGGGTGAATATTTAAAGCAAAACAGTGGAACTTGTATTTTATATGTATGTATTATGTAGAACTTTCCACATAGGAAGGCAGCCTGATTATTATTCCTTAGAAACTTTTTGTGAGTTATTTTTACTATGGCATGGTGCTGTATTTTTCACTGGGGAAAACTTCCAGAAACCACGTTTTAGCTGTTGTGAAATATGGGTGGTAGATGGGAGGTGAGGGTGAGAACTGGCATATGTTGCATTGGTCTGATGGCTGCTGGCTAACTGGCCTGGGTTTGCTGTTGCTGAGGCCAGGTCTCTGACAGTGAGCTTAAGAGAACAGGTGTGAACTCAAGCGTTGTTCTCCAATGGTGAGCCCAAATCTTGGTACACTTTGTGTGCCAGGTGCCACTGTGCAAAGTGGCGGAGAAAGTTCTCTCTTTGGGAGATAGCAAAGAGCAGGAGTGTTCCTCATAAGCAGCACAGAAACATGACCTACACAGAAAAGAAAAGAAGTTAATTTAGCTTGCTGAGCCTGTCACCCTGAGGCTGAAGTATTAGCACTCGCCGGGTCTATTTATTAAATAAATGATTCCTGAAAATCTGGAAACCATGCTGATTTTTTCAGACTTTCAATGAAAGAGGCAGTAAGTGAGATCAGTATGCAATAGGGTTTCAGTATGTGGTAGTAAAAGCCCCTGTATCTTGGAAAAATCAATTTTGTTGTCTCACAGATTGGCTATTATTTATTGAATAAATAATAATAGCTTGAAATTAGTTCTTTTACAGATATGTTCTTTTCTCTTCATCTCTCTTTTCTCAGATGAACCTAGAAAATATATCCCATCTGTTGTAGTTGGTGTTGTTGGCATGGGTCATGTACCTGGGATTGAAAAGAACTGGAATTCTGACTTAAAGATCCAGGAAATAATGAGGTAACAGTTGTGCTTTACTACATGTTGCTGTAACAGCTTCTTTTGCTAAAAAACAGCAGTTTCTTTGAAGTTTTCTTGGTTGATTGTCACAGCTTGAAGAAGCATCTCTGCTGTCATCCTGCCCTGTCAGCTCGCTGACTTGCTGTGCAGCGCTTGCAGATAGTGCTGACAGCAAAGAAAAAAAAATCAAAGGAAAAAAACAAATGGTTGAATACGGAGGGAAATAGAGATGAAAATATGCCCTTGTCTAGAAGGAAAATTAATTGGTCCTCATTTAAGTCTTCTAAAATGAAAACTCAAATGAGGGCTGTTGAAGATGGTAAAAACAGAACAAGGCTTTTAGTCTAACTTAGGTAAATATAAATAATTTGATGTAAAGCTTTTGTTTTGTCAGGACACTGCTGGTTCTGGCAAGCTTAGTGTCACAGTTGCTTGTACCCTATTTTAAGTGTATATCTAAGTAATAACTTTTTAAAATGTGTATATCTGACTAATTATGAGCTGGTTTAAGCCATTTACCTCGTGAACTCTTGCTTTGAAGTACCTATTGAAATAGATGTATATGCTTTGTAAAAGACAGAACTGAAGAACCAAAGCATTCAGACTATGTGTATCCCATAAAGCCAAAAAGGTCAGGACTTCAGAAATACAGGAGAGATTATAATACTGCCTACTAGTATTGGTCTGTGATGCTTTAGGATTATGGAGTCTTTCAGATATTCACTTTCCTATCACATCTGTTTATTGTGCTTATGTAACCACCTCACCCATCTTTTCAGAGGCTATGAAAACCAGAAAAGACTGACATCCACATAAATGGTATGTTTAGACATCTAAAATATGATTTAGAGAGACTTTTGTTGTCTGGATTCAAGAATGCAAAGTATAGACGCTCTGCCTAGCCATTTGTAACTATCTTTTAAGGCTAAGCCTCACCTGGCATCACAAACTAGATGTCCATTTTCCTCTGCACCCTTGCAAATAACCTGTGTAGTTGTGTGGTGGCTGTTGGTCATATCATTGGCAGCACAGAACTGAATAGCCCAAACACCAAGTGCTTGTCTTCAAGCCTGCACGGAAGGCTGATTTGACTTGATTGTCTTTCCCATGCCAGTGCCATAACTGAGCAGAAGAGTTACTAGTGTCTTTCACAAGACATTAATATTGCATTGACTTGATTTTCTGAAATAATATTAAGCAAGTGACACTCATAAGAGTGCCATATTTGCAACTTATTTTTCTTTAAAATTTTTTGCCCTTCCTGCTGTTACACTGCAGTTGCAGAGCAGAGTTAGGGCTTTCTTTTGTGTGTTTAGTGTTCATCACCACTCTAAGGTGGCAAGTTTTTAAGACTTTCACAAGTATTTAATTAAATTTTAGAAGTTGGAACATGAACTTGAAAATCTTCTGGATAAAAACATACATATGTTTCTAATTTTTAAGTTCATGCATTGAACCTGACTCCAAGCAGACCTTACTGTTTGCCACAGAATATTTTGAGTTGGAAGGGATGTACAAGGATCATCGAGTCCAAATCCTAAGTGAATGGCCCATACAGGGATTGAGCCCATGACCTGGGCATTATTAGCACTGTGCTCTGATCAACTGTTATTAATATTTTTTTTTAATTGTGGTGAAATACTAGAATTGAGTAAGAGTAGGTGGAGAAAGGTGTAAGAACATGTAAAGAGATGCCCTTACACCATTCTTGGATCAATACATATGCTTTTTTTAAACTCTCCTGTATATTGCTGTAATGTGCAAAGTCTTACTAGTAATAACTTTCCCCTAGTTTGAGCACATGGATTTAAACTCAGTCTAGTTGTTTCCTAATTTCAGCACATTTAACCTGCTTGAGAGCACCCAGTGGTTTTGCACTATTGTAATTGATTACTTCTGAATATATTAGAGACTTTTTCTGGGTATAAATAGATGATAAGTTGAAGCTCCTTTGAAACAGTGTATGGAAACCTCTGAGTTGCTTATGAGAGGATTATGAGGTGCTGTGGGTGTAGAGCCAGCTGAGCTGCTGCAGAGCCTGTTAGTGAGGGTGTAGGGCTGCACGTGCATGTGGCTGTGCTCTTAAAGTCAGCTTTATTGGGAAGGTAATATTTCCTGCTTGCTTGATATGCCCACAGTGAGACTGCTTGAATGTTGGGCAGTAGACCTGGTGTGCCTGTTGTCTTCTGCTGTCCTGGTTCAGGTGGCCAGTGCAGAGACTTCCAAGCAGCTCTGTGAAAAGCTCAATATTCTCTTTTAGTATTCTTCAAAAAAGTCTGAATATTGACTTAGTTCTTTTGGCAGGGTGATGGACAAGTAAAAGTTCCTAGGTGTTAAGAGTGGCATAAGTAGAAAAGGCTTTGTTAGTGTTTATTAATTTTTGTTATTTAATTGTATGTAACCCTTGAATATGAAAGACTACGTTGTTCATTCATGATGCATCCATTACGTGAAAATTTCCTACACTATGGGGAAGAAGGGGAGAAAATATTCCTTTTTTTTTAATTGGAAAATTCCTACTGTTTCCAGCCATGCAAATATTAATATTGTTTTCTATATTTTGTTTCAGTGTGCCTCCTCCATCAGCTTCAAGTAAGATTTTCAAATTTGTTTTAAAAGCAACATTTTTTGGACTGCTGGGATATGGCTGCTACCGAATAGGTCACAGGACAGCTCAGTTTGTTCTCTCAATGCCAGCAACACAGAGCTATCTTCAGAGGCTGACAGAGGTGCCTCAGCAATGAACAACAAGTAGAGGCTCTGTGTGAAGAAGGTGGCAGAGGAAAAGGTGATGGAGGCAGCGCATGAACTGAACTGAAGGATGAAGATTCTAGTCAGAGCTGATCGATGCTGAGCAACACTCAATCACTATATAATAAAAGAGTTGATACTAAAGTTACACCAGCTATGATCTAATTAATAGTTTTGATTCTTGACAGGTGTGTTGCATGAAACCAGATGATTCCAGTTTGAGGTAAAAGAAATGTGTATGCAAATATATATATATATATTATATATGCATACTATATACATGTATACTATATATATGCATTATATATAATATATATATATACATATATATAAAATTGATGATGTAGTACAGGCAGCTTAAAGAGTGTTTGTTCATGGCTCCTTTTCCAGAGAAAAGAACAACACAAAGTAACCTAATTGACTGCATCTCCTCTGAAGTTCAGGGACACTTGAGTGATTCTTTGCTTTCTTTCTTAGGTATAATAATACCAAGTGTTTGTTTCTGGTGCCAGACACTTTTACACATAATTTAAAAGGACATCTTCTCAATGTATGTTTTATACCTAAAACATTTAAGCTTTTTTTAAACTTAAGAGCTTTCCAGAAAATTCAGAATTGTACAGGCTGTCATACGTACATGGCTCAGATTTTTTACAAGCCTTACTGAAGAACAGGAATGTTGCCTTTAGATTGCATCCCTTGTTACCACCATCAGTTGAATTGTTTTTCTCCTGCATAGAGAAGGTATAGCCACCCCATCAGAATGCAATGTGGTTTGTGTCAGATGTTTACAGGACACTCTGTTCCTTTAGATTAGCTTATTTAAACTATACTAATTAGCTAAATCCTGCTGGTTCCAGTATTGTAAATTTAAGAGACTAGAACTACTGTACAATTTACTTTTGTTTTTCAGACCTTTCATATTTGGCATAAAAAGCCTGGAATTAACCTGCCCCTTGTTTTTGCTACATGAAAATATTTTATTTATCAATGTAATTTCTCGGTGGATGAATATTTTAATCTATTTAATAGGAAAGCAGTGTTCAATTTAGTTTTTCAACCAAATGTAGCATTTTATTTGGATTACCTGCTATTTATACATAGAATTAGGGGTACTACAGACTGCTGTTATTTTTTTTTTTAATTATCTGGAACACTCATCCATCATCAATCTATTTATTTCTTTTTTTTGGTTTTTTTTGTTTTGGTTTTTTTTTTTTTTATCCTAGGTTCATATTTCATTGGAATTTTTTGGTACCTTCCCTTTTTACAGGATTGTCAGTGATTGTAAAATGCCCTTGGCAATCAGCTAGTCCTAGTTCAACAACACGGGTAATACTGTCATATCAAAGTTAACCCGATGTATTTGAATGGGGAAGTCCCATTTGCTCCTCAGGCTCATATACAGTTGTTCATTGCTTAAAGTGAGATTTTTATCTGTATTTCTTTTGGGAACGAAAGATGGGAACCAGTATGTGAGGCAGGAGGAGGAAAAGGTGATGATGTTTTGTGTTTCTTTGTGGTTTTTCAGTTGGTTCAATAAAATCCAGAAACCACTTTTAATAGGGTATATTTCCAAAGGCTTGTGTTGGAAATAGTTCCATACAGTCTTTTATTTGCTAAAAGTATGTACATCTATCTTCTGTGCAGTGTAGTCTTTTTTGAGCTTTTAAAATTAAGGTTCTGATGCTCCTCTCTGTGATGGCATTGACTTTGCTGGGAGCTGGTCTGTCCATGCAACCTGATGCTTTTCTGCCTTTCTCTTTGAAAATTGTATGAGTTCCAGTGCAGCAAATTATTAAACTGCATGTTTATCTTAAACCTTACTGAATCTAACCTGATTCTACAGAGGTCTTAAGATGATGCCAGGTGCTCTTCTTGGTCTGGGCCTTACAGGTGTCCAGGGAATAAACCTTAGCAAATGCAAATGACAGCAATTAATGCTTCTAGGACACAAAGTGTAAATGATAATACAGAAAATAGTGGGGGCAGGTCCTTTTATTTTCTATTTTATTAGTCATTAAGAAACCACCAGCCATCTCTAGCAAGAGGAGAAGCCGCATTTGTAAACAATTTATAGAAGAGTAGAGTGACTGCCTAAATTTTGATTCCTGTTTTTTAAAAACATTTAATGTGTTGTTTACAATTAAGTAGTCCTATTTGAATAAATCTGTTACATTTTATGTACATTTTTAAAAGATGAAAGAAAAAGCTTAAGCTCACTCTTCTCCTGTCTTTACTGACATACCAAAATGTTGTTCTGTTGGTTATTTTCTTGAGAATATTTAGCTGGTAGAATAAAATATATGGATATTTTGCTTTAAGTTATCTACAGATTTTTAAAGTATCTGCAGGTATTTTAAAAGCTCTGTAGATCTTTGATATCTATGCTCAGGTAATTTTACACAAAGGAAAACAAATCTAAGGTAAATTTTAGATAGGAGCCTTAATCTTGGGTGGGACTAATGCTAAATGATTGTCATGGAGCATTCTTGCAGACTTGATGCTTTATGCTTTTTAGTCAAAAGTGATTACCATCTAAGGTGTCCATTTGTTATTCAGTTATTCCCTCCAGTCACTACCTTAAGTCTGTTGGTTCAATTTTTTTTTTTTTTTTTTTACAAAGCATATCAGCAGATTCTTCAGAGAGCCTCTTGGAGAATTTGCAATTTATCTTCCCACTGTTACAGATTGGCAGATCCATATGCGTGCACTGTTTATTCAGTGGCACTGGAAAGTGATGAATTTGCAGAACTAACAATTCTATGAATCCATACACAGATTCTTGATGTTGTGTATTCAATGTGTTGTACTGTTTATAAACATAATCTGTGTTTTAGGTCCATTCTTTTCTGTTCTAGTCAGTCCTTTCAGTGTTAGCAGCATCCTGTAAAATTTAAATATATGTTGAATTGTCCCAGCCCCGCCTCAACCTTATGAAGCCATATTGTATTTTTTTGGTGACATGTACATCTGTTTTATGCATTTGTACATGTGATGTAAATTTGAAGTATTTTTAACAATGTGTGCCTTTAAAGTGATTTAAAGTAAACAGCAGTTATGTTCTATTATATAAAAAATAAAATATTTTAACCACCATTTCTGTTGAAGGTATTTATTTTCCTAATTAACCAGTATTTTTATTAAGAGCAAACACTGGTTAGCTAGATCTAGTACAGGATAATTCCACCATCTAACACATTTTCCTGCTGAATATTAGTTGAACTAATTACATCCTGATGAGGGGAATCTGAGTGTAATGCTGAAGCAGGGGAACTAGTTTACCTACCACATGTAACTGGTTAAGAAGAAAAGGATGAATGTGAGAACTTAAATTCAGAGTTCATAGTTAGGTGTGGTGAGTTGATTTTGTTGTTGTTGCTTTTCTTTTCACGTCTCCAGTGCTCAGTTTTGCAAGGAGCTGACGGCTATAGTCCCAGTCCAGCAAAGCACTCCAATGTTGGCTGTACATCAGGCACAGTCATTTGTATTTAAAGTGCTGTCCTTCGTGTGAGAAATAAAAATCCTTTAGGTGCAAAAGATGGTGAATAGTGACCAAATTGACACAGGTAAATCAATATGACCATTACTTAAAAAAATATATTAATACAAAGACTTGTATTAATATATATGATATGCTGTATTCCATACAGATAATATATAATCTGTGTGTACCCTTTGTCAATCTGTGGTCCATCCTTTTTGGTAGTGTGTAAAGCAAAATGCAGCCTTTTTTTCCTTGACCAGGCAAAGTTCCCTCCAGTTGCAATTGGAGCTGTAGCTGCAAAGAATTGCTGGTTAAACCATTTAAGTGGAAGTAAAAGCTTAGAATGCTGTAGTCCTGTACTGTCCCTGGGAGTGGCAGAGGACGCTGCCAGCAGCTGTGCTCTGGAGCAGTGCTGGGTCAGAGAGGTTCAGCAGCAGCTGCCTGCTTTGGGAGTGTATCGCTCACCAGCGTTACATTGCTCGCTGCTGGCCCACCTCACGTTTGAGGTGTCCTTTCTATACCAAACACTGAACAAAATTTTAAAATTGACTTTCTGAAGTGGATTAAAATGTCTGTGTTTCCACTGGAAGCTGTATTTCTGTATGTATAGTAAAACATCTAAAAAAGTGACAAACATATCAAGTTACCTCAAAGTGCCAGGCAGTGGGAGCTACACACGGAAAAGAAACAGCACATTATCACTTGTGTAACTCTTAAGATATTCATGTATGTATTTCCCTGTTTCTTTTTAAAACTGAAATAAACTTTAATTTTTAGACTTGAGTGTTTTAAGACTGACATTTTTGTAAGATGTAGGAGCTTTTAAGTATTGGCAGGAGAAGGGTCACTCGTGGGTCTGACTGATGGACAGACTTCAGGGGGGTGCCAAGCCCATGCTGTGGAAGTGCACATGGAAGACATCAAACATAGGACAATGTGGCTCCAAAGATACACACCAGAATCAGTTTACTGACTCTTCAGGTGAAAAAACGCAGCAGCTGTGTACATCCTCACACCAGCAGGTCTCGTGTGTCCCTGTGTATGGGAGGACCCCAGGAACAGCTGAAGCAGCTGTCCTGTTCAGCAGCTCCCAGCTGAAGAAGCTGGCTGGGAGTTGTGTAATTATCCCCTCCCTCGTCACTTGCCTTGTGCCTGCTGCAGAGCGGAGCTTTCTGTGTTCCAAGGAGGCAACGGCAGCAAAGATGGGGCTGCCCTTACCCTCCGTCTCAGTTGAGAAAAGGCTGGGAGCTGGGCAGCTGTGTGCTCTTTCCCATCACAAGCCCTTGTCCTTTGAGTCCTGACACCTGACCTGCCTCTGGCTCCTCCTTGGTAGCTCCCCGCTGGGGGTGACCGTGCTGGAAAGTGAGTAAACACTTGCTTTTACTTGTTGGGTGTTTTGTCTGTTGATTTGTGTAGTATGATACAGAAAAGCTCTAGTGATGATGGGGGGCAGGGGGAAAGAGGCACACAACTACTTTGACACTTGCCTTATCCAAGATACTTGATATTTGTGTATCATGACTGATGCGTAAGGGAAAGTGGAAAAAAATATCCCAGCGATGTAACATTCTTTCAGTGGTAACATGTCCCTGATTCTGGCTACAGAGATGATTTACAAACCGGACAAAGTAATGAAAAGTGATATTTGATTAGAATGGACTGGTTATTCATGTGATATGTCTCTGCAGCAACTAAGCTGCACATCTGCTTTCTCCAGGGCCAGCAGGAGAGCTGTGTAGACAAGGCTGCTCAGGTTTGTCCAGCTGCAACAGGGTTCTGGGTGTGCATCACCTGCCACCGGGCAGCTCCTCTCCCTCTCCCTGCTGCCATCACCATGTTGTCTCTCTGTCATGGTTACACCCCAGTTCTTTAGAGCTGAGACTCACGACTGAGTTTAGCTGGAAAGTACAAGTCATAGTAATAATTTGGTGCCATCTACTGTCTGCAGGTGGTTTACCTGCTATGTCCAGGATTGAGTGGAGGCATCCACTGGACCCTTCAGAGAAAGTAGGTGTGCGCACCCTGGAGAGGCTGGGTCTTGACCCACGGCTGAGGTAGCTGCTGTTAACTGAAATAACACAGAGCGGGAGCATTCTGAGTAAGTTCTGCTGGCCGGGCTGCGCTGCTCCGCCCGGGCCAAGCTTTACCCGCGGGGCGGGCCGCGCTCTCCCTCTCCGGGCGGGCGTCCCGAAGGGCGGGTCCGGCCGCGGCCCCGCCCCGCCCGGCGCATGGCCCCGGTGCTGCGCAGCGCCCGCCGCTTCCCCGCGCTGCTGCGGGCGGCGTCGGGCCCGGCCATGGCGCAGCCCGGGGGCGGCGGGGGCTGGCTGGGCGCGCTGCGCTTCGACAACCTGGCTCTGCGCTCGCTGCCCGTGGACGCCTCGGAGGAAAGCGGCCCGCGGGCCGTGCCCGGCGCCTGCTTCGCCCGGGTGCGGCCCAGCCCGCTGCAGAACCCGCGGCTCGTGGCCATGTCGCTGCCGGCGCTGGCGCTGCTGGGCCTGGAGGCGCCGGAGGCCGACCCGGCGGCGGCGGAGGCCGAGGCCGCGCTGTTCTTCAGCGGGAACCGGGTGCTGGCGGGCGCGGAGCCCGCGGCGCACTGCTACTGCGGCCACCAGTTCGGCAGCTTCGCGGGGCAGCTGGGCGACGGCGCCGCCATGTACCTGGGCGAGGTGCTGGGCCCGCGGGGCGAGCGCTGGGAGATCCAGCTCAAGGGCGCGGGCATCACCCCCTTCTCCCGGTAAGGCCCGCGCGGGACGGGCCGGAACAGCCGGCGCGGTTCGGCCCGGGGCGCCGTGCCGGGAGCACGGGACGGACTGGCCGGCCGCAGATCGCACTAGCGAGGGGCTGGTGCCGGGATGAGGGTCATTCCTGAGGAAAGGTCATCCCCGAAGCCCTCGTGTTTATTTGCTTTTTGTTTAACTTTGGCAGCAGCGAGTTTAACGCTTAAATGCTAGATCAGAAGGTGGCAAAATTTTCCGCTGGAAAGCAAGAGTGTAACTGCACCTCAGTGCATTCAGGTGGCACGGTACTTCTGTCCCTGGTTATCCTCCTGTGCGGATTTCCTCCTTTGAGAGGATCCAGGCCATCCGCTTGCATTTCCCATATTTTCTGTTCCAGCCCTACAGTCTTGGTAACACTTTAGTTTCATGTATTTGGTCCTCTGAAGGCTTTCTTCAGATCTATGAGGGTTAAGGAAGTCTCAGTGAAAATCCTAGATAATGGTGGTAGCTTTGTAGATCTGCCCTGGGCAGCTCTCCTGCTTGTCTGCGGCGTTGGAAGTGCTGAGAGTGTGGGCTGAGAACCGCCTGTATCTGTTCCATTTGTTTAGTGTCTGTTAAAAAAGCTAGTTTGTTATCTGTTTAGGTGTTTGGATTTTTTTAGTGCAGATGTTGTGCATGCTCATATTTAGGACCCCATTTCTGGATTGCTTATTCAGAAAGATTCAAAATGGCATTTTTCATCATATTTCATTTAACTAAAAGGAAGCGATTGACTTGATATACAGTAAATAGCTATAGCTGTCCAAATTTTGAAAATTTTTGAAAGACTATTGCATCAATAAAATAAACATAGTTAGTGATTAGAAGGGATATGTGTACCTGGAAGGTTTATTCTGTTGTGTGTGCTCTTCATTGCAAATTGTTGTGTCCACCTATTGAACTTTAACAGAAGTTTGGAGGTCCAGCCTTTCTTTTCATATCTACCAGTACTTTGTTTGTGGGACCATGGACAGAGTGTGCTACTTCTAGGCTTTCATTTCTCTGCTGCTACAGAGGAGACAGGAGTTCCTGCCTATATAGCCTAAAAACTGTCCATGTCTTTTTGGTGCAGACAGGCTGATGGTCGGAAGGTCCTGCGGTCGAGCATCCGGGAGTTCCTGTGCAGCGAGGCCATGTTTCACCTGGGAATACCAACAACACGGGCTGGCACCTGCGTCACATCTGACTCCAAAGTCGTTCGGGACGTATTTTATGATGGGAATCCAAAAAATGAAAGGTGTACAGTTGTTCTGAGAATAGCCTCTACATTTATAAGGTAGAAGCCTATTTTGTTGATCAGTTTTGGTTTTTTCTTTTTCCCTTTAAAAATAAGTAATCTTCTAAAGTGTATTTCCCTAACAGCACCAATTGTGTGTTTCTTGTTCTGGAGGCTTGGAACTTCTTTAGCTGGGCTGTAGGAAACTGCTTTGGTTGCTCAGTAAATGGGATGAGCTGCTGTCTTTGCACTGAGACAGATAAATACTAGGGATGCTGGCCTGCTAGAAAGAGGAAGTAACTTCTGCAGACTTAGGAGAAGAGATTTTTCATGTTTATTCCTCTACAGAATACATGATTTTTTTTATAGCAGTAGTAGTGGTGAATTATACCTCTATCCTTAATTCCAGTTCTAACGAAGTTCTGTGAAAGTTTGGGTGTACTTTCCCTGCCTGAGAAGTGTATGAGGTTCCTGCTCCAGCAGAAGCTATTTCAGGAAGTTGCATTGCTTCCTCTAAGGTTACAGAATGTTAGAGGAAGGTGAGGTATGAGGAATATGCGCTTTCATATGTATGTGTATATTAGTGTGCATTCCTGTGTGTTTACATATATGGAAAATATATCTGGTATGCTTGATGTACAGTCGAGTATTTAAAATAAGTCCAACTTCTACATATTTGCAGGACAAAAAATTTTCAGTAGAAGGAGTTTTAAGAAACTTTAATGAGCTGGTGTTCAGTACTGGCAGGGTTGGTCCGTTTAGTTACATGTGGGTGTAGGAGCTTCCTTTCACCAAGTCACTGAGCCTCACCACGTTCAGTGTAGGAATCTTGCAGGTCTTTTCCCTCAGTCACCTGAAGAATTGATGTTAAAAGATGATGGTGCTGTTACTGCAACAACAGTAAATATTTTTATTACGTGCAGTATCAAATTATGTTAATAGTTTCAGATAATTCTCAAACCTGTTTTTATTTTGAAACAGATTTGGCTCTTTTGAAATTTTTAAGCCCCCCGATGAATACACAGGACGCAAGGGTCCCAGCGTTAACCGGAATGACATTCGAATACAGATGCTTGATTATGTGATCAGCACTTTCTACCCTGAAATCCAGGAGGCTTATTCAGACAACACTGTTCAGAGGAATGCTGCTTTTTTCAAAGAGGTAAGGAAGATCAGCTTCTCTTCTTAAATCCATACCAGTCATCTTGGAAGTCCATCTGCAAGCACAGATGACTGGAGTCAGTTAATACTTTGTACCATTCTATTGTCTGAACTCTTCTTTGAGGAAAACACTCTTAGTAGACCCACTTCTTGATGAAAGCAGTGTTGATATTGATCTAAGCAGTGAAAACAGTGTAACCTTCCCAATGGTAAATCATTATTTCCCTGCTTTGGGAGAGCTTCCAAAGGCTTCCAAAGGCAAAGTCTCTATTTTCAGGACTATCTTAGACTGTGAGAGGGGGTTCTGGCTCTGACTGTCAGATGATGAGTTGGTGGTGCTGAGACATCACCTGCAAGGCATCATTTTGTAAAATACTGAGATGCTGAGTCTCATTTTCCAAATTACAAACAGGAATGTTGTCTGCAAATCAGTTTAACTTCAGACTTTAGAACTGAAATGTTTCAAGGCAGTTGAGCATTTTTATAACTAGCTAGTAAACAGAGTAATTAAAAAATACCAGTGTCTAATACTTCACTAGTCTATCTGAAAGCTGTTGTGGTGCTTTGAAATCTGAAATGATCTGGTATGGACTCAGGGAATGGCTGCAGCATGATGCACTTCCGTAACAGACCAGTAAGAGGTCAGAAGCCAGACTTGATAGCTGACATTCTGTGGTTTGGTTTCTTGCCCTTTTTTTTTTCTTTATCACAGCCTGTGCATACTTGCATTAATTCTTCAAAGCAGGCTGTGGCTTGGTTCACCTCTGTGTTCCAAAGAGTTTAACTCTGCTGGAAAAGTCCTTTGTGTGTGAACAGTTTGGGTGGATGAGGAGAGCTGTAGCTTGTCACTCTGTTGTGTCCAGCTCTGTAGCTGATGGCATGTTTGCTCCCTGATGGCAGAAAAGGCACAGGACTTGGGGATCTTTGTGGATGTGTGTGTGTGTGCCCAGTCCTGCCTGTTTTTGCTTTTGGCTGCTTTTCCTGGCCCAGTTGCTACTGGATTCCTTCTCCTTCCCCCCACCCCTATTCCTGGCATCCTTTTCTTGTTTCCCCAGATCCATTTTTCTTTGTTGTACTCCTCATGCCACTGCCTGTCCACACTCCATGTTTGTGCTATCATTGCCTCCTTATGTTTTCTCTCATCCTTAGTGGAGACTTTTTAGACTTTTCTCCGTCTGAAAATCACTCCAGTCCGTTTTTTCTTGAACAAACACATCCATTTGCAGGGAACTGCTGTTACTTCAACTCTATCTTGTTTTATTGTTCTTTCTGCACTGTGGAGGAAATGGAGAAAAAAGTACAGGTGACTGCATTTCACAGCACGGTCTAGAAAGCAGACCTCATTATCTGTACTTCTCAAATAATTTGTAGCTGTTGTTTGAATTTAAATGAGTATGTCCTTCAGCTGACAGTCTTATTTATATATACACCATACTTTCCTTCTAGTTTGGCTAGCTGTAGAAAAAGGTTGATAAAAAGTAATAAGGTCAAAGAAGATACAGGGCTTTCTCTTTATTATCAAGATACCCATCTTTGAGTGGCATCCAAAGTTGTTTTTGGGCACTCTCATCAGGGGGATTACTTTTCACCAGAACCCTGGTGGTGTGTGATGCATCCTTACAAGGATTGTCTTACCACTGGAGTGCTTTAATCTCAGCCCTGGGCCAGGACTTTTTCATTTTTAAATTTTACATTTTCCTGGCACAGAGCCATTGTGCAGGGTGTGTCTCTCTTACTGGGTCATGGTCTAGGTAATCAGTTCTGGACACATGTAGCTGGCTACTGCCTTCCAGCTGCCCCATGAATCAGCGTGCAGGAAAAATATGTGAAGTACCTGCCATGAGAATATTGGAGAAATTAGCAGTGTGGGATCTCAAGGTAGACCAAAAGATTGTGTTCCATGCATTATTTGTGTAATTTTTCTTCTTTACTTGACTGCATATGTTTAAAAAAAAAAAAGGTAGGAAAATTCTGGACTGGAACACAAAGCAATTAAACAATTAATTAAGCAATTCATAGATTGCTTTTTGAACCTTAATGAGATACAGTTACACTGCAGCATGGAGCAAATAGTTGTTTTGAATTTCTGTGCATTGTTAGCTATTTGGGAAGAAAAATTATTTTATCTATAAAAATAATTTGATTTTAAAGTTTTAGTGAATAGCTATGCAGAATTTTTACTTATGGCAATTTAGTAAAGTATTTGCAACTAGTTTGATTTGAAAACCATGTTAGCTTCCTGATTTTTAGTGTTGTAGTTGACAGGTGGATTAATGTATTTAAATAACTAGGACTGCTTTAAAATATTATACTATTTATTTGAAGGATGGGGCACATGCAGTAATTTTAGTCAAGTTAATAAAAATAGTTCTTATTTAAGCCGTGGAAAATTACTGATGAAACATGCATTTGGTGAAGAATTGCATTAAAATAAAATCATCATTCTTGCAATATTTTTATTTAATCTTGTAGCCTTATTTCCACTCTCAGAACATGGAGAGAAACGCTTATCAGTGCTAAAACCTGTTTGCATGGAATAGTTTTTTTGTGTCAGCCCTTTACCCTCCCTGTAAATCACCCCTACATACGAGGTAAACCAAAAGGCTACACTTGCTTAGGTGGTTTCCTGCCTGTAGTTACTGTTTAAAATTAATAATAGGCAAAAGAATGTATTTGTATAATGACTAGACTAGTATGCAAGTCTGATGTCAAACAGTTTACTTTGTTTCAGTGTCCTGTTTCCAGTGCATTTGAAAGCTGTTCAATTGACTGGCAAGTCAAGCATGGAAGGAGAGAAGTGGATGCAAATGGAAATGGGAGGCAGGGAAACAGAGGAGTTAATGACAGGAGGAGAGAGGCAAAGTATCCTTAAGATGTTTGTGTGTATGACATAGTGCCAGAACCTGCTTCTGTTGGACCTGTAGAAACATCAGTTCAGACTAGGAAATACGTGAATGTATTGGAAATACATTGTTGTGACGGCAAATGAACAAAACATCCTTTCTTTCAGATAACCAAGCGGACAGCGAGGTTGGTTGCGGAGTGGCAGTGTGTGGGGTTTTGCCATGGCGTGCTGAATACAGACAACATGAGTATTGTTGGGCTGACCATTGACTATGGCCCCTTTGGGTTTATGGACAGGTCAGTGTGGCATCATTGTTTGGAATGTACATATGTTCTTGCTATGTAGGACAATCCTGGCGTTCATGGTTGCTTTAATATTTTGACTGTAAAGTAGACTTCTGAATTATCTTCATGGCAAAGGAGATCAAGGTAGTTCTAGTTGTCCTGTAATTCTTCTCGTTGATGTACTTTAAACTGTATTCACAACATCTCTAGCTGTTAGACTGTTCTTGTAGCCTGTGGCTTTGGAAAAAGAATCAAGGAACGTGTCCTTTCAAATGTTTTAGTTCCTAGAGCAGACTAAAATAATAAAAGTACTACTTCTCACAATATTGGTATTTAGATACTGAGATAGAAGAATGCTAACCATTTCTTCTCTTGTAGGTATGACCCTGAGCATGTTTGCAATGGTTCTGATAATACAGGGCGCTATGCTTACAACAAACAGCCAGAGATTTGCAAGTGGAACCTGGGGAAACTTGCTGAAGCTTTAGTTCCAGAGCTGCCCTTGGAAATAAGCCAACCCATCCTGGAAGAGGAATATGATGCAGAATTTGAGAAACACTATTTGCAGAAGATGAGAAAAAAACTAGGCCTAATCCAGCTGGAATTAGAAGAAGACAGTAAGCTGGTGTCTGAACTGCTTGAAACCATGCATCTCACAGGTTGGTGAACAGCACGGAAGGTGCTTATTTAATAGCCTATCAGAATCTATTGTCAAAGCAAAATACAATTTATATCCAGACCTTAAAAGAAAGTAGCCTTGTGCAACTACATTATTATCTGGGGGAAGAACAAAAGGCTGAAGATAATTACCTTATTGTGAACTGTGAAGTAGTTGTTGCCTTATGCAGGGCCCCTGTCTCACTTTGCACCCTTACTGGGAGAACACTTTATTTGCCTCTTTAGAATGATGACCTGTACTGCTGTGGGAGGAGACAGGAAGGAGGTATGGGAACTGCTTTCCTGTTGATTTACTAGTTGCATTACTCATAAAATTATTTTTTTCAGCTGGAGACTTCACAAATATTTTTTACTTGCTGAGTTCATTCTCAGTAGACATTGATCATTCAAAATTTGAAGATTTCTTAGAAGAGCTTACAAGTCAGTGTGCTTCTGTGGAAGAACTGAAAGTTGTTTTTAAACCACAGATGGATCCAAGGTACTACTCTGCTTAAATGCTTTTGGTGTTTGCTTTTAGTTTCCTTGTGACCACAATGAATTCTGCACGGTATGTAATATTTCACTAATTTTAAGATTGGAAATGTCACTGTTAAGCAGATGCACCATGATATACAACAGTGACTTTTAGCAGTTGGCTCTTGAGTTAAAGTTGGTCTTGGTCTTTTTTTATTTCATTCCCTGTCTCTGCTGACTTGAGCAATAAGAGTACCAAATAATAAAGTGATATGGAAGTATTTTACAGAAGAAATGGGTTTGAACTACAATGCTACTGTGTTCTGCTGTCAGCAAAAAGTCACTTTCAACTGCCAAAGTTCTGGCCTAAGGATAGATCTTTGGACTAGTAGACTGCACCACTTTAGGTGGTAGAGTCCATGCCCCATTTGTTCTGCAGTCCAGCTGCTCTGAGCATGGAAAAAGAATGATTCATGTTCAACTGCTGCAGTGACTACAGCAGTTTTTCACTTTTTGGAGATAGGGGAAAAAAATAAAGGTATTTTGAGTATACTTCTCTTCCTCCCCACCCTCTTGTTTAGTAAGTGCTGCATGAAGGTAATGAACCCACCAAATTTTTCAGCTCTTGCTGTGTGTTGATAGCACAATACAGAGATAGCTTGTGTGGCAGAGATGGGACAGTATGTTTTAAACACTGCATTCAGGACTAGAGAGACCTGAAAAGTAGCTATAAGTCATCATGATAGGGATGTGACATTTTGGAGGGGAATAATACTGTATTAAAGTGAGTGCATTTTTTAATCCCAGCACTTGGATGTCATAGATCTAGGCATATCAGATGTGTACATCAGATCTGGATAGTACTTTATATAAATCCAGAAATCAGAGTACCTGGCTTATCTCTGCTGACTGAAAAGTAGGAAAATATAACTTGATATAATGAATTGTCTGTTTTGAAGCCAGGAGAAATGTTTCTTTTGTCCTTTGCTTAAAACAGCATTTACAGAGGAAATAAAAACACTTCATATTTTGATATGCTGCAACTCTTTGGGTTTTTATTTTACTTTATGCTATGCTGTAGTTATTAATTCAGGAAAAATAAAAGCTAGCATGATATTGGAAAATAAGGTGGAGCTATTGCACAGCACCAGCTAACACAGTGAAATATGAAAAAATGCAATCTTAGTCAAACTTGCAGCAAATTAGTCTGGATATTGTTTAGAATTTATTATCAGAAAGCAGTTCTCAATCTATGATTTAGACTGGCTAACTAAAAAAAATCAAACATAGTGTTGTCTCATGTGACTTGATTGAAGTATTTTTCCCCATATCATTTAGGGTTTTATTAGTACTGGCAAAAATAGTAGGTGTTAAAGAAATTTCAAAAACCCCAAACAACATAACCTATGAATGCTATATTATCTTTATATCTAAATAAGATCAATTTTTTTTAAGCTAATTCCTTTCAAAGTTCAAAGGGTGTTTTGATGAGAATTGTGCAACTAAATTAGTAATTTTCAAAATCTACTTTATATACCACAAAAATCTTTATATACCACAGGAATGTTAATTAAACACATTGTAGAAGTAGGAAGAAACAGTGAAATTAGGATCATTTATAATAAAAGTTGTTTTACTAATTATGAATTTCTGTTACTTAACCTCTCTAGTGAAATCTCAGTTTGTTGTGAATGTTTTTGTATCTACTTTGATGGCAGAGAGATGGTTCTTGACGAGCAGCTCAACTTTAGTATCTGATACGTTTGTTCTTTTTGTTCCCAGACAACTGTCAATGATGCTGATGTTGGCTCAGTCTAATCCTCAGCTGTTTGCATTAATTGGAACAAAAGCTAATATCAATAAAGAACTGGAGCGCATTGAACAGTTCTCTAAACTGCAGCAGTTAACAGCAGATGATGTACTTAGCAGAAATAAAAGACAGTGGAAGGAATGGCTGGAGAAATACAGGTAAGGTTTCTCAGTATTGGTAGCACTATTATATTTCTGCATTTTGAGAACGATGTGCATGTCTTAAAAAAGACACCCTGTCTCAAATATAGATTAGGAGGGTGGGGAGGGCAAGCAACTCAAGAATATTATCTACTGCCCATGATCAGTGTCTCTCTTGCTGTGAAAATTCAAGGGCATCTTTTTGCTTCCTTTACTAAATTGTGAGGTAGTGTGAAGATGTAGAAATCACCTAGCATCAAATGTAGTATGAAGAGTGCTTCACCAGTGTTGATGTTGATTCTGATTTAGACTAATTCCAGTTGTGAACTTTTGCTCAGTAACTACATCTGACTGACCTCTAAGCATTCTATTCTTTGAATTTTTTTTTTCCAAAAGAAAAATCTATATGTTAATACAGAAAGCAAGTATTCTTAATCAAAGAGTAAAAACGGAAATCATGGCCAGGAAAACAAATGTCCAGACTGTTCTAAAGCCTAAAAACTTAAGTGTTAGTGGGAGATTTTTTTTGTAAAGAAAACCCCTGAATAGAGCATTAATTTTTTGTACTGTGTGGATTAGGGCAGATCTTTCCTCACCTGGGTGCCTGTGATCTTGTTCTCCAGCAGGGCTGAGAGCTTTAGCAAGTATTACTGATAGAAAGTACCTCAAACTGCCTCAACTGTATTGCATCCTCGTGCCTTTACCAGAACAGCAAAAGCTTTAACCAATAAATGTATAGAAATATTTGAAAGACAAGACCTGAATGTGTCAGTCATTGCAGAGCAGTGCAGAACAGATCATATCCTGTGTCTTGATCTGACTTTGGAGAACAGAAAAGCTGTGCTGTGCCACTTCCTCAAGCTCTATCAGGACCTGCTGACTGTCCCTAGTACTGCTTTTAAACTAAGTGGTGGTTTATATTCTGTTGCCATTCTGCATTTTATAAGCAGAGAGGATTATAGATTATATAGTAGTTTTTAAGAACTGAAAATTAGGTATCTCAAAACACGAAAATGTGTCAACTTCTACATGGGATTCTTGGTAAAAACCAATTGTTGTAATGTGCTTTATTTCAGAGTCCGTTTGCAGAAAGAAATAGAAAGTGTTGGTAATGCTGATACCTGGAACACTGAGCGTGTCAAGGTCATGAATTCAAACAATCCAAAATATATCTTGAGAAATTATATTGCCCAGAATGCCATAGAAGCAGCTGAAAATGGGGATTTCTCAGAGGTATGCTATTATTGCTCTCTTCCTCTCTAGGCTTGTGTGGATGTGTAGTGGTGCTTTCAATGACTGACATTATATCAAGCAAAATTTATCTGGAATCTTGGGCAGTAAGGGAATTGGGAATTCACTGTTCTGGAGATCTCTGTTGTTTTTATTGTAACTGTAATTTTAATGACTGCAGTACAAATAATGGAATCAAAACTCTGAATCTGAACTTCATTAGTTCTTGTAGGCTGACCTCAGGACAAGACACTTACAGTGCTTTTACTGTCTTGAGAATGGCTTGGAAGGCAGTTGAGGATTAATTTATACTTGTTCCTTTCTGGAAAATGTTATCTTTTAAAATTTACAGCTTTCACCTGTGGACTTCAGTATGTAGAACATTACATACAGAATATGGGAAAATTAATCTATTTTGAGAAATTAGATAAGAATTTGTATTTATTATTTGCATTTCAAGTGTTTTGAGCCTGAGTCCCATACAGATACAAACTCAGCCAGGTACAGTTTTACAGTTTGCATCTTATGTATATTATTAATCTCTTTAATATTTGGTTTGTCTGAAGTTCATGTATTAAATTCAATATACTTGCTCATTATTTGGCATGAGGTTCTTCTCCATATCATTTTGCCTTCACTTTCTAAATTCTTAACAACCATGCTGTGTTTTTGCTCTAGGTAAGAAATGTACTGAAACTTTTAGAACATCCATATCAAGAAGCAGAATGTTTCCAGGAGGTAAAGGAAGATGCAGAAGAGGAGGGAGCAACTGCTACAGCAGCTGTTTGTTCTCAAGAGACCAGAAGCAAACAATCATATTGCAGCAAACCTCCGCTGTGGGCTTCGGAGCTCTGCGTTACGTGATCTTCTTAACTGCCTTGTTTTGTGTTTTGCTGTGAACTGAAGACTCTGATCCTCTTTCAGCAGTGAAGAATCCAGCAAGGCAAACATCAAAGTGCTATTAAGTTATTGAAACAACACTACATCTGGATGCATCTGCAGCAGTCTTCAGCTGTGCTTAATTTGAAGTAATTGTGGATCATTGGAACAAACCAGTGACAATCACATACACATCAGTAATCTAAATGTTTAAAGAACCAAAGTCTTTCCTTTATCCTCACTACGTTGCAAGTAAAAAGCAGTATTTTATGTTGAGGCAGGCTGAACTTCAGTCATCCAAATGGAGTTGTTGTTACATGAAGACAAAAACATCAAGTCAGGAATCTGATCTGGTTTTGTCTGATGTCTTAACTAATAGTACTTCTAATATTTACTTACTGCTTTCTCTATGCAGAAACTTTTAGTCTTCTTTAATGGAGGAACGAACAGATTCAGTGTTGCTTGTTTGAAGCTATGTTTCATTTAATTAAGTAGTTCATTTCTTGTGAACTTTCAGATTGGTATTTAATCATTATCTATTTTTTGAGAATGTGTGTGCCAGCTAGAATTTGGGGGGAGCAATTTAACTTTTTTAAGAGCAGAATTAAGAGAGATTACATTTGCACTTGAAAACTTGGTGGTGAAGTTTATTCAGGTTCAGTATGTTTGCACACAACACCCATAAATATTCACTAAACTCAGGAGTGCAGTTTGTAACCCAATTGCCTTGGGCAAGATCCATAAGCCAAATTAGCTTGAGCCTTAAACTACCCCAGCACTCCAATCCAGGTTTGTTGTGGATTTATTTCTGTGCTCCTAACAGAGTCTGCCTGTTTGGGAAGTGTGCAGGTCAGGTACCTGCTCGTCACACTGGTCAGTGGGGTTCTTCCATTTCTTCTCTACTCTTTTGCCATTTAGTTTGTTTCCATGGTCCGTGAAAATCTTCAATCTGGAAGTTGGTCATTTAGGAATGTGCTATCTGAGCTTGGATAAAAGTTGATGGAGGATGTGGGAAGAGAAGAGGAGCTGACTTGCTTGCAAGTTACTTAAAATGTTTCAGAAGAGGTTTCAGGGGAAGGTTGGTTGCCATTACTGTCACATCATCAAAAGAAAGTTGTTCTGTAGGTAGTTGTTACTTAGCTTTCTGAGTTTCTTTTTGAAGGACTGTATTAGTAGTTTAGACACCTGAAAGTGTCCTGGAAGTTCAGACACCTGAAAGCAAAGGCTTCTGTTTCCAAAGAGGCCACTGTCTCACACTGTGATTTATGTGTCCTCAAGGAAATTCTTCTGCTACCCCCATGCAAACTTGTTATCAGCTCGGGTTGAATTGTGTCGGGTTTTTGAAGTCTTCCTCAGTATGAGCTGTCAGCAAACACAGAGAACAGTTGGACTGTTGCTTATCCATCTGTACTAACAGTCAGTTTTTCCTCCTCACTGTCACAGGACATAGGGCATGCTTTGAATGTAAACATTCGCTCTGTCTTGGAGCTGGAAGAGCTGATTTGTGATAAACTGTGATCTCTGACAAGCACAGCACTTTCTGTGCGATTTGGAGTCCTTAAAGAAAAGGACAAACTAGGTGTGTTCCACCTAGCCCATGGAAGAATGGCGTAGTTGAAAGGTTAAGCTTTCATTGAAGATTATCCTTCCTTTATATTTGTGTTACTGGAACCAAACCATTTGATAGAAACTTTAGCAGAAAGTCAGTGCTGGGTAAACAGGACTGCATCAGGGAGGGAAAATGTGTCTGCAGTTTGAAATACACTTGAGACATCCACTTGCAGAACCTGTGGTCTCTTACAGTGTTTGTAGGGCTCCCCTGGGACTGTCAGGGCAGCACAAGTATGAGGTGGGGGCAGCTCCTGTCGGGACTTATCCTTCGATATTCGGATTTCTTGCAGTCAGCTGCCCGCGCAGGGCCACAGGACCCTGAGCACAAACATCGGCTGTTTTCCCTGGGAAAGAAAACTCACCAGTCCAGGTTCCTGCTGTCAGTTTGTAGGGCTCCCCTGGGACTGTCAGGGCAGCACAAGTATGAGCAATGAGCTCCACAAGGGAGCAATGGAGCGGGGAGAAGTTGCTCCAAACTTACCATCATTACTGTGCTGATTCTGTTTCTCAGTTTATATCTTTTCTTTTGGACACACAGGGGAACAGAGTTTTAGGGGAGTTCTATCCAAGCTTTTTCTTTCCCAAAATGGTGTAAAAAGTAATGATTCTTAATCATACCTAAAGGATCAAGTCTTCTCAACAGCATTCTGATAATAATTTGGGGGGGGGTTGAGTAGGTCTCTATTAATAGTCGTATTGAGAAGGAGAATAATATTCTAACTGTGTGTTTGTGTGTTTGGACATATAAGAATTTGGATTAACTACCAAATTATTGTGCACCTATATTGCCAAAATCATAGAAGGAAATACTGTGGAATAATTTACAAGTAATGATCCTTAAAAGGGAAAATGAATATTACAGTAAGAAATGCAAATGCAGTGGTATTTGCTGCTACATATTCTATTCTTTGCTTACATGTCAAATCAAATGCAAGAGGTCTGGCAGGGTTGGAATGATTAATGCAGCCCCTTGGTGTGCCAGTCAGTAAATTTGTATGTATGATAGATGTTCACCAACAGGTAGAAACTGGGAAGGCTTTCACATGTTCCAGCTGCACTGACATCCAACTGCTCAGTTCCCCAGGGCATGCAATAATATCAGTGCTTTGTGTTTGAAGAAGCACGATGATCCAGAGGCAAGAGGAATGCTTGTGCTGTTCCAGCACTCTCATTTCAGCAGGTGGGTCGTAGTCTGATCTCTGATGACAGTGAGTTTCTTCTGTTCTTGTTCCTGGAGAAATGTGGAAGCAGGAGGTTGAGCAGCAGCACAATTAGGCCAAATTTTGTCCAGATTAGAATGTTATTACTTAGCTCAGTTCTTCAGAGAGAAGGGAGTGGAGCTTCTAGCATTTCGGAATCTAAATACTTGAATCATAATTTGCTTGTTGATTTTTACTGCTTGTATTTGCAATAGGTTCTGAAAATAATATTTATTACTGGTCAAATATTCTGCTTATATAAAAGCCATGGAATTGTGCTCAAAATGAAGTGGTAACTCTTCTTATCAAAAGCTTTCTGTGGAAATAAGTGATTAGACTTAGCCTTTGGCTATACCATATATCCTAAAGTACACTCATATAAAATCAAGAGGTACCCAGATTACAAAACTGAAATGAGAACCTATTGGAGACTGGATATTCTCACATGACAGTGGGACTCCTTTCATGACTTGGTAAGATTTCACCGTAACTCTGCTTCATGAGCTTGTAAATCTACAGTTGCAGAATGTTTTCAGGTCAACTTTATTTTGGAATGTTGTGTGGGTTGTTTGGGGTTTTTTTTGTTTGTTTGTGGGTTGGGTTTGGGTTTGGGGTTTTTTTTCCACGTAAGTTCTACAGATCTGATTATTTTATTAAAATTGATAAAAATTGCAATTTTAATATTTTTGTTAATGCCTGTTTCCTGAAAGTTTTTCTGTTAACCACACTGATCACAGATGTGAATCCAACCAGAGGGTTTTGCAATGGTGTCACATTCAGTGTATCATCCTACAGTCTGAATTCTAAATAGTGCTGCCACTACCTTGCTAACATAGTTACATCTTGTCATTCAACCGTTTGCTTCCTGTGTTGACAATGGGAGGTTTTTAGTGTGCAGTGACAGTTCTCAGTTCCTCTCACCTGTATACAAGTGGGCTGTGATAAAGCTCCAGACAGACATGAGTACAGACTGTACCATTTTTGTTCGTGCAATCATGCAGCAAACGCCTAATTAACAGGGGAGCAGAAAATCAGGGGGAGAAGTCAGGTTTTCTAAGTGTGCAAAATCTCTTTGTACTCCCTACATAAAAAACATATACCCAAGGCTTGATATAAACTTTGATAGTATGTTTAATTAACACTGCCTATATAGCCATAAAACAAACCATGAATCCATTGTCTAGACTTCAAGGTGTTTCTGTTCATGGCTTGTTGCAGAAGCGATAGAATTGCAGCTCTGTGAATCATCAAAATCATGAATGAAGACTCACTTGAAGCAAAAAAATACTTTTTTGAAATGTGATTGTAAGTTTAAATGTTGCAAGACCCACTCTCATGGAGCAGGGAGAGCATTTTTGATGAGGCTCTGAGAATTCCCCTAAAACCACAGCTTCCATACAGTGTCCATACAGCAGCAGATACCCAGCCCAGCACTTGGCCTGAAGTTATTCTCTGAGTGGATATGCAAATTCACAAGGTTGATGTTTGGTACATTATGGTGTCCCTTAGTGCCCAGATCCATCAGAATAAGCAAATGAGCATGTCCTATTAGCCAATTCCTCTTGAAACTGTTCTGTAGGAACCATGTAAATACATTTTTGGGTTCTCAGAGGTGACTTTTCTTGGGCAAAATACACAGGTCTTCAGGAGAGATTCTCAAACATCCAAGATGTAAAGTCCTGTATTTAAAACATTCCTTTAGGCTCCCTGTGTAAAAGAAAAATAGGGAAATGGAAAGAAATAGCTCCTTTCCAGGCAGTGAGTCACCTGATACTAGCATAGATGTCTAAATAGAACATGTAACTCGTGCCTCAGAAGTGTCTTTTTCTCTCCATGAACTATAAAAAGAGTCTAAACAACTGGCTCAGATGTAAATGTCTGCAGTGTAGATGATCAAAGCAAGGTGAGGTATATCCACCACTGGAGCATGGGAAGGTGCAGACAGGCTCAGGGTCTGGAGCACACACCACCCGCTCATGGCTAGTTTCTCATTGTGCCTGTTCTGGTGTAGCTAATGCTCCAGCCTTCATGAGTCCTTCCTCTACCCTTCCCACAGTGAGTTGCTGACAAATAGTCAAAATGGTCTTAGGAAGTCAATCAACTCTGTGCCAAGTACTTAAAAGTGGAAAATACTTAGAAAAATTTAGTGGTTTATTAAGAAGTTATATACCTAGAAAGAAACAATTCTGCAATTTTTTCCTAAAACTTCCTAGTTGGAATGTCCATAGTCTAAATCTTATTTGGCAGACTAACTTAAAAACACTTGAACATTTGAAGGAAGATTAAACGAGCAATGAATGACAAACACCCAGCAAATAATTTAGAATCAGATAAAAATATTTCTTTTTTTTTTTTTTTAACCTCTAAATACTATTATATTGCTTTGTTACAGATTTTGTTCGTTTGGGTGGTTTGTTTGTTTTTTTATTTGTATTCAACACTTTAGAAAATAATTGCAAATAAATGGCTGGAGTTATGTAGGAGGAGAAACTGATGGGAGCTCCAACCCTGTAGCTATGCTATTCATTTGCCATGACAGAAGCACATGAAGGCGTCCTCTGACACCCAATGATTGAACCCAGCACTCCCTGACACCGAGAAACTGCCCTAATTTCAAACATGCTCCAGGATGGCTTTCACTGCACGTGTCTGTGTTTGCATCTCAGCTTGGACTGTGATTTTGATGCCTCTTTTCACCACTGCCCACCACTGGGATTGGGCACAGAGCCGCCTTGGAGCAGAGCAGATCAGCCCCTCGGATGAAGCCAGAACAAAGCTGTGCCCCAGCTCCAGGGAGCAGCCAGACCTCGCCACCAGAGCAGTCCCAGTCCAGGGGACACCCCTGGAGCAAGGCCAGTGTGGACACAGGGCCCCAGTGCCCACGCTATGGATCTGCTCCTGTTGTGCTACAGGACTTGCTCTGCACAGATTCTCTCCCTCTCTTGTGCAGTTTCCTGCTTCAGGTCAGAAAACACCCACTGGGGCAGAGAGTGTGCTCAGAGCCCAAACAGATGTGCTGACAGGGGGTGAGAATCTGTCTTTTGCTCAAGCAACTCAGGAGGCTCTAGTGATAATATCTCAGGTCCCTTCAGTTGCAGGAAATAATTTGCTATGATGCAACAAGGCTGTGTATCTATTTTGTGGTTTCCACCCAATCCCTGCAAGTGACAGAAACCTCATCCTACCCTGCAGTTGGTTTATAGCAGTTTTAATTGCCAAACATGCCAACAGCAGATTCTGCAATTCCTGGGCAAAAGCTGTTGCTTCTATTTGCATGTGATTTCAGACACTCTTCCAGTCACGAACGCTATGGTCGGACTGAAGATGTCTTTCTTCTTCCTCCAACTGTAAAATCACAGTAAGACTCCACAAATCTTCATGTGAGCTTTTATACAGAGGACTCAGCTGCTGCCCGAGGATTCATGTGCTGCAGATATCTGCCCATACCCTCTGCCCAAAGAACTGTAATCATCTCAAGTACCTTCAAAGCTTTGCTTCTGCTAGCAAATGAACACAAGCTGTGTCACTTCCTAATATTCTACAGTGCCTTTCCCTCCCCACAGATTTCCTAGAGTATGGTTCTAATCACTGACACTGCTCCTCCAACCCTTTTGGTGACTTAGGATGCTCTTTGTATTCATTCATTGGCTCCTCCATGAAGACATGAATTAAAAAGTTCGTCTTTCTGTAGAGACTTCACAAATCCCTCTCAGGGTTCAGATTTTAAATTATTTTTCATTTAGAACTCTCAAGCCTCCATTACCTCAGTTCTTGGAAAAACACTGTGAAATGTGGTCCCTGACTCAGAAAGTAGCTTACAATTCCCTTGCAGGAAAACCGTTTAAGGATGGCAAATTATAGCAGAGCCAAAGAAGCGGGGGAATGCAGAATAAATTACAAAAGCGTTCAGACAGGCATGGCACGGCTCGGCACAGCGGGGCGGGCGCGTAGCCACACTTGTAGCTGTTCTTGGTGCTGAAGGAGGCGACGCTCCGCGGCAGGGCAGGGCAGGGCACGGCACGGCAGGGCACGGCACAAAGAGGGGGTCACCGGCGCGGGCCGGGACTGTTTGATGCGGTCTCCCCCAGGGTGCGGAGCTTCCATCCCCATCCCGCCTTCCGCGGGCGGCGGAGTCGCGTCCCCCGCCACAGGATAGATGACACAGGATAAGATTCCCGACGCTCTTTGTCCCGTCCCCGGGTTTGGCTCGCAGCTCGGATCCCGGGTGGCGGAGTTCCCCTTTATCTCCCGACACCAGGCAGGTTTCGGCAGCGCCGAGCCAGGGCCGTCCCGGAGGCTGAGGGACACAGCCGGGAGCGCTCGCCGGAAGGCTGTGGAAGTTTGCCGCGCTCCTAAAGGCTCTGCCCACCACACGAGCACTGCACGGGGATGCCCCGGGCCGGCAGCGCCCGGGCCGGCCCCGCGGAGCCGCGGGAGCGCAGCCCCGGCGGGGCCGCAGCGCCCGCCCGGGAGCGCCGCTCACCGCGGGGAGAAGGTTCCACCTCCAGGGCGCTGCCCGCAACTGCAGCCGCGGCGCCGGCAGCGCTCGGCTCGGCACAGGGCGGGCTCCGAGCCCCAGGGGCAGCACGGCCGGCTCGTCAGGCCCCTGACATCAACCAGATCTTTTCCGTCGTCCCATCTCACCTAGTCTGAACTACTCTCCTTAAAAGGAACAACATTTTTCTTTGCTTCGCTCAGGGCTGTCTCACTTACTTAGAACAGCATTGCTGGAAGGAGGAATTCCAAGAATGCTTAAATATGTCCAGCCAGTGCTTCCATGATCATCTTTGTTGTGTGTCACTGCTTGTGTTTGGGTTAAAGACCTGCCCCAGGCAAACCACGGGACTCAGACAATGTTCAATGGGTCTTTCTACAGGAATAGCGTAGGGCTAAGCAATAAGGTTCCAAACATCAGATACTGCTCCCAAAGACACTGGGTGGGAAGTCCAGTGGCTTCAGGACAAGACATAAGTCTGCACCAGAAGCCAGGCCTGGGTGCACATACACACCCAGTCTTGTAAATTCCTAAAAAACAACTCAGGTAAACAAACAGGTCTCTGCCTCACTAGGCAACAAAACAGCTCAAGTCTGCAAGCCACTTGCTCTTGCAATCCCCTTTTCTGCAGAACAAAAGGCAGAGAGTTAATAAAATACAGCACAGATAAAGAAACAGCATAGAAGATGTATGTTACAACTAGAGTCAGAGCAAAAACATTCAGGTCAGCTTCACAGCTGGTATATTCTGTCTCTAATACTTATTTCTTGTTCAGAAAAAAAATCATAAACTATTTTTACATCTTAAAATAATCTTATTCAATAGTCCATAGTAACATGCTAGTCAGGCCTGTAGCTTCAAATAACTGTCCCATAATCAGACAATGAGCTCCTCATGAATATATCCACCTTTTAACCAACCATGACTTCATGATCTCAAAACCAAAGTACTTCAGTGCTGACTGCCTCTCTATAATGTTCTCATAAAATGACATTGAAAGTTCAATTGTCTCTTCTCACAACATAAGCAAAAAAAAAAACAAAGTGGGAAAAGGAAATTTACGCAAATATGATCCTTTTGTTGAAAGCAGTACTTGGAATATATTGGGAATTACAGCTTTATTTTGCCTTACTGATGCTGAATTTCTGTTTTAAGTGTTTTAAATAATCACTACAAAATAAGATGCATAGTTTAAATTAAACGTAAGAAACTAAGTTTGGCACAAGTGTTCCAACAATCACCAAGTGCTTGAATAGTCAAATATTGTATCTCCTAAAAGACCACCTTGGCACATCATGTCCTCTTCCACTGTGACTAACAGTCTTCAAGAAATTAGTTACATTTAGATTAACAATTAATATCAGTTCAAAAATAAACCACATCAAATAACAGGTACTAATATCTGTGGGAACATTTGTAACTCATACCCATCTCTCGACAGCTTTAGAAAGTATCTGTTAATTTATTTCACATACATGTATTTACACTGAAGGAAATTCACACCACTGAAAATACATTTACACATTCACAGATATACAGTTGTGCACTCTCTCCTGTGCAAAGACCAGCCACTCAGCTCTGCTATCCCTGCAATAATGACAGTATCGATATTTAGCAGATCAAACAACTGGCAGGTTTAGTGGATTTTAAGCATCATCATACTCTGTATATGGTGGTTATACTCTTGAAGCTTTTAGACAGCAGATTATTTCTCTTCATTTTATGAAGAAAAATGCCTCCTGCATGGCATTTGCATAAGCTTCTATAAATCATAAGCATATACATATAGTTTCTGTTTTACTGTGTTATCAGTGATCCTTACTCTGTAGAGTTCAGTTATCCTTGTAGTAGTTATTAAAGTTAATTCGCAGCAGGAAGTCCTCCAAATGTGGTTGGTATCCTCTATTTACAAGCTTTGTTACCACTGGAAGAAAAACCAAAAAAGAAAGTAAGCTTCAACTAAGATTAATATTGTAAATTCATCCTTGACAGCATCTCTGCTTTTTAATTAAAAAAAAAAAAAGCATAATGCAGAAATCTGAGAACAAATGTATATTTTAACGTAAGAGAAGTCCAGTATTTCCTTCTGAAATGATAAAATATTTCAAATAAATGCAAAAGAAAGACTACATGTCAGTTCTAAGTGAAAGTGCATTATTCTAACAAAGCATTTCCTTATTCACTTCACAGAAACAAAGAAATCATAGAATCTTTCACAATAAAGATGGTGTGTTCCTATCACAATTTCAACTGACCAGGAAGCATGTTTAGGTCCTCAGGAGACCTCTGTGAAAGAAGCAGCTCTGCCGAAGTTTTCTTGAGCAAAGTCCAAACAGAAATTCCTAGGACAAGCCCCTCACACTCTATGAACAAACACTGACTGCTCTAAACATTCTAAATTACAAAGGAAAAAAGCCAAAAGAAGCTCCCTAAGATCACAAACATCCCATGCACCAATATAAAGGAGATTAGCAAGCAGCAGCAGCATGCAAGGAAGAAGGGGAGGTGTATTATTAGAAGTTAGGGACCGAGCCAAAGCCATTGAAGTCCAGACAACTTTATATTGGCTTTCAATGGATTCTGGATCAACCCATTGTGGAATGAGAGCATTTTACAATACATGGTGACTGAGGTACAAGTGGAGATGAACAAACACGTATTTGTTTTGTAGTGCTTAATAAAGAGGGTGTAAAAAACTGGGTCACTCATCAGATTTCCTTACGGAATGGTCTATTAATCTCTGTCCATGAAGCAACCATAGATCTCGTAGTATGGGCTTAGGTGACTCCCACAGGTGTTCTGACTTCCTGTAGAATTTGGAAGCAGCCATTCTAACTCATCCTGAAATATCTGTTTTTGGTCCTTTGATACCATTTTTGGACACCCTTAAAGAATAAAAAGGGCAGCTCATTTCCTGAAGTATATAGTCTGAACTAAAAACTATTTTAGAAGAATAGATCCAAGAAAAGCAGTTGCACCTCCTTCAGGAATTCAAGATTTTCTAAGAAAAAGGAACCCAGATCCCACAAACCACTTTTATACTAGATGAAGGATAAGTAATATACTAAAACACAATCAAGATCTGAAAGACAAATGGAAGGTAACTATTTCAGCACATTTCAGCACTGTCAGCCTAAGCTGACAGCGAGATGAAATTTTATCATGGTAAAGGAAAGAACATTTGGCTAATGATCCATGTAGTTGAAAAACTTGCCTGGAGCATGTGCTGGGAGGCTCTCTGAGCTTTAGTCCAACATGGGAATCAGAATTTCCAAATCTCCTATCAGTGGGAAAGCTCAACTACTGCATATGTATTTAAAATTACTTCTGAGTGGTATCTAACTATCTGTCATTGCTGCCAATAAAAAGTTTCAGAACTCAATTCCAGAGGAAAGAAAAAATGTATGCACACAAGTACAGCTAAATACCAAATACTTATTTTGTAAATCAGCAAAAACTTACAGTCAGTTTTGAAATATCTGTTAGATTTCTTGTGTGGACATCTTAACTGATGTATATGCAGATCTTGACAAACCACAACAATGCAGTTTTCATTTGAGAACTGTATTTCCAACACTCCCTACGTATACAAATCTTCCTACTTTTACATTATGCTACCAAAATATTCCAGTTTCCAGTTGACCTTTTCTTCTATCTAGAATTTATGCAATTTCTTACCTTTGAATAAGAAATGGGAGTAATACTTGAAGGTATTGTACGACTGCTGCATCAGACCAAAATTGGGATGAACAGCCATTTGCTTCCCTGCATCGAAGCTCCATGACTGAGAGATGAGCTGGCTGCGGAACTTCAGAATAAGGCTGAAGATGCTATGTATGATGTTCATCACAGGGGCTGCCTTCTCTGTCAGCAGACCCCTAACAGAACAAAAACAACTTCAGACATTAGTTGATGTAATATATTGGCTGCAAGACTACAAATAAAAAGGAGTGACAATCCTTTAGGTTAAAGATAATTGCTTAAAAAATCCCCAAGAACTGCAGCCAACAAAATTTAAACAAAGTGCCTAAAACTAATACAGTTTACTTGCACTTCCAAGAAACTTATATTTGCCTTAGGGTATCTGATTTCTAGAATGACACCTGCCTTTGCAAAAGAGATGACATTTAACAACAACATGCTCTTGAGTTTTTTTAAACTTTAATCTCCTCTCTCCTACCACCTGCTTTCCCAACAGCAGTTCTAGGCAAGTCTTTCCTGATTAACACTCGAAAAGAGAGACATGAAAGGAAAGACTTCTCTTGTTTATAATTTCTGTTCCTTATCATCTCCCCCCATCTCAACTTCATCATTTCAGTGTACACTCCTCAAGAAGAAATCAAATAACTTTAGCTCCTTTCCGTCACACCACCCCTCTGCCTCACATAGAGTAACACTAAGGGGCTAAAAGCTTGTGATTTCTAAAAGACAGGTGTCTCTTGCACTGTTTATGTATCTAGACAAATCTTTTTGTCCTTTCCAAGTCTAGCCCTGGTCACTGCACATGTATTAAAAGCACATACATTGTACAGAGATGCATTTTACATCCTTTAGCAAGGCTTACTGTGCACACTACTCATGATGAATGAAACAGCAGTAATTTACAAAGGATGGAGTAAAAGAGAAAGAACTGTGGAATGTGTGCCCTCAGTTTAGGGCTCTTAGTTTAGAGCTGAACTGAACAGACTGAAAGCTTGCAGAAGCATAGCATGAACAGGAGTGGGAGGTAACTCAAGGAGTCCAGGGAAATGAAAATGATGGACAGCAGAAAAAAAGTATCAAAGTATAGCTCTTGTAAGATGCCATGAAGTTTGTTTCTTACATAAGAACACTTCCATATATAAAGACTACTTAATGTGTCACGTAAAACTCAATTTTGCACAAATACATTAGGCTAGGACTGACCACTCCCTTAACATGTTTTTGAAGTAAAAATAAGTATGGTAGCTTGCCTGAAGATTGCTTTGTTGAGGTATTCAGCATGTGTTCTGTGAATTTCTTCTAGGTTGCCCACAGAAGACAGTTTGTTTCCAAATTCACACCATGTAACGTGAAGAATCTGATTAGCAATGTAACCTTGAATTACTTTCACAAAATGCTGCATCTCATGTTTATACAGCTGGAGCTGTCGAAACTGAACAGAATTTGATGCACGACTCACTAAAGCTGAAAATAAGAGCAGAAATATATTATCAGCCATAGAGACCATCTAAAATCAGAATTTTTTAAGGAATAAGGATTTTTATTAGTAGAGTCTAATCCTGTTTAAAATGCCTTCAGCACCCTCTGCTAGACAATTGCTTATATACAGTCATGTCAAACTTCAAAAGTTACAATTTAAAAAAAAATTTTCCTTGGCATTTTAAACAGGATGCTCTCTCATTCACTAGTCACACTTACCAGTGCGCTTTAAGTGAAACCAAACATCTTTGAGAGTCCACACCATGTGCTTCAGCTGAAGCAAAAAGGAGAAAATCTTGTTGTATTTATTCATGCAGCTCTCAGTAATGACAATGTTCAGAGGCCAGTCAACCTAGAAGAAATAACAGTGCTGATCATACTACATTTTCTGTTAGAAATTATTATTTAAAATACAAGTATTTCAACAATTATTATGTATTTTAATAATGTAATGCAATGGTCAGGGTAAGTAAATCCTGTAGTTTCCATTACACATTATTTTACTCCATTCTTACTAACATATTCACTTTACCATTGTGCATAAGAACCATGGCATAACTGTAGTATTCTACCTTGCTCCACGCCTTCTTACCTTGTACCTGAGCTCTAAGCAACTCAGAGCATCTGGTGCATTGGGCTTGAACATTTCTGGGAGATACTTGAGGGCAAAAGAAAGATTGGAAGCAAGCTGGGTGTCACCATGAAGACTGTACTGTAGCGCTTTGTTTAGGATAGAATTAAGAACCAGTGGATTCAGCAATTCACCAGGTGTTTGTCCTGATCCAAGCTAGGGATAAAAAAAAAAAAAAAAATCCTAATTATACCATATTAATAAAAAGTCTTGGTTCTTGAACACAAGTGAATTAAAACTCAATGGTAAAGTGGTGACTACCCTGCGTTGATTTACTTCTGCCATAGGGATGCATAAGGGAACAATATAAGAAGCAACTTCTGAACTATTTTCTGTTCACAGCACAAAGACTAATCTCATACCTACACTGATTTATTTTTGTATGTCTGCTGTGGTTCAGGAGCTGCTACAAGTTCCTCCTCCAGGGAATAGCATCTTTAGAAAGCCAGGGACACAACAAATTTATCTGACTTGAACCTGCCTATCTCATCACCTCAGCACTCTCAGAGGTTTACAAATAAAGCTGTTCATCAAGTCTAAATGCCCAAGTGCTTTCCTAATTTGGTCTAAAGCATTTTCAGGACTCAGAGAAATGCATTAGCTCTCCTACCGCTGTCTGTCTCCATGGGCAATCATCTATATGAACCCAGGCTATCTGTCCTACCTTGCTGTCTTCCCCATGAACACAGCAGTAAGCCATGAAATATTGTCTCACCAGACGGCCCAGCACTCTTTTCACATGGCTTCCCTCTGCTCTCAAAGGATATTTAAGGTTAAGAGTAGGTAGCTTGCAACACAGGCCTTCCCACTGGATTTTAGCAAAATCCTCTTTCAGCCTTGCTGCCAGCAGACAGAAGGGGACAGCAATAGTGCAGCAGTTTTCACAGGAAAGCATGAAATACCCTTCCATGAGTGCTTATCCGTCCAAGACCTTTTTTCTCCATCCTTAGAACATTAACAGAGTTCCTTGTTACAGACTTCTTGATAGAGTACAAAAGAGCCAGGATTCTTATTCACACCATTCCCTCATTCCCATCCAAATCGACTCAGAGGCATCAAGGTAAAGCAGACAACCTAAACACTGGGGTTAAGACAACAAAGCAAATACCTTCTCAAACAACAGGTCACTGAGTGACTGAGCAAACTCCCCATCTTCCATTAACAAAAAGTGTCTCAATGCTTCAAAATGCTTCTCTACGTTCAGCTCCACAAAGTAGTAATCAACTATTGCTTTGTTCACAAGAGAAACACTACAAATAAAAACACAGAAAAGGTATTATACTTACAGGCAACTCCTTCCTTACTGTTAACATTCATTACTGTGGCTACATCAGATTAATGCTCCAGTGCTTAATTCTGCTATCTAAGATGTTATTCATATAGGCAAAAAACATGAGACAAAAAAATCTCCATCCATTATATACCAGAAGTCAAACTTACCACTTCAGGTAATTGGGCTCTGAAAAATACTGGGGAAGTATTTTAAGACTGGCTACATTCAGTGATCTTTAGAATATGCTGCTGGACCTGGATCAACATTTTATCAATAGCATTCTGATCTCTGTCACCTACACAAACTAAAAGACTATTAAATCCCCAGTAAGAATATAATAATTGAAAAAACTCTGACACCAGACATTAAGATCTATACTACTAAGATCTATACTATACTAAGTCTAGTATCTAGATCTATACACAGCCTACAGTACCGTGTAGGTATTCAACCGAGCTTTAAATAATTTAACTTGCCTATCAGGGATAGGGTAATTCTGGCAGCACAAAAACTCAGGCACAGTTTGCTAAATGTGTGAATCTGTACACAGATGTTTAAAATTAAGTTAGACACCAGGCTTTGAGTATAGCATACTCAGAGCTAGCAGATGGAAACTTATAGGAAAGCAGATTCTTGAAAAAGTATCTGTGAGCAACTGTTTGCATGACAAAACCTAATCTTGCACAAAATGACAAAAACTTTTATTTAAAATATTATTAGATATATTAATGAAACTGTCCAACATGTATGTGATTTCTTTATATATCCCAATAGTAACAAGATCAGCTTCTATTATACATCAAAACAGCCTTGAAACTGGAGTTCCCATAGAAGCATGAAATATACCCTGATCAATATGAGAGTTCAAGTAATCAAAAGATTTTTTTTACTCCCTTAGCTTTCATCTTTCAAATATAAACTAGCACACATAAAGAATATATCTGCTTTTTAAAAGAACAATGAAACTAATGGTATCAAAATCACTACTGCATAATCTACAAGACCTTCCTCTGAGCACTTAAATTCCAAACAGACATTCAAATTTTTAATTTGCACATAAACATCTAAGTTTATGTTACTATTTATCACACAGTTCTGAACTTTTTAATTAGTAATGGACCATTTACTGAATTACTTCTAGGACCTACGAGGAAAGTTAAGACATCTATGTGTAACTCCTGTCTCAAAAGAGAATACAACATTAAATGCAAAATTAATTGCAAAATACCTAACAAATACTCACTGAGATACAAGTGGAGCAGTAATAGAACGTTTCATCAGCACTGGCAGAGACAAGAGCTCACTCAGCTGTACAGCAGTTTCATCTGTTGCAGACTGCACCGCAGGATCCACAGGAAACGTGTACGATCTTGGTATCACGTGATGCAAGAGATGAGAAACTGGTGGTTCTGCTACATTTAAAAATACACAAACATTTTAAGTTATTATATTTAAGAAGCTTAATAACATGCTCCTATTAAATTCTGTATACAAACACCTCTAGCTTAGAAAATCGTAACATGTCAAAATGCATTTCGCATCTTTGCAAACTGGAGCAAATTGTTTGGCTACTGCACTTCATAACATTGGTAATTTACTGGTAAGTCATAGCATTCAGCTTTCTAGCTCAACTTTACCACAGCTTATATTGATCTACAGTTCCAACAGTTCTACTCACACATCAAATCATAACTATCTTGATACTTTTCAATACAATACTGATCAGATAAGGCTTTCAAATAAGCTTGTTCTTTCGTCCATGTATCTTCCTCTTCGCCTTCTCTCTCCTTAGTTGTGGGAGCATTAGCTTCAGAAGATAAAGTTTCTTGAGACACAGTATCTTGTGAAACGGCCTTTTCAGGTTCTTCTCTCTAAAATTCATAAATGGACGAATTTTATGAGAGATGCTGGCTTTGTCTGCTCAGGTTTAATGTGTTCCTACAGGTAACTGCCTAGCTGTTCCAAATGAAAAAAGAAGAGCCTACTCACCTGTGTGGTCCAGACATGTAAAAACAGTATGATTTTACAGTGACTACTAGATTAGGAGAGAAATTTACTACCTTTAACGATCAGCTCAATTCTACAAAAGAAAGTCCTCTCAACAACCACTTTTGTTTCTTACCTGTAAGCTCTGCAAGGAATCTGAAGAAGGGTCCTTCTTGACAACATCTGCAATTACTGCAAATAAAATTGAAGCCAGCATTTACTTAGACTTACTTATAATACTTGGTTCATACCTCAGATCTGCTCCTAAAGTTGTTCAAAATTCCTGTATAATCTATAACATAAACAATCACACCAGTAACAATAACTCCCCATAGTCCCACCCAGGCAATTTGATGCATGTTCTGTACTTAAGGACCCTAAAGATCCTGTTTCACAAAAATTCAGGCTAGAATTTTTTAATGCTCTGTTTCTTGCATGTCGGAGAGAAGTCTAAGCTCAAATTCCTTCCTCTGAATTCTAGCACTATATGAAAAGTAATGCAAGGAATTAAGTGGAATAAGTAAGAAAGAAAGTACCCATTTAGAAAATAAACATTCATAGTTACTTTCACAAGTCCTTAAACAAATGCTGACTGAATAAACTTAATTTTATTTTACCTTCTTGTTTATTTTCTATTGTATTTTTCTTTTTATCATCTTTAATATTAGTATCAGGAAGGTCTGTAACACCGTCAGATATCTGTGATAAAGTCTCTTCCTTAACTTGTGATGGTTTTGCTTCCTTTCTGCTCCCTTCAGCAGGAGGTAACTCTTCACTGTACAGAAGTGTCTGAACTGTGGAGTCGGATGATGAACCCGAAATGGTTTTACGATGAGGTATGGGATCATTTTCTGTCAGTGGGGCCCACGTCCCGATTTGGATGCTTGACTGGGATGCGTGTCCGAACGGGCTCCAACGGGATTTCAAAGGCTCTGTATCTGAAACCAGCTCTCCGATTTTGATGTGTGACTGTGAAGCGTGCCCATGGATGTTCCAACGAGGTCTGGCTGAGGCCACCTCTGACACGTTTTCACCGATCTTGATGTTGGCATCAGATGCGTGACCATGGCTGCTCCATCGAGGCCTCGTAGGAGCTACATTTGACACATACTCTCCAATCTTAATATTGGCTTCTGAGGCATGACCATGGATGTTCCACCTAGGCCTTGAGGTCTCTGTCTCTGAAGTATATTCCCCAATTTTAATATGAGCTTCAGAAACATGCCCATGAATATTCCATCGAGGTCGCCTAGACTCAACTTCAGAAGTATAACTGCCGCTTTTTATATGGGAATCTGAAGAATGCCCATAAGGACTTGAATGTGGCTGGTAAGTGTCCACTTGAGGTATATATTCTCCCACTCTAATGTTGGCATCAGATGCATGTCCATGAATATTCCACCGAGACCTTCTGTCATCCACATCAAATACATTTTCCCCAACTCTAACGTGTCCCTGCCAAGCTGCAGTTGCTCTGAGAACTGTATTAAAATCATACTCGCTTTGCTGATGCAATGGTGCATTGTCTTCTTCTGGTGCTTCTCTCAAGACAGGCTGACTTTCACTCACTTGCAAAGTCTCAGAAAGATCTGAGTTAATATCTTGGAATGCTTCATCTAGCAAAGATCCTTGCATCCTAACAGCAACAGACTGTTCATCTTGTGACTTTGATAAGAAATCTTCTATATTCACATTGGATTCAGGCAAGGACTCAGCACTGTATAGAGAAGTGCATGCTTTCTCTGAATTTTGGAGATTGCTTTCAGATTCTGTTGCTTTAGGCTGAAAATGCTCATCAGCACTATTATTTGCTGGCTCTGGCACAGGCAGTGCTTTGTCAGCAGAAGCAGCACATCCCTGCTCAGGCTCAGATTCTTTTCTGCCAACTGTCTCATTAGAAGGAAGAGGTTTCACAAAAGACACCTAAAAAAGAAATAATTATTACACTGTATGGCTGGTCACATATCAACCTACTAATTAAGGTACCACTTTATTAAAGGATTAATAATTTTCCAATTTTTCTGATGTACTATAAATGATAACTACTTACCTTGCTGTTACAGTGAACCTTGTGTTTACTGAACTGAAATGAACCATGAAATTAAGTCCCTTTAGGGAAATCTGGAACAGCAACTTGAAGTTTATGTAAGAAAATAAACTCACTTGTGAAGGTGGATCTTTCTCAACAGGGTTTTTATCCAAAGCCAACTGGCACTGTTTATAAGGAATAATATCTAATTTTCTCCTGTAGTTTCCATCTGGAAGTTTTTCAAGCATTTCCTACACGTAAAAAAAAAAGAAAAAAGAAGTCTTTAAGTATCAAGTATCAAACTTTCTAATTACACTTCTTAAATCTTTTTAGGAAGTACCTCAGTGCGTTTTTGATCTTCTAACAGAAACTTAAGACGGGCTGTTTCCAACTTGTGGCGCTGGATTTTCCATAATGTTCTTTGTTCCCTACGGGCTGCATCATCAGAAAGTTTGCTATAATGGTCAATTAGTTCCTGCCTAAATGAAGTTAAAAAAAAAGCTAAGTTACAAGCTGAGAAAGCTAAGATTTTTGCACACTGATTTTCATCTTCCCATCTAAAGAATGAGATTTTTTAGCACTTCAGAACCAAGAACTGGTTCTTAAAATGTAGAAGGCAGAGGCTTCAGTCACAGAGAATAAACAGGTGGAAAACACAGGACAGTATTTTTAGTCAACATGCATTTCTGTAACTATTTTTAGTAGGTCACTCATTTGGCTTAAGTAATTTTAGATGAAACAGAAGAAAGTGAAATATCTAACTCCAACTGCTTTTTACTTCTGCTTTGACATACATGCGACCATTTTTGCTGTGGGCTCTGCTTTTAAATTTTAAGACACAGTCAAATTTTCTTCCTGAAGTTTTGATTATAGCAAAACCCAGACTGGATAGGGTTGGCAAAAATAAGTGGGTCCCAGAGTTTTTGGCCACTAACCTAACATTTTTAACAAAACTGCTCACAGATGACCAAAATTTCTTACATCCATCTTCTAACTGCAAATATTACCCTTGTAGAACAATGTCTGCCAACTACTAGTACTGTGAATTTTAACATACAATTATTTTTTCCTGAGATCTTTATGATAGATAAAGATTGAAGACAACTTAGATACATTTACCTTGCCTTTTTTTCCAGTTCTTCTTCTAAAGCTTTCAGTCTTTTTTCTCTCTCTCTGAGCTCTCGGGCATAGCTGAAATCATCATCAATCTCCTCCTGCTTTATCGCAAGACGACGCTGCATAAATATGGAACACTTTTAAAAGCTGTTCCCAACACCAGCTCCAACACACACATCTACAAGTAGTTCTTATTTGTACACCATGAGCTACTAATTCAACTTCAGTACAACATATCTATTTGGTTATTTGTCTAAGAAATATAGTCTGCCTCTAGAAACACAGTGAGATACCTCTTGGTCCTTTGCAAACTGTTCTTTCAGCTTCTGAAATTGTTCCCGTTTCTTTGCATCCAAAGCCATTCGTTCTGATATTTGCTTGTCTGTATTAAAATAAAGACACTGTTAGTTTACATTAACAAACCCACTAGAAAACACATAAAAAGCCACTGTAACTTACCACTAATGGTTTTTAGTACTTTGCTAGCAGTTTCCCGAGCATGAACAATTAATTCTTGTTTGGCTATTTCCATGCGCAAATCCTAAATTAAAAAAAAAAAAAAGAAAACCAAAAAGAAAAAGCCAAGGTGGAATTTCTTCTATTATTTCAGACTTGAAATGCACAGTTGCAAAAACAGATGCACATTTTATAATGGTTATTGATCAATGAATACAACAAAAATATGAAAAAAACAAGTAAGTAAATGCAAAATCTATAAATTAGTATAGGAAATTAATACTCCAGATTTTAAAACAAACCAAATCCATCTGATACATGAACTAAATTGATGGAATCTGAAGGCTAGAAATCTCTTTGTGGTTAAAATGTTCTTAAAAAACAATTAGCTACGGAAATTACAAATAGTTCTTTCCATTAGGAGACTTCTCCTCCTACTGAAAAGTGTTTGATTCTAATGTAACAAATGAGATAAACTAATTAGTAATCAGATAAGACTAAGATCGAAGTGTAACACTCATTTAATATATGAAAAGGCCAAAAAATGTCAACACACCACCTACACTTTTAAAAACTATATTAAGTAATTTTATTTGCTGCAATTAAAACTGCAATTAACCCATGAAAAAATTCTGACTATAAATACAAACTCTTTAGAGGTTATAACAAAAATGAAAATTGACTATTTTTAAAAAATCATAATGAGGTATTTGTTCTTTTATTCATTTACCTTTTCCTCCTTGCTTATGGAACTGTATCGAGCAATTCTTTCCATTCGACCTACGTACACTGCACAATCTCTCTCTATTTCTTTCAGTTCTTCAAGCGAAAAAATAACTGAAATCCGGGGAACAGGTATATCTGACCAACATATATAATGCTGAAAAATGAGAAATTTCCTTTTACATACATTTACTAAAGCGTAAAATTTTATATTCTGAATTCATATTATACATTTTTTTAAGTTAGTCATGCTTCAAGATACTGACACAAAGCTCCATATGGGATCTAATGCTTTTATTAGTATCATCTTTTGGCATTTATATAATTCAAAGTAGGAGACAAAGGTACAAGCCTAAACAACTTGGATCACAGTTCAAATTCCTAGAGTTCTGTCTTTGCTGCTGAAAATCTAATACATACATTTATACAAATCATGTTCTAAATGTCTTTAATTTTCCTATTCTGAATATCCAAGTTAACTGAGCATGAGTAACCCAGTGCTGAATGCATTTCTCCTATCAAAAGTTAGGTTTTGCTCACTTACATCCCACAGAGATCCCCCTCAGTAGGAACTCCCTAAGACAGAACTAACACCCCTACAGGAGAGACCCCTGCACAAGACAAAACTCTCAAAACCATGGCCAGTGCCCAACACAGAGAACCTATTCTTCAACTATACCTGGTCTTCCTAGTCTGCCTCAACAGCCCTAAATCTCTGAAGCTATTCTATTCAGTGCACAAAACAACTGAGGGAAACAGGTAACTTGAAGGAAAAAACCAAATGAGTGCAGAAACGCACTCACACTGGATTCCCCCCGTCTAATGGTAAAAGTCAGAAGATGGAAGCCCAGAGCTGTATTCCTGGGAATTTATTATCCTAAACAGAAGGCAAGACCCAGCTCTTGAGGGCATTATCAAAAAGGGATGAAATGTGCCTGGCACTCTCAGACAGATGGAAGATGATTGAACCTGGGTGCCATATGACCTGGGGGAAGATACTGCATTAGCGATACATAAAGCTGTAACTTATCGTGGAAGTGATGGCTGACACTTTTATAAAGAGCCCAGTACTGCTGGCACACCTGAGTGGTGGTCTGGGAATGGTTATCAGAGCAGACTCAGGACAACTGGCAGAGGGACACTTCACTTGAGGTATTAGGCTTATATGCTGATTATATCTGATACTACATAGCTGATAATGAGCTGCTCTGCTCTGTCAACACTGAGCAGCTCTGATCCCAAAGAGAATACTAGCTACCTGGGAATGTCTACAGACTTTAGACACCTCCCTGGTTGTTTTATTTTTGGACATATACAGAGAAGAGGGAAGACACAAAGTAGTTGAACACGTTTTTCTTATCACAGACAAGAATCATTCTGCAAATACTAATAAACAGAACTATTTAAGCACTTCTTGAAAATGTACTGATACAGCTGAAAGGGCTATGCAGAACTGAGCCACGACCTGGTAAGTGACGCAGCTTTAAACCAAAAAGGAGTAGTGTAAGAAGTGGAAGGCAGTTGTCTGAATGTCTAAAAAGAAAAGAAATACAGCATGTGCATTGTATACAATAAATCTGATGGTGTTAAAAAGTATATTTCTGCAGTAAGGACGTAGCAAGTAGAGTGGATAATCAGCTCACAAGTATCTGAGAGCAAGAAATTGCCTTCATGATCCTACTTATGTAATACCAAGTTTTGATAAAGGCGGGAACTTGCTAAAATTCTAGACTCTTGCTCTAGAGAGACATGATTTCCTCAATGTAATAGGAAGGAAACAACCCAAAACTTACCCTAGGACAGCACAACTTCAGCAAGTTTATAGTTTTTCCACATATGTATACATCATTAGCAATATGTTTAAGAAATACAGGAACACAGTCTTCTACTTCTTTTGAAATCAAAACATAACCGTGAGTCCAGTAATGTTTATCTATGTAACAAAAAGATGGAAGTATGTATTTCAGTTATTTCATTAACAGCACAAATCATATAAATTAGAAATGCTCCATATATATACTGTACCTCTGAAACAAAGATAATCCTCATTCACCTGAATCATAAATTCTCCATAAACATCTCTGAATACACCACTGTATACCCAATCATAGATAAATCTGAAAAAAAAAATTGTACAATATTGAAAATCAATCCTCTCCTTTATTATAACCAAAGAATCAATATGCTCTTTAAAATCCCAAAAGATTTAGGCAGGATAAAAAAGCCATCAATTAAGTGCTGTGACACTGACATTTAAATATACACGATATTGTGGCTCTACACTTTTTTTAAACTATTCTAATAGAATATTTCACCGATATTTTTTTTAGATAATAGAACAGTGCCTCAATTAAAACAATGGTTTTATTCCTGCATATCAGTTTACTAAAGTTATATATAAAATGTAGAGAAAGCTTTGCAGCACCTCAAGGGCACAGCAAGAGAAAAGCAGAAAGGATTTATTTTAAACAGAGGTAATTTCAGCAGGGAGAAACTAAAAGAGTATAAAACAAAGATGCAATGCCAAGCATTTTTTCCCCAGACCCAGAGGCATTTTTAATATACATGCAATGATAGAAACTACTATTTTAAAACATTTATTCACGCTTTTCCTTATTTTCTCTGTGTCAGCCAAACTTTTGAAGAAATGAAAATTCCACTATTTTTATACAATCTGAGGCTATAGATAAAAAGGCTCAGAGGTCCTGGAAGTTGTTTGGTGGGTTTTTTTTAATTTTTACTTAACACTGTGCAATAAAGAGGAAGCATTTAACACAGCAACCACTGGTCAACTTCAAGGTTCTAAGTAAAAAGTTAAGCACTTTTAAATTACTAAATCTGATGCGTCTATGATTTATTTCAGTAACAACTTGTATTATTTAATTTCTTTCAGGTTAATAAATTAGTAGGTAACAGATAACAGAGGCTTCCTTCCAGGGTAGTCCTGATCATATATAATTGATTCTTCAATAGATCCATGCAGCAAATTTAGGAATCAATGTAGCAATCCAGATTTTTTCAGGTTCCATGTGATGCCCTTGGTATTTCAGAAATCTGACTTTCTTCTATAAATAGCAGGGTAAGAGCTGTGAAGATATTTCAGTGAGGCTTCTGGTAAATCTGAAATTAAATTTCTCTGAAGATCATTTCATGCAGATGGAAGAAAACACAAGAAGGGTGGCCATGGGAGGAATCTTAAATTTAGAGCATTTTGACAGACTTCTGTTTTCTCTTCTAAGTATTTTTACATCTATTATGTAACATTGCAAACTGATGATAGACTACAGCTGTAATTCCTGTAAATAGCTATTAAAAAATTTACTATCTCTTCAGATGTCTGCAAACTAATAATTTTTAAATTGATGAGCACTGCTTAACAAAACTGTTGCAAAGCAAGGAACTCTCCTTTTAATTACTCCTATTATCAGTTAGTTACATGTACTAAATGAACTGTAATTTATTTATTAATTTTTGCTTATTAAAAAGCCCAAAACAAAAAGACAGTAGAAAAAAGCATGAACTTCCCCAGTTTGTACAATAAAAGAAACTTATCAGTTTCCAGTTTCAAGATTTTAACTGAGGTATGAGAAAAAAAAAAAAGTTTATCCAAATCCTATATTCCAGTACGAATTTCCATGACCAGCAGCAAGAATTAAGTCTCATTTACATATATTTATTTACTAATCTAGTCACACTTAACATCTTACATTGTTACTGACTGAGCTAAGAGCGACAGAACAGCAAAATTAACTAATATACTGCATATACAGACATGTATTTTTTCTGAAAATATTAGAAGCCATTGTTATACAAGCAGAGTTAGTCCCCAGATTACCAATTCATAATTTTTAAACTCAAGTATGCAGAGAACAGTATGGACACACCTTGTGTATGGTTCACAGCTTGTCTTCAACAAAGACAGAAGAACTGGATAATGCTCATTACTACAGTTGTTGAGAGCCTCTTTGTACAGATATGAAAGCAATTTAACACCCTAAAAAATGAAAAATATTTTAAAATTAGGCAACACATTTCACAACCACTTTAATAACAAAAATACATGGCTTGATGTATTTCACTAGACACAGAAGGAAGGATTCATGTCATTTCCTCCATCTATTTGCAGTTAAGATCACTTTATCTGAGCAAGTTACCTCAAGCTCACTTTATTATCTCTAGAGTAAGACAGGTATGTTTAGAGTTGGATACACATGAATAGAAGGTTTATTTTGAGCCCTTTGTTTATTTTAGGAATTGAAAACCCTGGATAAATTTCCAAATGTTTAAGTATCTGGAGAAAGGACTATAGTGTTTTAACTGGAGGTACAGGATCATAGCTTTGCTAGCAGAGAGACCAACACTATCAGGTAAAATCCAACATATTTGGAGAATATTAACATTGCAACCCAAAACAAACATAAAAATATCAAACAAAAATCACCGTAGGAAATGAAGCACCAGTTCCACCACTGATCCCCAGTGCCGTCGTTCCTATGCCACACAGTTCAGCTAAATACCTAAAAAACAGTATTAAAACATATACAAAAATTTCAATCAGGAGTCTCCAAGATCAGTGATGAACTTTGCTGGATTTGAATATTGTACAACAATCACACTGTATCTGCTGAATGGTAACAGGGATAACAAAGAAACTGAGTACAAAGACCTTGTATGTTTTCCCTAGAATAGTCTGGATATAAAGAATTTATATGTAAAACAGAGGAAAAAAAATACTGATATAGTAAATAAGAATGCCCATGTAATATGGTCTTTTTTAGTGTATATGAAGAGATTGCATTTTTTTCTGCTATGAAAAGCTTAAACATTTAATACCATTCTCTTACCTCAGCTGACGACCTAATTTTCTGAATAGAAAGCTGATTGTTAGCAGACTTAAAGTAGGAGGTGTTGACAAAACACAGGCTCGATAATACTGAAGATACTTTCTCAGTCCACTTGTGAATGCCTGGTATGAGCAGAAAATATTTAAAGTCTTACTGTGAAAGTTGTTAACAGTCTTACCACAATTGCATCAGCATGAAAACAAACCTTTTAGTAAAATAAATGGCATATGCAGGTAAGGGGGACTCGTACACCAAAGTAAGGGGCAACTGAGGGTCCATGCAACTTCAGACATTCCAAGGAGCCTAGATGACTCCTCTATACTCTTCACACATCCAGTGCACAGAGTCTGTACCCACACACAGTGAAATAAAGCACCTTGGTTCAAATTATTTGACTTGTCCTTTGAGGAGCTCCTCATTCTCTATAATACCAATCCAGGAAACCTGTTTCCTTACTTTTATGCCTAAACCGGTTACTATAAAACACGTATCTAGAACTTCATCTAACAAAGAGACCTTCTAAACACAAATTGAGTAACACTGCTGTTAATCAAATATTCAGAATGAATATTTTCATAACTAATCCTTATCCATAATTTAATTCTATGCATTAGGAAGAAATTAAATCACCAAGTATAACAGAGAATGCATACAGCTCAACATAATATACACAGGACTGAACGGAAAATTTGCACTTAATTTTGAACCAAGGAAAAGTAATTAAAGCTACTCAATACCGTATTTTTCTACCTCAGTCTTTATTTTTGAAAAAAATTTATATGTGTATATATACATATATATATATACACAGTGCACTAAGGAAGTTCTTGTATTTTTATCTTGTACATCTTTCTGTATAAATACGTAATGTTTTTAAAGCATTTCAAAATTATAATTCTTCAGTCCACAACTGAACAGTATGACTAAACAAATGACACTTCAGGTAACAAAGACATTTTACTTCATGCTCCAGCACAAGCAAGCCCACAGCACAGAAAAGAGTTGTGATTTAAATACAGCAGCACTGTTCCTTGGTGACCTGGGATAGAGCATTACACTAAAAATACTCTGCAGTTTTGCAGAATGCAGAAATTCCAGCTTTACATGAAATCAGTCACCTTCTCTACCTCAGATACTTGGCCCATTAAAGCTAATTGATTTACTGCCATTGTTTTACCTGAAATACAAGCCCTTTGCTGTATGAGGAATCCAAAACAGGCTGAAGAGAAAATCGACTTAGCCGTGTGTAATAGGTTCCATACTCTGCAACTTCCGAGAGCAAGTTATGCATTGTCTCTGGTGATGTTCCAGATACATACACCCCCTCCTTTATCACAAATGACTGAGCTGCCTAAAAGGATATAGGGAGAAAAAAAAAAAAAAAGGCAGATTCAACTATTTCAGAGCTGTATTCTGATTTAAAACAGCAAACACACACAAAAATAATAGCAGACAAATTCTCAGCTTAGATACTCAAGTGACAGACTATATAGCTAGGACAGTGAGATAAACACTGAATGTTAGCAAAATTGTAGGAGTATGAATGATGCCTTCAAATATACAGAATAAGACTCTATCTAATTCCTTAAAGAAAATCCAATCTACAAAATTATTCATAGATCTGTTTTCAAGTACTCATAAACCTATTTTCCCTTTAGAGAACTACAAATACTCTTAGCCTATTCCAGTAACATAATTACTGCAATATATAAATACTACCCTATTGACATTAGGGAACACTGAACTTCTTAACACTAGCCACAACTGCAAGATCTCAGCAGAAATAACTGTATTGAAGAGGAAACCTCTATGAAGGAAAAAACAAAAAATATTTTACTAGGAAGGGCAGATAAAAATCTTCCCTACCTGATTGAGTGAAAATGTAGTGGATACCACACCAATAAGGACATTCAAGACATCCTTAACTAGTTCAGGTTCTTTCACTAGCACAAGCTGAGGGAACTGAAGTACAGTATTGGTAAACAGTTGCAAATCCCCTTCTCGAAGTTTATAAAATTTGTCAAAAGCTTCTCTCCCAGCTTCAGTAAGATAAGGTTCCTCTTTTTTACCAGGTGGGCTGTGTCAGAGTAAACACAACATTACATGGTGATTATGTGAAAACACAAAGCAAATACATCTCACACAGGAAGAAAAAAGCATTTCAGAGTTTTGTAGACAGAATTCCTCACAGAAAAGTTACTAGTAACATACTTAATATATATGTTTTTAAGGGAATGTGCAGTCAATAGCTCAAACTCAGTGCAGAGAACAAATGTGCAGATTATTTGATCATCAGTTCAGAGACAGAATCCTTGGTAGAGAACTACCAGCTGCTTTTATGGCCTTCCCTGGTGCAGTTTTCACACTAGGAAAATGAGGCCAATATATGCCATATTTCCCTGGTTCATTTAATGCTAAAATTCAAATAAGTTAAAGAACAATACGCTCAAAGGGCTAGAATGAACTTCTATTAACACATTTTACCTCTTTGCAGTGAAGACTACTATCCCCTCCAAAACAATTTCTATTTCCAATTCTTCCAAAAACTCTGAATTCTAGTAGCAGGTATTACACAAAATCTATCAGGCATATGGTCTATATATGACTCTTAAGAGTCTAAATAGCAGCAAGAAAAAATATCGTGTTCTAGGAAAAAAGCTCAAGTGGGCTCCAGCAGCTTTGAAAAATCAGAACAGGGAACTTCTGAGCTTCTAAGGCTCAGAGAGAAAAAGACACTGCTTAACAATGCAATACCACACTACTAGATTATTATTTAAAATCACAGAAAACATATAGAGCAAAGCTTTTCAAACAATCAGGCACAATACTGTCCATCTGAAATATCCAGGACACCTGCCATACCTGCCTTTTCTTTTACCTTGCATTTTAGGGGAGCCAGGACTCTGGAGTCCTTAACAGGACTGCAGAGAGCTTTTTCTCAGGAGATGCATCTTCTACTCAAGAGCCAAAAGAACTACAAGTCTAACTAAACCACCAAGAAATCTGTTATAATTTTCTGGTTTGTCTACAGGATGGGGAAAGGAATATAATACAATACTGTGAGATATTTGTTTAGTTCTTCTACTGCTCTACAATTACCACTTTCTCTTTTAAAACTGAATCACCTTAGACTGAGACAAATTGCATAGCATATAAGAAGTCAAAACAGTTAGAAAAATACTGCATTTCACACAAACAGTGTTTTCCTAAGCCCTTTGTTTTGTGACAGTGATGATTTTATCTCTTCCTATGAAACTCTTGCACTCTTAAGAACCAGTTTTTTGAAATCACACAACCTTTATTCATTTATCACTATTAATGCGGTGTATTGAAACCCATGAATTAAACATGCTCATTTCACTATTTATACTGAGGTTGTGTGGAACTAAGATGCAATGCACCTTCACACATTTGCATATGGTATATAGTAAGTTTACCAGTAAGATCAGACACATACTACCCAATTCTTTCCCAGCATCTTCGTTTGCTGGGTCCATATGTAAGCACTGCATCCCACAAGTCTATGTCTGGAGTTATGCTTGGCTCTGACTGAGAATCAGGAGTCAGATTGGATGCTGACTGGAATCCCTCATCTTCTGACTGGTCTATACTTTGGGGAACCTGTCAGAAAGAGTTCAAATGTCAAATATGAAAACATTTTACTGAAGACACATTTATTAATGAAAAAGCTGCTTTGCTGTCATTCGTGACCAAATGACTCTATGTGACCCAATCTCTGTTACCTGCCCTCCCTTTATATCAATTTTAAATTTTTATTGTAGGCACTCTTTTAATTTGATGAACCTCTAGAAGTATTAATGCCCATACATAAAAGACAAATCACCTTCAAAATAATATACTATGCTTGGTGGTGTTAATTTTTATCTTTAAAGTTCAAAGCAAGCATATATGGAGAATCTCTGGTATGGACATTCAGCAATATGTAGCATTAATACAATCACACTGCTCTACCATTTGTTCCAGGCAAATATCCAGGCTACAAATCTTCGAATTTGTAAAAATTTTGTTAACTATGACTAACATAGCTTGTTCCTTAATTCATATGCAGAAAATCTGTAAATGTCCAAACAGTGTACATGCCACATCCTCAACTCCCACTCAACAGGAGACGCATGTGCAGAATTGCCCTCAATTTTAGTAAAAGACAATCACACCCATATAAAAAGCAGCATATTCCTCAAGAAATTGCAAATTTTCCAGTCTAATGGAAAGAGTTCAGCACTAACTCAAAAAGGTTCTACCTCCTCTAGGTTACAATTTACATCCACATGTGAGCACTGAATGGCACAGGGTTTTTCTATTTAATGTGTTTGCCTTCAAGTTTCAATTCAGACCCTAAATTAATGGAATTGCAAAATCTATCCATATGTTAAGTAAAGGGAAAGATATGACGATCTAAGGGTAGGCTATAAATAAGCCTGCCTACACACAGTAAAAATGGAAAGAAAGAAGAAAAACTCTGAAAGTGTATCTAGTACTTCCACAAGAATAAGCCAGCAAAAATAAACAGAATGGACAATAAAAGGGGAAAAAAGATACAGTAGAAACTCTACATACTGAAAAGGTAATAGGACAATAGGAACCAGGCAATTCAATTAAAAAAAAAAAACCAAAACAAAAACAAAACAGAAAAAATGCTTTAAGATATAACAAGCCAAGACAACAATACAGCAAGTTAGGTAATGCAATCTGAACAGCAAAGCACATACATTCAGAGAAGGATGTTTAGGCAGTCAGTCTGAGCACTGACAAGCAAGCAACAATGCTGAGGAGGTCAACAGATAAAGCAGGCAAAAATGCAAGCAAAAGGTTGCAAGGGTGGGGAAGGTATGGATACAGCTGATGGCTTAAATTCATAAAACCTGTGGCCACATGGTGGGTTTTGACAAAAGTAAAGTGCAAGACCAAGGTTTTTGTTATCATACATCTCCAAAAAGCTTATCTGGTTCTCTACAAAGGAAAGGATCCCTGCTCCATCCTAAATTCCAGTGCTGTATGCTTCTATCACCAATTAAACTATTACCTACTTTTAAACTACAGTTTCAAAGTGACACATGGAAGCGTGCATGCACTCATTAGTCCAAAACAGATGATACCGTACTTTAATTGCAAGTCCAGACAAATCTGCATTGTCAGGCACTGGCGGTAAATCCAGCTTGATGTCCATATCATAGGTACGGCTGTGGACAAGAGCACCGAAGAGTGAGACACGTGTTTCCTTCTCAAACCTGTCCCCAGCAGGACAGCACTGCGAGAACAGCCCTATGGCAGGCAGCCCGGTGCCAGGTGCAGCCTCCATTATCTGAAGCGTCTGTTGAATTGTGTCGTTGAACTGACATTCTTCATTTGTTATCAGAGACTGTATGTCAGCTTCAAACACACTTACATCATAATAATCATAGCCCTGGTATTTGACATTCCTCCCAACATATTTGTTGTTCAGAAAATAGTCCTTTTTTTGTGGTACAAGCTGAGGAGGACCTGTTCCAGCAAGCTGTACTAAAAGATCTAAGACAGAATTTACTTCAGTAAATGGCAAGCATTCAGCTGTTTCCAGTTCCTCCACAAGATTCTCCAGTCTATCCGCCTGAGCACCTAGGCCAGCGACTCTCAAGTTGAAAGACAGCATCAAAATTTTGTTCTTCACTGGGAGTCTAGAAACGTTTGATTGCAGCTTACGAGCCTCATCTTGAAAAAGGTTCATGAACAGAGCATTATAAGCAACCCTTTTCAAATTTTGCTTAGCCCTTCTCTTGCTGATCTTCTGCCTGCCTAAGTGAACCTTCCATGGCAAACCTGTCAAGTGTGCTTCACACAAGTCATTGAACAACTGTGTAATGCTCTCCATTTCAAATGAAACCGTCAGGTTTTGGCAAGTACAGTCTGGGTGTCTGACTTCATGGGAAGGAAGACCTGAAAAATATCAGGAAAAGGAAGAAATTCATAAGGTGTATAAGAAATTACTGAGCACGCTTTAACTTTAACTGAGACAGCCCAAAAGAAAAGGTAACTGACCTCCCACATATTTAGGACATGATCTATAAAAAACCCACTTTAACTTTTATCATCAGTGAAGCAATGGCGCAGGAAACTTAATTCCAGATTCCAGATTTTTCTGAACTAGACTGAAATAAAAGAGAGAAGATTGACTGATCTAATCCCGGGTTCCTGCGGGAACACCTCTACCTTTCTCCCGGAGACATCCACCACCTCCCTCCCCACGCGGTGTCTGCAGCCGCGGCCGCGGGCAAGGCGCGGGCGGTGATGGGGACCGGAGGCGGCGACAGGGCCGGGCTCAGGGCACCGCCATCCCTGGGGCGCTCCGCAGCACCCACCCAGGAGCGGCGGGCTGTCGGCCCCCCGGGGGAGCTGCCGGCGGCGGGGCTCACCCTGAGCACCCGGCTGGGCCCGACCGCAGAGCACCAACCCCCCCGCACCCCGCCAGCAGCGGAGCTGCCCCCGCCCGGGCCGTACCTGCGCGCTCCGCGGGCGGGCAGCGGGACCGGCACGGCGCCACCGCCGCCGCCTCCCGCCGCCTCCCGCCGACGTCACCCGAGCGCGACCGGGCCCGCCCCTCAGCCCCGGCAGTGCCGCCCCTCAGCCCCTGCAGTGCCGCCCTCAGCCCCGGCAGTGCCGCCCCTCAGCCCCGGCAGTGCCGCCCTCAGCCCCGGCAGTGCCGCCCTCAGCCCCGGCAGTGCCGCCCCTCAGCCCCGGCAGTGCCGCCCTCAGCCCCGGCAGTGCCGCCCTCAGCCCCGGCAGTGCCGCCCCTCAGCCCCGGCGGGGCCGCCCCTCAGCCCCGGCGGGGCCGCCCCTCAGCCCCGGCAGTGCCGCCCCTCAGCCCCGGCGGGGCCGCAGAGCGGCCGCGGCAGCGACACGGAAAGCGCGGCTGAGCCGTTCATCAATGTTAAGCCATTCCTGCGCTGCTCACTAAACGCTGTCGCACTCAGCTGACAAATACACACCACCACCATAGTGCCAGAAAGCAGTGAACCACGCGGGGCCCGAGCGGCTGGAGGCAACTGCAGCCTTGGGACGGTCTTTTCAAAGAAATTTACCAACAGTACACCATTTCCCCTCTTAATGAGTGCTTTAATAAAGACTTACAAAAATACATATCAAAATGCAACATTAATGTGATTCACACGCTACACATTCCATTGAATAAAGGCAGGGAAAGAAGAGTTATTACTCAGAAAATGCTTTTTCATTGAAAATGCTGAGTTAAAAAAAAAAAAAAAAAAAAAAGGGAGGGGAAAGAGGAGGTGTTTAAGGGAGACGGGAGAATGGCAAAATGTCCTTTGGGAAACTAATTTCCCGTTAGGAAAAATGCTGAAGCTGAAGTTTGGCTATTGGCCCCTTTCCAATTTAAATACCTTTCTGGACTTCAAAGGTCAGTTAAAAAAAAACTCTAAACTGGAACAGAATATCTTAATGCTCTTCAGCTCTTGGTGAAAAATTTTTCACATAGCTTTTATTTTCTTTTGAAACAGATTTTAATTTCAAAATGTTCAAGGATGGGTATTGTTTGCCCTCCAGCAATATCTGAAAACCAAAACAAATGTGAAGGGAAGCACTGTGAACAATTAAAAAAGACAACTGCAAAGACAGATTTAATTATTCCACGATATAAAGTTGAACCCAGTGGGAACACCAGTATAAACATCATTTGAAGTGTCTGAAATCAAAAGGTCAAATTATTGAAATCACAATAACAAAAAAGTACTCGTGAAAATGATCCCTAAATCATACCTGGAATACTACAAAACAAGGTATATAATGGCTATTGCCTTGGGATGTTTGTTTAATTTTGAAAATTTACATGATGTGTCTTTAGGCCACTACTAAGTCTCTGGAGATGTGGAGTTCTTATTTGTTATACTGAGAATTTATGCTTCAAAAGAGGGCAGAGTGAAGTCCTCATATTTTCCTTTTCTTCTTTTTTGTAAAATGATTCTGAAGTGAAATCAATTTCTGGAAATCCCATCCTTCACTGAAAAGAACAGCAGTAAGAAAACCAGTTATTAACCAATATCATACCACAATTCCTGACCCTACAAGAATATTTTCTTGGAACCAGACCCCTGGTATTGGGCATTTCTTCCGAAAGGAGGGAATGACATTTTCTTTTAGAGATGCTCACCTTTATAATTGCTTTTTTTTGTTGTTGAAAACCAGAAGTCATTCAACAAAGAAATATTTATAGACAAGTATGCTTGAAAACATACATACCTGCCTGGCCTGATTCCTCTACAAATGCAGTGCCTGATCTTCAGCTCTTTAACTGTACTTGCACCATGACTAATCATTATGGAGTTATGCGTGGACAAGTTAAACATTTAAAAATATCACCTCGTTTTGTACTATATTCAGAAACCACATTAGCAATCAGAGCCAGGGCACATCTTGTTACCCATTCTTTAAGCACATATTTTGGTAATTTCATTCCAAAATTTTGGAGTAACAGTATTCTAAATCCCAAGGGTACAGTTGCTATGCTATGGAATTCAGTGCTTTCCAGCTCAAGTGGCAGAATTAGAAGCATTCAGAGTTTCACCAGTTTCACATTAGATCAATCTGGTCCCAATGACTTTAAATGTCCCACTGACTTACAGGATCCAGCTGTATTTATATGATCTTTTCATAAACTTAGAGTTAAAGATAAAATCAGGCAACTTACCTGAACACTGAAGCATTTTCCATTCCTGCTGAAATTGGTCCCTCAATGCTTTTATTTTATTTACTTTTTCTTGGGTAGGAGGTACATAAATTCCAAAGGGAGGTGTAGAAGCACCCACTAATGCTTTGGCTATACTCTGCATTAAACTTATCTCTGTGTCCTAATTAGGAAGAAAAAATACCCCTGTGAACCATCCTCTCTTTGTTTCAGTGATAAATGAAGTATTTTAAAACAAGCTTTTGTAATTAAATTGCTATCATTAGTAGCAAGAATGAGCAATCTTCCATTTTCAAATAAAAATGTGTCCAAACTGAGTTTTTTTTTCTGAAAACTGTAAATTAATTTTCATCTGTTGTAAAACTTGGGGGTTTTTTTCAAATGGAAAAAGAATCTCACTTTTCCCTTTATGACTAAAAAGAAATAATGCTGGGTTAAGGACAGAAAATATTATGAGGCTAAGGGGAGCATGGAGCTTGCTTACTTCATGCATCATTTACTTTCTGTGAGTGGAAAATAGTAATATATTTTGCTTATTCAAGAAATCTTTTTGAATTCTCACAGTCTAAATCAGTATCATTTCCTTGCAGAAATTTGATTTGAAATGTTGATGCTATATGAAGATTATATTTGGAAGACTGTAACACTTTTTTTAAGAAATAAAAATCTTTTTTCAAGTACTCTAAAAAGCCATGTACATGCATTAGAAAATCATGATGCTGTTATGGAGCTACCTGCAGAATACCAATGTAAAAGTATCAATCACTTTTTTAACATGTCTGCCTAATATCCTTTTATTGTCAGAGTTTACACTTCAGAAATCAGTAATTCTTTCAATTGCATACTCCTAATTAGCAGTGTGCAAATACATTAGTTATGGATACTGCATATCAATGTACAAATTATTTTAGCTTAGCCAATTTATGTATCAGCATTGTAAATTAAAACAAATAACAGTGAGAAAACTACAGAATAAATTATGTCAAAATCCACTTAATTGGCAGCTTAATGAATAGCATGGCTTTAATTGGGTACTTGCTGGAGAACAGATTAGAGTAAGCATACATGAAGAATTTTTTGGTTTTTCTCATTGTTGAAGAACTAGAAGGCACAAAAGTAATCAAAAGTTACTGTTTCATAGATCACACAGAGAAACTGTGTTACAACCACAGGATGCTGGAAAGGCCAAGAGTGGAAATTGAGTTCTTTATGTGATTATACAAATTCATGGAAGATACACTCACTGACCACTGCTCTGGATACAGCCTCCAACTCCTTAATTTAGGCGTTCTTAATGTGGTAGCATATGGAAAAAACCTAAGGAAAGTCCCTACATTTTTTATTTTCTTTCCCTGCTCTCTACCTGAAACGCAAAGCTTGGGCACTCTGGCCCTCAATTATGTACTATCCCAATTAAGTTCACTTGAAGGATATGTGCCCTTGTGATTGATGTTCTGCAGGCTGGAAGTTGTGTGTGACAAAGCACAGCACCCAGGAGAGGAGAGGAAATTTAGTGGCCTGTTATGAACAGAACAGTGGGCTGCTTTCAATCACATCTGATGGAAAGAGGCCAGATGATTTAACAGGCAGGAACTGCCTCTTTCCAGGAGACAACTGAGCTGTGGATCCCAGATAAAAATGGAAGTTGTGGCAAACTGACAGAACATCTATGGTTCACAGACATAACCATGGGTTATGCCTTGAGTTCATGCCTCGGCTTCTCCACTGTGCAGGCTGCGACTGCTGCCTACAGCCTGGTGGGCAGCTGTGTCCTGTCTTGTTTTCAGGACAGAAAGAACCTTGGGCAGTTTGTGCTGTGAATTCAGGGGTACCAAAGACAGCCAGTATTTTCTGCTGGGAGGCTTGAAGCAGTTCACACCAGCATCTCTGCCAGACGTACCATGGCTTAGCATCACTTCTTACCTCAATCACAGCAAAAATTCGAGACTCAGCTAATCCTCGTAGTAAAGCAACAAGCAGAGAAATCCCACTTATTCCAAGGCTCCTGTTTGGTCCAACAGCTATTACTGTTAGGTTTGGTTGATAACTATATGCTACAGGAAGAATGAATCCAAGTACAGCAGAAAAGAAATCATTTCCTTCAGCATCCTTTAACAACAAAAACAACAAATTAGTTAGCACAAATATAAAGATCCAAATTCCCAGATATAAAATAAAACAAAAAGGTGACTCTCATAAAGCTTTTGACTGACCTAGAAAACAGGATACTGATCTATTTTCTCAACAATTTTTATATTAAACATGCAGGATCATTCATCTTTTCCTTAGTGTCTTTGTAGTGTAAGTCTGCCTTACTAAAGATGAATTGCAGTAACTATGGAATGTTTCCTCAAACCTATGCATTCTAATACACTCTAAAGCTGTGGGAAGGAGTAGTAACCTGACAAGGGAAAAAAAAGGAGTAATTTTCAAAGGTCCAAAGTGGAGTAAGGGGTGTAATTCTTAATTTAATTTTATAAATTCCTAAGTATATTCTATTATTTCTGTTAAAAAAAAAAATAATCTCCTATATTGTTTCTAGAAGGTGAATCTTACCTCTTTCCAGTTTAGAGAAATATAGTGTTTGCAGCTGGTCTTTCTAGACTGTTCTTTCTCACAGATGTTTATGACAAGCATTTTTCTGTAAACAAAAACCCCACTTGAGTATTTAACCAATTATTTCCCGACGGGGTATTTTCTTCCATCATTCTTTAAATACTAATTCATAATACAGGAACAAATAACTATTTGTATTAGTACATTTCAAAATGTAAATAACTACACCTGAAATACTTTTTATGGCATTTTTAAAAAGATGATTAAAGACTATTGGCAAATTGCTTTTAAGAAAAAGGGGGAGGTGGAAAAAATATATAAGTAAAGAAGACTTTCAATAAGGAACTCTGCATCAGCAATATGCCTCCTGCAGTTATAGGGGAGATAGGTCTCCTATTTAATTAATAATGTCATTGTATTTTCAGTAACAACATACATTTCAATCAATACAGAAGGATTATACTTCAAACCTACCACCGAATGCATGAACTAGCATTTAGAGACAATCATTTTACTTTGAAGATATATTTGGGGATGTTTTGTATTATGTCTAAAGCTATACTTCATAAATGTCAGCCCATGACTGATTCCTTAGTGCAGATTTCATCACATATATAGATCTATGATATAAAGCCCTTGGGACTGTACCCTCTAACATAAAGGGAGGTCTCACCCATCTTCTGTGTTTGGTATCATCTGCATGTCTCCAACAAATACACAAAGCACTCTGCAGAAAACAAAAATTTATATATATTTACAAGTAATTTTTTTTTTCTGTTAGTGCAATTTATATAAAAGTTTGCATGCAGATTAGAAGCATTAAAAAGAATGTATATTGAATTTGGTCCACTAAAAGTAGAAATAAAACACATTTAGGGCAGCTCAAGGGAACCCCATTTCTTCCATCAAATACTGGGGAGGAAAAAAAAAAAAAAATCAAGAAACAGTCCCCAGGCCAAAGCCAATTGAAATCTGATAAAGAAGGTGTAGGCTAGCACAGCCATCATCCACACAAATTTTTTGCCTTTGGAAAGGCAAAAGGTTGTTGCTGGTGTATACACTATTACCTGGATTACATGTTGAAAATGCTATGTGTGTGGGCATGCTATTTATTTTAAAATCAAGATTTCACAGGCAATTTGCCACACTTAATATTTGATTTTAACATGTTGCTAAAGGGCTTTAAATGCAAATATAAAAATTCACCTTTGAAGTCCAAAACGAACAGAATGTCTTAGTGCAACAGCAGCAGAAAGAGCAGCTGTGGGTGATGCTGCAATTCCATTACACACCTACAAAATAAATTTTTCATTCAGAAGCAATGCTGCAAAAGATCACAATTTTTAAAGTGTAACAGTTGTATTAATTATTTTCTACAGAAAGGCCATATTTGATTATTATTCCATAAACTGCACTATTGTTTTAAAAGTAAGTGTACCAGAAGGAAACTGTCAAAATAACTTTTCCGGGGGAAGGCCATGCTCACTGGGTCTCTATATAGTCTGAAAACTGCGCAGAAAAATACACCCAATGAAAAGGAGGTTGTTTCTGAATATTCTGATTTTTCCTTTAACCTAGGCAAACTATTATTTTCTGGAAAATACAACTGCCACATTACTCAGTCAACCCTTGAGTGTTCATTTGTGGTGTGTGCTTTGAACTCTACATAAAAGATAAGCAAAAAGATATCTTTCCCTCTCATTCCTCCTCTTTGTTAGAACAAAAAGTTAACTTACATCTGCAATTCATTAGAAGTTCTATTTCTTTTTAGCGGTAACCATTTCTTAAAATCTACTAATAGGCTCTCCTGGAACTATGTGCAGTTTATAATGTCAGAAATTTGTCCTGGAGATCTTCACATGTGACTTCTAAGATCAAGATGCCTTAGAAGAAAGAGACCATTGTGGTAGTTACTCTTCCTTATAGGCCTGGTACCTTAAAGAGAGCTTTTCACTCAAAGGAGAGTGACTTATTATGATGTAATATTTTAAACTTGTTTTCAGTTCTTCTTGTATGCTCATCCAAGTTTTCACACATAAATACAAATATGCACCCTCTAAACCGTCCCCTCTCTTCATTCCTGACCCTGCAAGAATCAAAACACTGAACTAGAATTACTCTGTTCAGAATCTGAGCATACAACAGAGCTGTTGAAAATGCCACCAAAGAGTATGTGTGTGCATGCACTTGTAAGTCAAAATTTACCGTATAAATTTTGCACATTGAGACAGGAAAAGTATTGACATTTCTTCATATCTCTTGCTGTTGCTTACTGGTGCTTGATACAGCAACTTCTGCACCCCTTAACTGGAAGACTTAATGCCTGGCTCCCCCATGAGTCTGAGAGCAACAAGTAAGCTCTTAGGGACTCATATTCTGTTAGTACCTATAGAAAGTCTGGACAATGAGTTGCCCAAAGATTATTAGAAAGATGGATTTGGGTTAACAGCTATCCTTAAATAGTAGTTTTCTCATCTTCCATGCTCACTCATAGCTAAACACATTATAGCTGAGATTAGTGGACTTGGAAGATAAATAATAACTAATATTTGGGTAACAATATAGTAGAAGCAAAAAATCAGAGGAATCCCACTCCACCCCTACCCCCAAGACCAAGGCAGTATATTATTACCTCCTTCTTAAGTATTTTATCTAGGATCACAAACATACTGCCAAGAGAGAGCAAAGTTTCCTCTTTCACAAGGTCTGCATAAAAGCCACTGTAAAAGAAATTACATGAAGAAAAACTAGGTAAGAGGCAATACTGTCTTCAAAGAGGACACTGATAAAGTGCTTTGCAGCTAGTATTAATGGGGTACATTTTGTATAGGTGCTACACATTGATTCTCAGAAACCTGCTCTAGCAGGAAGATGACAACACTGGTGCCTGACAGTCTTCATCTCCCTAAACCTGACTCCATTCTGCACTGCAAACAAAAATGTCTGATGATATTCAGGAAACAGAGTCCTGTCAAAATTAGATGAAGACAAGACAAAACATTGCATTTCTCAAATCAGAGCAGTTTGGTATTTTTCCCAGCTAAAAGTGAGTACAGAGCTTTAAGACAGCTTCCTAGCAAAATCTCTTTCTAAATTAATACATTCGCATTAGCTGTCCTATCTCTATTGAAAGAGTTGTAGAGAAAAAGTATTCTGATTATTTCTTTAAAGGATTTCAGGCTATGAGTGCTATACAACACAAATGACTTTATTTATAAAGGAAGAAATTCTGGCTGTAAGTGAGTAGACTAAGGCCAAAAAGATGACCATGGCAGACAAAGAGCTAGATGACAGTCTGTATACGGACCTCTCATACTCTGGGGAAAATAAAATAAATAGGACCAACCTGACAAGAGCTTTTATTTCTGTTTTGTCCATTTCCTTCACCAGCTGAACATGCTCAGGAAAAAAATGTTCTGAAACTTCAGAGCCAGTTGCTGCTGTTTTGATGGGAGGCATTGGAAGTAGAATATTTTTCATGTGCAATTCCAAAAACCTTTCTACTTTGACAGTGTTGTTGTTGTTAGTTATCTGAGATTCATCTTCTGTGGAGGGATTTGAATTAGCCTTCTTTAGTAAGTGTGATTTAGTGCTCAAATTTTGTAAAAATGATGTATCTAGAGAAAAAGAAAGAGAGGTTTCACAGGTATTAGTTTCTAAGCAATGTGTTAATTTGGATATATTTATTCACAGAATAGAATACATCAGTATTCACAGTATGCATATTTACTTCCATGCACTAGCTACAATGTTTCCTGACATAGATGTTATTTTTTCAGTGCTACTACATTTGTTTTAATCTAGTGAAAGGTCATGTATTGTAATAAGGCTTATGCCTATATTTTTGACACAGAAAACAGCATCCTCAAACAAAGATACCAAAGTGCTACTTTTTGACATGATGTTTGCCAGCTTCAGAAAGTTCTTTTCAGACCAGCTGATGACAAGACTTTAAATGAAGCCTCATACTGCTTCATCAGTCACTTGATGAATAACTGCTTGTTCAATTAATTTAGTCCACTGGTATTAATTTTAATAAGTTTCAACTTCTGTATAAATCCATTTATCAACAGCATTTTCTTGAATTAAGAGAAACTACCTTCATAAGCCAACCATTTCCAGTAGGGTTTATGAGCTGCTCTCACATTTTGAATAGATTCAACAGCACTAAAAAATAAACCAGATTAACAGTATTAGCAATAATGAAAATCATAAGAGGAATCATAACTTACCTCAACAAAAAAAACCAAAAAAAAACCAAAAAATCCAACTGAAAATGAACAAACTCTGATCTCTTCCAAGAATGCAAAACAGAACAACAGTCAATGGGCACATTGCTTGAAAAGATTAGAGAGTCAAAAAAGAAAACTGAAGAACACATACAGAATGTACACACATTTACACAGTGAGTGAAATCCCAACCCTGTTGGAGGAAGCACACCTGTATGAGTTCAGGAAAAATTTCTCCTGTCTGCCAATGTTTTGCCAAGAGATTTTATCTACACAATGTAAAGATTTAATTATATTGACTCAAAAGCAAGAGAATCTGTTCAGGAACTAAGTATATCACATACCCTGCTATTCTTTGTGTTGAAGTCTCCTTTTTATTGTCACTGGTATTTGCAGCACTATGAGCAAACGGTCTCACTGCATTAGCTGTCATACAAACATAATTCAGGTTGTGTTAAATCCAGAAGAAATTCCGTGTACGTGAAGATTACTAGTAAGGTGTTCAAAAGCTGGACTGATATGCTGGATAAGTATGTAATCAACTATCTATGATGAAGGATTATAGCAATATGAGATATGACAGCTGGTAGAGAATAAAAAGAGGACACAGAGGGCTTATAGGATGTACTAGGAGCAAAAGAACCAGTTTTGCTCCATCAGTTTACCAAATGCAACTCAGCCCATAATCTACGTATATCCACACTGTTTCCCTGACTGATTCAAGCTCTGAGCTTTAACTAACACAGCCAACTATGGGGTGCTGCCACCAAAGTGCATGAGAAGCACTTCTGCTAGAAAAAGCACAGGACAGCTACTGAGCTGGGAGAAAGATGGAGGACAGAACATGGAGACGTGGAGGAGACAGCGCAGACAGGTAGAGAGAAAGACACTCATTAGATGTGGGACTGATTCAGGCCCAAGGTTCAGAATGCTTTCCTAGGTCAGATTCCACCACTGTACAAACACAGTCTTAGTGTCTCTGAAAAGAAGTTAGACTTGAAATTTAATTATCTTGGTACAGCTCTACATAGTCAACTGCTTTTTCAGCCCAGGCCTTGATGCTCCAAATTCCAGAAACACAAGTATTCATCAAGACTGGCTTGCACAGCATCAGCTCTCACTGAAAGGTTTGCCCCAGCTATTGCTGTATTACAGTGACTGAAGTGGCTCTGCGATCTGAAGCAGTAATCCTTGCAGTTGCATACATTCCCAAATACTGGCTGTAGATAACTGGTATTACCCTGATTACAGCAGGATTATCTCAGCCTTGAGTGAGATGGATTTCTATAGGATAACAAGGCCTAAAGATAAAATGGCTTATAGTTTTATGCTATAAGATCTCACAATTTGAAGTAATTTCAGAAACAAAAGTATATAAAATTGTACCTTGGAGGACTTTTTAAAAATGCAAGTTATCCAAAGTAGAAAATAATATATTATAAACTACAATACTAAAACCTTACTTCAGCAAAATGTTCAAAGCATGAATGTCTTTAGTCTCATTGAAAAACACATTAGTTGTTCTAAAATTCTTTATATGCTTACCTTAGACAAGGTGCCATTTCTCCAGTTATTTGAGGTACAGGATCTCCAAGCAAAGTTTTTACAGTCATGCACACTGATTCACCCAATGATTTCAAGTGGTATCCACCCTAAAAAGTATTTTGTGTCAACTAAGGCACAAGTACTTTTAATATGTCTCTGAATTTCAACAGAGAAAAGAAACTATCCTTTTGAAATGTATCTGTATTTACAGAAACAGAACATGATATGCAAGTATATCTAAGTCAATGATTTTTCAGTACGAAAACAGTAACTTAGTGGCCAACTGCTGAACTTCACTGGCATCCCATGATTAGACTCACTTCATCATAGTTCAAGTAATGTCAGAAATTAGTCATTACTCTGCCATAAAAAAAATGCCTTCTCCATTCCCATCTACAACATGCCATCTTCAACAATCCTTGTGGAAGATTCCTGAGAAGGCAAATGCTGTCACTAGCCTCTAAAATGGCTGTACAAGAGAACTCGCCCACACTTTTAAGATGTGGTTGCCTAATAGTTTGGCAGAATCTGGAGAACAAGATGGATTTAATACTGGTAGGTGACATGCAGGAAGCCATCTATCACCTATGGAGCAGTCACACCACCTGTGCTAGGAGTGAATGCTTACTTGCACTTCAGCTAATAGACAAAAATGTCTATAATAACCTGCTAGAAGAAAGGTCATGCAAAACACAAGGTCAAGTGAATCAATTAATATACAATTCACTCTTGAAGACCTCATTAGCAGCAATATTTCCACACACTTATTTACCTGAAAAGCCACTATTTTTCTAACATGCAGCTGAAATAGGGGGTTGAAGTCTAGATTTCAAAAGGAGAAAACATTTTAATTGTTAAAAAAATAATAAAAAAGAGCTCCTAAGGAGCCTGCATACAATCATTAAACCAAAAAAGAGGGAATTTTCTTAGTGTTCCATTACTAAGTAAGAGTATATTTAGGTTAAAAGATTTTATAAAGTCTCCTGGACTAAGATACACTTGTAAAAACATTGGTATCAGAGCTTATTCACTAAATACATTTTAATGAGTTTGGGACTGTCAAGAGAAGTAGACTAATCACTGTTCACAAGAACTGAACAGTTCTGTGGAAGATATGTTTTTTTGAATGATGAGCATATGGCTCCTTTGTTTCAGAACTCTATAGTGTAAGAGCAGTGTAAAATCTTAAGTCATTTAAGTACTCCTGGTACTCAAAAGGAAGATAAAAATAAGAAATTATTTTGTTAAGCAGTTTCACTTCCTAGCTTCTAGTTTGCCCTAAATGCCTCTAACACAAAGACCTTTCCCCTAGGAGTACATTTCAAAAGTCTTTACCTCTAGGATGACACACAGCTTTCCATTAGCTAACTGCATCAGGAAATGGGTAAGGTGGGCAAAAACCTCAGGAGTGGCATTCATCTGACCCTAAACCAAAGAAAAAATTTTAAGACATGACACCTTGATTCAAAAACACTGGTAAGAAACTCAAACAAACAATCTGAAGTACCCAAGTCTGAGATAGAATACCAGAAGAGTTGCTTCTCGTTGTATCAAACAGAATGCTGAACCAACTTCATTTAAGGAATGTGAAAAAAACCAACAGAGTAATTACACAGATGGAATAACCTGTCTTTATATGTCTTGTTGTAATGTTTAATGAACTTGGGTCAGGCTAAAAATTCAAGCATGTGTTTTTACCTTGATCAAAGTGAATTTCACTTAGCAATCAGAAGACATTAAAACAGTAAGAGTATTTTCTTAATAGATTCATGACTGACAACACACAGACCACAAGTTACTTACCTCAGGGTCACCAATTCCAGAATCGTATCCAGAGGAGACAATAACCAGTTCAGGATCAAACTGTTATAAAAGAGAGATAGTTGCAGCACATCTTTATGTCCTACTTTCAATTTTGTACAGGCTTTCAACTGTACCATGATCAGCTGTTATTTCAATTTGAATATGAACACAAGTAAGGATTCTCCTTGAATACATTATCCTTTTACACTATTTTTGTATCTGCTGGAGAAGTTGCAGATGATTATGTTGACTATTTAAAAACTAAAATTCCATAAATACTATTCAGTTGATCAGGGGCAACGTCATACCAGCAGAATAAATATATTAACTATGCTACTGGCAATTACTGCATTTCTGTAAAATATTCAATGGTACCTGCTTAAGAAACACTTAGGAAGTGCTCTTTGGCAGTAAAAAATTACCTCAAAAGCCATTGGAAGCAACACATGGAAAAATGCAGCAAGATAATCTGAATTTCCCATCCCAACCTGAAAAAATATGAGAAACACGGGGCACATTTTCCAGCTGGAATGATATATTTTCTAAGGTTCTTCAAGACTTTAGGGAAAGATATGAGAAGTTAAAGATGAGGCAATCTTATGAAGTACAGTAAAAAATCCTCTATTTAAGTAAAGTGCATAAATATCCACCCTTTTTTATCTTAATGAGCTTCAGCTCTCTGCTAAACAAGGATGGACGTAACCACCTCCTGAAACACTTTTTGATTTGATGGCCAGACAAGACATTCAAGTAAAAATGAGTGTGTAAATTCTTCTCTCCCTTTTATTTTTTAGACATTATCACATTCTGAGCCATATTTTTCCAGCAGACCTTCCTGACAGGAAGGATATACACTGTGTAAGACATTTGCCAAGCAAGTGAAGCAGTGCGCTTACTCAAAGTGTCACCCAAAGGATGAGATACAAAGTTATTGCACTTGCTTTGCTGTATTGTAAACAATATTTACCTTATTCCAAGGCAAATTTACGTTAAAACCTTTTCCTTTTCCCAGACCTACAGCATCGTAATCGGATTCTCTGAGTGATGGCCAGAACTCCTGATGTTCATAGCGATGCCAAGAAAAGTACAAAACACTGGGAAAAAAAAAAATCGAATTTGACAAAAATGTTGAGGAAATGACTTTATATCCTCAACCTGATGACTGCATTGCCTGAAAACAAGAAAATAAAACTATCCTATACTTTCTCCTTAATTCTCTCAAAGGATTTAGACTGAAAACTGGTACAGTAGGTTCTATATCAAAATTAACCTAAAAATTAACATGCTAAAAATGTCTTGTAAGCATGCACTCTACACAGATAAAATACAAGGTTTTTTCAGAACAGCAGGCTTGTTTCTAGAACCTACTTATGTTGCTCTTCCAAAAAAAAAAAAAGTTCATATATTTTATCCAACTATTACTTGAAGACTTTAACTGAGAGATTCACGAACAGAGAATAGATGTATTACCACAGTAGTGGCAAACCAAGGTAATTACATTACTTACTTTGTTTATTATTCTTTAAAGTAGAACAGATTTACATTTTATTTTGATTTAGATATTTCCTTCTATTTTGTAACAAATGAAAACCAGAGAGACTAAAATAGCAAGGTGAATGTTTCACAAGACTCTAGTTTTAGAAGTTTAAGAAATCTTATTCTCTAGAAGGGCAAGCAATCTTTAAACAGCTGACATTAAACAAGAAAAAAAATCATTCAAACCTTGGATCTTCTTCAAATATATATTGAGTTCCTTGCCCGTGGTGCACATCCCAGTCAACAATTAGGATTCTGTACAGATCAGTAAAAGAAAACAGAGGAAGAGCCACAACATCTTAATCTACAGAAGGTTTAAAAGAAAAATGTTTTTTCTGAATCAAAAGGAACATGACACCCAGAAAGCTCTAGACATTAATATAAACTAGTACAATGTCAAACTGTTTACATACTAGAGTCAACCATGCACTTACCTCTGCAGACCATATTTCAGTTTTGCATATTCTGCTGCAATAGCAACGTTGTTGAACAAACAAAACCCGTTAGCTGCATTTCTCTGGCTGTGGTGACCTGGAGGTCTGAACCAAAATTTTATAAATTATTCACAACAGAAGGAATTTTGCTAAGTGAAAACTTCCTCATATATTTTCTTACCTGACTAACGCCATTCCATTGTGCACTTTTCCTGCCATCACAGCATCTACCAGCTGCAACGCTGCTCCTACTGCTAGCCTGGCACAGCGGTAAGTGCTCTGAGAAAGAGAAACTCATCAGCTTCAACACGGCACCCACGCCATGCTTTAGCATCCCAACAGCAAACTGGCTTGACAGAATTCTACCCCACTGAAGCTATATGAAAATATCTGAAACAGAACTTTACAACCCAGGTTCCAATGTGCTTTCCCCTATGACTACCAGTGATCACCATAATCTTTATAAGGACGCTCTCTGTGGAGCAGTTAAAAATGTGAGATGGATGTATTGAGTGGAATAACATGGCATCTTTGAAAATAAGGAATGAAACCGTACAGAAACATAACAGAAAACTTCATCTCAATTTCATGGCACAACATTTAAGAGCAATTGTTACCAAAGTGTGATTTGAGGTTATTAATGGTCTACAGTGACAAAAATAGACAGTGACAAATTAAGTGACAAAAATAGAGCTAAAATTTGAGTAGTGCATTATACTGGTATTATACAATTACAAAATAGATGACAGAACACTTGAGCAATTTAAATTACAGCATTCTACTAAACTAGAAACAGAAAATGACAATATCATAAATAAACATGAGACTACATAAGTAGCAAAAAAAAGTATTTTTAATTTTTCCCCTTCTTAGAAAAATGCCAGTCTGGTGCAGTAACACAAATAGTTTTAACTCCCAACAGAGGAAGCGGTTTAACTTACACACCGGATGAAAGAAAAAAGCATCGTAATTTTTGGAGACCCTTTTCAGCTCCTCTTCATTCATTGTCTGAGTGCTTTTTGCCACTTCCAAGTGCTCTAAACTGCAGGAGAAAGAGATTAACACAACACTTAAATAAGCAACTATAAATATTTTTTAGAAGTTTACTTGTATTCCTATGTATAAATCAGCATTCATTGCTTCAGACCCCACAGAGTGAGAATGTAGATTTAAGGGAATAGCAGATTCATAATTCAGCACTCAACATTGTGACACATTTTCCATTGAAATTAATGGAAGCCATTGAATTTTTGAACACTCTTTTCAAATAGATCAAAATATAATCTGGAGGTATGAGATCTGCTGTTTCATTGAATTAATCTAAATGAAATTCAGTTTCAGACCTGTGAACCAACAGGATCTCCTCCTCGCTTCCTTCTCTGGCAGGCACAGGGACACACCTCTCCACAAGATGGTAACTTCTAAGCTGCTCATAGGAGGAGGAAAGTCTTTCTGGCACTTCAATATCACAAATGGGACTAAAAATAAACAATAATTATATTACTGTAATACTATACCAACATAAGTACCTAATACACTTCATAAAGCCTAGCTTTTAACTCCCCATTTTAAGCAAATTCATTACCCTAAAAGAGAGATACATCAGAGTAAAAATGGGAAAAAAATCTTTAAGAATTTTCTGTTTCGGAACTGAGTCAGAAATTGATTCTAAAATATGTAAGCAAAAACGAATCTTAATAAAACCCTAAACAAATAATACAATAGCATCATTTTTTTCTTTCTTCTCTCACTGGTAAAAAGTTGCAATGCTTAGCTACAGACACGGGAATGCTGCAATTAAAAGCTGTAGGTTACAATGAAGGTGAACAGAGTAGAAGCAGGTGTGGGAGAGAAGACAACAATGGACTGTTACTTTGAGCACTGCAAAGGAACTCTTCTAATTTATACCAATTTAAGTAATATACAAATTTCTAACTGAATGAAATTGGCATATTTCAGCTGAGTGAGTATATCTACACACTTTTCCAAGGTCAATGATACTTTAATTTTATAAACAATTTAATTAGCTTAAGACACATTATTTAGAGGGCTACTGAGACGTCCCATCCTAACAAGTCTTTTTAAGGTCTCCCAGACTGGATGCCGGTAGCTTCTCAAATCCAGTTTCAGATAATCATTACAGTATCTAGACACAAATTGTGAATAAAATATTTTTTTTTCCTCTTAGAGTTAAGACTTTCTTTTTACTTGGAAATTACAGGAAGTACCACCAGCTACTTCCTATTACATCTACAAAAAATGCATTTATTTGGTAGTGCTGTCACAACTCCTAATAAGAATCCAATAATAAAAACGATAGCAGTGACTTACTCACTCCAAAGTAGTTTGTGAGTGGTCATCTCCTCATCATAAATCAGCGCTGTTCCTGAAGCCATTGCTACAACCAAACAGAACAAGAACACCAAGACACTTATTTCACATCAAAAGTAAACTTAAACCAGTTACTATTACAATAGATTGTCAGAATTTAAGTACAGAGCGTACGTGCTAGCATGACGATTTTGTACTTTACACTTTGTACTTATAGAATTTACAGAGGGAAATCAAATAAGAACATTAAGGACTCAGATTCTGACAAAGCTGCGCGCGCCGAAACGGGGAGCGGGCGGGCAGGGCTCACAAGGGCCGGGCAGGGCTCACAAGCGCCGGGCAGGGCTCACAAGGGCCGGGCAGGGCTCACAAGGGCCGGGCAGGGCTCACAAGGGCCGGGCAGGGCTCACAAGGGCCGGGCAGGGCTCACAAGGGCCGGGCAGGGCTCACAAGCGCCGGGCAGGGCTCACAAGCGCCGGGCAGGGCTCACAAGGGCCGGGCAGGGCTCACAAGCGCCGGGCGGCGGAGGCGCCGAGCACAGGCCGCCTCCTCCCCCACGGCACTCAGCCTTACCTGCGCGGCGAGGCCGAGCAGCCGCGGGGGAGAACCTCAGCTACAAAGGCACAAATAGGAACAACAGGATTTCGTACACCATGCGCACAGCAGGGGTCTGTTTGGTTTAGAACTTCATTGGTCTTTCACAAACCCCAGAGAGACGTTGAAGAGAGATAAATAAGCCGACGGGCAGACAACGCATGCGAGCGCCCCGCCGGCCGCGGGGCCGCGTACCCCGGGCCCCGGGTGCGCTCCGCTCCGCCGCTCGGCCCCGGCGCCCGGCAGCGCCTCACGGGACCAGCGCGGCCCCGCCCGGCGGCGCCTTCCGAGGGCGGGGAGGGCGCGGGGGCGGCCCGGGCCCGGCTGTGGGCGCGCCGAGCGCAGCCCCGCCCCGGGCGCGCCGGCAGCGCCCTTTGAGGCGCGGGTCGAATCGTGCTTGGGTCGCGCTGCGGAGCTCCGCGGCCCGGGCAGGCGCGGCCACAGGGCCGTGCCCGGGGAGTGCAACCTCTGGAAGGGTTTTAGCGTGAACATTTAGCGTGGAACTGACCCAAAAGCAAAGCAACCCCCAGCCCCGGGCTGTGCGGCATCTACTGGCATAATGAAAAATAAAGTAAGAGCCTGGGCTACAGAGGTGACTTCTCCGTTTCCGCAGTGATGCACCCGGGCGCTGGTGCCTCTCCGGCTCGTCCAGCCGGCACGTGTGTGTACACAGCTTCTCGATTATTGACCGCTTCTTTCCTCGGTTTCCACCACTTTCCCAGTTCATGGTAGAAAGTGGTGGAACAGATGTCATCACATTCAATAAAGTGATACAAACCTGCACTTCTGGGGAATGTATCAGAAACCCAGGTCATTACAGGTGCGAATTCTAGAAATCTACTGCCCATAAACTTTCCTCGTATTTGTTTCAAGAAAATATAATAATAGACATTGTAGTATTGAAATAGTTTCTAATTTATGTGTTGCCAGCTGTTACTGTGTTTATTATACACATTTATGAAACTAAAATTAAGTCAATTTCTGTCCATCCTCGTAGTCTTTAATGTCAGTGTATTGCACTGACCATGAGGATGCTAATCATGTGCCTAATGGGGTTTTTTGTTTGTTTGTTTGTTTGTTTGTTTTTTTTATATTTTGACTCCATTAGTTCCCTGCAGACCATTTGGAGAACGGGTAAATTTTATAAATTAACTTTTGTAACGTGTTTGAAAATGAAAAGGGACTTTTCAGTAGCAGGGATCTGATTCATGACACCCAGTAACTAAATATTCTTACGACTGGGGCCAAACATACCGGGTTAATTATTCTTCTCTTTATTCCGCTCTGATTCCGGCAAAAGCGACCAGCAGAGGGCTGTCTCCTTTCAAAATACTCCAGCGGGAGACAATGAGGTGGATTCATGAAACATTAGGCAAGGGAAAGGTTAGGTAACTGGAGAAAATGGTAGAGCAAGTGGTATAGACAAATACACTGAAAGCAGTTAGCTGGATTTGAAACTGGTTTATGCTGTTTTTTGCACATATTACATTTTTAAAAATCATAACTCAAAGAAGCATTTATCCCTAGCTGTCCAAGTTCAAACAGGATGAGCTGTAACACTACCAAAAGGAAGCTTGATAATAATGTGGTTTGAGTTCAACTTACAATACAATTTAAAAGGAAATGAAAGCTTTATAGTCAACTTATAATACATTCCTATTTACAAGATAGGTTTGGCATGAGAAATATAATAATCTTTTTACAAATAATATGATAAATATTTACAAGCATTTATGGTATCTCCACTTCTGAGTGGCCAAAGTCAGCTGGGAGTCCTTCCTCTGCCAGCGATAAATCTGTTTTACTAAAATGATGCCCTCTTCAATATTCCCCACAAGGAGATACACCATGGGACGGTGGGTTGGATTCATCCTCTCTATGCATTTTTCATTAATTAGCAGCCACTGTTGTATCATGCTCTGAGTTTCATAGGGCAAGAGTGAGCCCTGGGTTATGAATTCCACCTGGCATTCAATGTTATACTCTTGGTCCTCAAGTGCTGTTTTCTTCTTGGACAGCTTTACTTTCACTGCTAAGGAAAAAGGAAAAGGAAATGCAAGTCAGACCATTTTTCAAATGCAATAAAAAATAATACAGTGAAAACAGAAAAATTCCTTTAAAATATGATATAATTTATGTTGACAGAATATGGTGAAGCCTTTTCCAGCCAAAGTTTAAAACATTTTTGAAAAATAAATTTTACGTAGTAAAGGGTTGTTTTTTTTTTCCATTGAATTAGGTGACTAGGAAAAAATATTTTCACAAGTATGAGTAATTTATTTTTACCATCACCATATTATGTCAAACTTCAAGTAATTACATGTTGTAAGCTTTTGGTCTTATTCTTGTATCACAAAACTGCCCACCAACTGCCCAAGCAATCTTCCTGAAACTCACCTTGTCCATGTGTGGAATCCCTAGGCAAAAATGGTTTACTGATACCACCCTTTTAGATATTCCCTTCTCATTATAGACATCTACCTAACCCACCTGACTCATCCACACTTTTTAGCATGACATTTGTCTGTATTTCTTGATCTAATGCTAGCCAAAGTCGCTGGAAGTCTCTGCAGTCCCATTAAAGGGCTTTCCAGGAAGTCTCTAGGGCAAACTCCACTCATCACTCCAACAAGACAACAGGAGATAAGAATTCCTTCTACTGATATGATTTTCTGAATCTCCTTCTCAGTAAGTTTGGTATCACAAAAAAACTCATTCAGAAAAGTAGCAAAGATACACCATATACTTGTAAAACAACAAAGCTTTACTTTCAGTTTAAATGCTAATAAAAGGCAAACTTGCTTATTTGGCTGCTTTTAGCAGAAATATTTTCCATAAAGCATGTTGTAGCCAACTAGACCAGAACAGATATTTGGTTGGAAACTAGATCATTGATAAATCTTTAATGCACAATAAATCCTCCTTATATTTAGATTAGAAATAACTTATTCTGAAAACCAACCTAAAGCTAAGTTAGCAGCTAAACTCTTAATCCTTTGAAATCCCTGCAGAAACTGTCACTAATTGTAATCCTACTTTTAAAGCATTTACAAGAAGAGTTGTTAGTCTCTTTTACACCAGGTATATTAGCAAGGACTTACCAAAGTTACTGTCACAGAAAACTTCAAGAACTCTTTTGTGTGTAAAGAATTCTTCCACTGCTGGACAAGTCTGGCAGGTAGGCTTTGGTAGGACTGATAAGAAATTACAAAGTCTCATTGTTATCTTTTAGAATAATTTGTTTTAATTTTCTGCTGCCAAAGCTGAGAGCCCACTGTTTAACCACACGAATGACAGCCAAAATACACATCAAATACAGAGCCAGTGATAATAGGTAAAAAGCCAACACATTTCTCTGAAAACAAGGCTAGAGATGAAAAGGAGTTTCATTTTCCATGCCCATTCAGCCCTTGTTCTGGCTGACAAGATCAATTATCAGCAACAAATGAGGTAACAAATACAGTATAATTTTTCACACAACTAGAGTGGGTGTAAGGGGTTAGGTGGCTGATTCTGTCAGTCACTCTGGGTTCAGCTGTGCCAAGCCTGTGAATATACATGAATTTGGGTGTGCTAGCAGCAACTTAATCTTGCTCTTTTCCACAGAGGTACTAAGTGTGAGTGCATTTGAAGATTTGAACATTAATGCCAAGATAACTAATGCTTCTTTAAGGAAAATCAGATAACATCATCCCAATTTTACTAAACTGATCTGAAAACTAGCTTGTTGTATACATAAATGCATCTGTGATAAGGGCCATTGATAAGTCTATAAAGAGACCTCAAAGCAATTCAAACACGGTGTGCTGCTGTGTGTAGGGCACTGTGCAGGGTGATAAGTGCTTCCTCCGTCCCACAGCACAGCCTCTGCACTGCTGACTTGCAGCGCTGCAGGTCTGCTGCATGAACACGTGCAGAGCAAAGCTAGCCTCGACTGCACTGACAGACCCACAGAAATGTCTGGGAACAGAGTGCCCAGGATCTCCTCGATTCCCAGGAACACAGGTATGGCCGCCCTCCCCTCCGCCACCTTGGAGCTACCTTTGTGCAAGTGTTTGTAGTCCCTGGTGAGAGGCGCCAGGCACATGTCCTCGTCTGCAGGGAATCGGTCGCAGGCCAGGCTGGCCGGCCAGCGGTGTCCGCGGCACAGGAGCGCGGGGGCGCAGCTGTCACGGACAGCGGCACACATACTCCTGCAGGGATGGATGAACCTGTCGTGGGAGCAATATCGGCTGAGTCAGCTAGCTCAGCGATAACAGAAACTATCGCAACAGTGATTTCTGTGCCAAGTACATCATCTTTGCCGACATTTAACATCCTTCGATAATAATACAATTCCAGAAGCAGCAGCCGTGCAAATTATGCGAGCAGTCTGTGTAAGGACTGAGCTTACAATGTTTAGTTATGATTTGAAAAATGCGTTTATGGCAATCTGAGAAAACCTTCAGTATGAGCCTGATTCTATTCACTGTAGGTGCTTCAACCCTAAATGAATAAGAATAAAGTTCAGCTGTAACAAAATAAAACATTATATCCCTTGACAACACCATTCATGTTCCCAAGGCAAACTAAAATTGAAGTAGAACAAGTTTTCAGTACTTTTTTTTCTGATGAATACAAAAAAGCTAACAGAATTACTTCAGAAAAAGTGGAGATCACCTTTAGATTATAATAAACATGCATTTGATTTCATTCCTGTTCTAGCAAATAAAGGCTGGAGTTTTGTACTGTGCTGTGATACTTACGTATCTAAGCAGATGGGTGCAAACAGGGAGCACAGGAACGTCCTCAGGTGAGGGTGACAGTCTGTGTGTACAAGGTGCTGCCAGGTGGTGGATTTTAGGATAACCTCTGCCATGCTTGTGTGTCCCATCAGGTTGGGAAGTCTCATTTCAGAGTATCCAATATTGTGGCACATGCCCATCTCCTTGGGTATCACTACACATTTCGTGGATAATCCAATGTCCAAAGCTGTTGCCAATCTTTGGAAAAAATTCACGGCAAAAAGAAGTATTTTTGCAGTCAATAACATCTTCCAGTGACTTCTGGGCTGTTGAACAGGGAGCTGTCAAACCGCTCAAGTGCAGAGGCATGCTGAAAACCTTGTGGCTTATATATCCCAAGAGCTTAATGAACTGTTGGTTATCAACTGCTTATCAAATCACTGAGACAAGACCAGGTCTTATTGCCTAATGAATGGATTGTTGTGACAGCCAGGGAGGTGGAGAAAAAGTATAGCTGTATGTTCCCCAAGGACACTGATTTGGGTCCCACGGTGTCAGTGGCTGCAGTATGCTATGTAGCATATTAAACTTTGACACCTGGAAGGTTCACCGTGCTTTCAAAAACAAATTAAGAGATCCCCCAGAAACAGGGTTGGGCAGACATGCCGTCTCCTGGGGCTTCTGTGTCTCCTTTGTTTTCAGACACTGCTGACGTGACAGAAAAAACCAGCCCAGATTGACTTATCAAGTGAAAATGTTTTGCTTGTGCTAATGGCCCATGTCTCTTCCACTGTTTTACAATGGAGAAGAGGCACTTTCTTTTGTCAAGCACTGTAAAAGAGACAGACGTCCGCTATTAACCAAGTATTTTGACTGGAAATTTGGATTCCTATTCTGTGACATGCTAAAGGCCTCAACTTTTATTAATTTTAATAGATGCCTGAAAATACAGAATTGAATTTGTAGCACTGTTGTGATTATCAGTATTTATTCAGGAAAAGAGCAGTTACACATTTTTATTATTTTGAATAAAGCGGTCTACATTTAAAAATGCTCAAGTAATGCAGCATTTCAACTATTTATTAATAAATTATGATTGCATTAAAGTGTATGAAAGCAAATGATACCAGATTGTGTACATTTTCTGTTCATAGCACAAAAAAACTGTGTTATCACTCTTAGTGCAGCTCTTTGCTATAGAGAATTTGGGAACCAATCAAGATGAAAGAGGACCCATCTCAGTAATGCATAGCTTACCTATTATGAATAGGGAAGTCAGATTATGAGTTTTAGAAGCTGAAGATCTAAACAAAGCATCTTGTTGAGATTTTTTTATTTGATGAAAATACTTTTTCTCCAATTAGTTATGTGTGTTACTTTTTATTTCCACACCTGGTTATATGATTTATTAGCAGAAATGTTTAGCTATTAATAATTTGTTTTTGGATCTACTGTAAAATATGTCTTGGGTATTAGGCTAAAATAAGTATGTTCATAATAGTCTATCATCTAGTATTACTGATGCTTGATTGAAATACATTTTTTTAGAAACTATAGCTTTTTGTCCTTATACTGAGATTTAGCACACTTAGACAATGCATCACACATAATTTACATGTTTATACTTAAAGGTTAGGTTACTAATCCTAGCATCTTTGAAACCAAAGACAACCCCCTACTGATTTGTCCTTAGCTGCCTTCTTTACTCCAAACTCCTAGTAAAATTACAGTATCTGTTTAAATAAGTAGAAAAAAATGACAGCATGCAAGGTCCCAGCAACTAAAAATGTATTTAAAACAATTGTCAGTTTTTCTTCTCATGCTTTGTTGCCAGACTTGGTGTTTTTTCCCAGCAACTGTGGCTCCTCTGTATCCCTTACCTCACCCCAAAGCAGAGGAACTGAATACCTAAACAGGCTGTCTTAAGCCTGATGATAGCTTCCCTTTGACAGGTGCTCCAGGCATTTCTTAGGAAGTTAGAGCCTGCAGTAAAAGTTCCATCCTTGCTAAATCTATGCAGGTATGTCTGCAGGCCACACTTTCACACAGCTGCTCTTGCTACCATTGCACAGTGAAACGACTTCACAAAGTTGCTTAACCCAAGAAGGGGCAGGTCCAGGCTGAGCCAGCTACACAGCCCTTTGTCTTGTAATTTTATGAAATTAATCAAATTCCTCTGTCTCCAGTGATAGTCTTCTGTAATACTTCTCTCATCTGATTGCTATCTGAAAGTAGCTGGCAATATCTCTGTGTAAGAAGCCTTTCTCTTGCATGTGGAGCATGGTATTACATGCAGATTTCTAAATTATTTCTATTACATGCAGATTTCTAAAACCTAGAGTATTTAAGAAAGAGTATTATAAGAGTATTATAAGAAAGAGTATTTGGTCTCTGAATTATTTAGATGTTTGTCTCTCTGTTTTTCTCAGTGACTGTTTCACAACCTATAAGAAAACTTGATTCATCTTAAAACCTGACTCAGCGTTGTTAGTCCAGCTAAGGAAGGGTTGCTGAGTCTCTAGCTGTGCCCTTGGTGCTGCTCTGCAGGAGGAGGGTGGCTGTGCCCTTCCAGGAGCCTTAAACCAGCCCATGCCTCAGTTGTGCTGGGCTGAGCTCTGGCTGTACCCAAAACCTTGGGTGCTGATTTGAGAGGTCCCCTGAATCACGACTGATGGACAGAACAGAAGCAAGCATAATGAGAGCCTGTGAGACAAAGATCATCTAACATACCTATCCTGGCAAACTTAGTCTCCATAGGAACTGTCTTAGAAATAAATAATTGTGTATCTCTGAGTCAGTTTCCTGCCAGGCTTCCCAGGGAGGAGGTGATTTATGAGCCACTGCAGAGCTGTGCTTTAAAGTTTCTTTTAGCCTCTTAGAGGCATCCAGCTATCGTTTGATGCTTTGGTTTTGGAGAGCTGACTTTTGGTAAACTCAAGGGCTGAAGAATTGCCACCAGTTTCAAGAGGAAAATATGCCTAAATGCTATTGCTGGATGCCATGACTGTACTGGGTCCAAGGGTGGTTCTGAAGCAAGATTATTAACCATAATTCAGTAATTTTTGATAGCCACCTTCTGTCAGGAAAGAGAATAATTTATGGGAGCTTCTGATTTTCTTCTGGAAGTGACTTGGTTCAAGTAGGTCAAATTTCTTACCCTGTGTTATTTTCAGTGTCATAATTTATTAAGGAATGTACCAATTTGATATCCTTTTCACTCCTGGGTCACTTTTAAGTAAGGGACAGGGCTTTGGTTCTGGCTCAATTATTTTGATGTTCTTCATGAGCAGATGTTACCTTTGAACTTGGTTTGACAGGAAGCCTTTATAATTTTAATTTTAGCAGGACTTGCAGAACAGTTATTAAAAGTGAGCATGCAGAATAGATTGCCATTGGTTGGAGAGTGCTAAAGGTCCGCAGATGTTGGCAGAAGCATAACCTGCAGCACCTATATTGCTGTGCCATAAATTCTCCATTTCTTTGCAAACACTCAGCTGCTCATAGTGGGGAAAAAACATCAACCAAATATACAAACAGATTGATTTTTGTGAACACAGTAAACTGTTTTACTGTTGCCACACTATCACAAACATTCAAACTGCACAAAAACTGGTTTGTATTGGCTCAGTATTTCTGTTTGTAGTGATATATGTCTGTAGAGGGTGCTTGAACAAAGACTGACCGAAGTGAAAAAAAAAAGGATTATCATGGCAATTGCAGTGCCTGCATACAGTTAGAGATCTCAAAATCTGGAGTCCAGTATTGCTCTTTGAGACTTCTGAAGAAAGCCGTGTGGTGGTTCCCTTAGCCACAGGCTGTATTTACTGTTCCTGGATATGAGCAAAGGACACCTGCTGATGGAGCGTGATAAGAGGAGCAGTGGCTCCCTCCCTGCCCACCTCTGTGTCCTCTCCTTTGACTGTTACCAGGGAGACAGACAGAGATTAACCAGGAGCCACCCATCAGAGCCCAGTAAGAAACAGGATTGAAATTTTCTTCAAAGAAAGCAGGGGGTTGAGAGCAAATTTGCAGATGTAAGGATTTTTTTTTGTTTCAATCTAGACATTTGTTGCAATATTTGGCTGGAGTCATTTTTAACTGGAGTCAATTGCAGAGATGCAAGGCTCCCAGACAAAGATCAAAGCAAGAAGGCAGCAGAGAGGTGGTCCTTGTTCTGATGAAAGCTTTGCTGAACTAACATCTTTAGTCTGCAGTGCAGGGTTTATTTAATAACATTTCCTTTGCTTTATTAAAAAAATAATTAGGCCACATGTGGTATTTGTAAAACAGCAAAGATAGAATCATGGATGCCCTGGAATGCCTTTGAAAAAGCCCCATTGATTTATTTGTCACAATGGCTTTAGCATTGGTTCAATTTTTAAAGGACAGAAATACTATATTTCCTTATAAATCTGTAATGGAAATTGTTTCAGGCTCACTGCTTTGGCATGTTCTGCACTGCCCTTTCTACTGTCAGCTGATTAACTGAGAGGAAAGTTTGTTTTAACAGTGAAAGAGAAATGAGATGCTTTGGGTGACCCAAACCTAGTTTCTGACTGCCACATTTCTTCGGGAACCCTATTGCACTGTCCTCCTGCACACACAGATTGTCCTGGTTAACAATGGTGGGGGGATGCTGGAGTTAAACATGTTCAAATATGAAGTATTCAGATGCTAAAAGAGTGCGGAGAGGGCACATAAATACCCACACAGATCCCAGTGTATCACTCAGAGCACAAGGGTGTTGAATACTATACAAAGACTGGGTAAGTAGCATTTTCTAAGTAGGCCAAGTCAGCCAGGGCCAAAAAAAGGATAGAAGGAGATGAGGTGACTTGCTAACCAGCTAGCAGCTGGCACAAGCGTACAAATCTGGGCTTTGACATCACAGTGTTCATTGACCATGCAGCTTCTGGAGGTCCTGCCCAGCAATATTTTCTCAATGCAGAGCAGGACAGTCTGTGTGAAGTGATTTTAGAGGAAGAACTGAAATCCAATACTGACTTACTAGTGGCACAATCACAAAATTGCATTAGGCCATGTCCCAGGTGCTGCATATCAGGGCCTTAAGGTGAACACCACATTGTTAAATGCTGTGTGAAGCTGTTTGCTTTCAAGGTGGATGAAAACAGGAAAGAAATGCTGGTTGTTTAAAAAGTGGACTTTTGTTTTTAAGCCATAAAAACCATGGCAATAATGTTGGTTTTGCTCCAGAGGTAAGCAAATTCCAAATAAGGGCTTTCAGGTGGGAGCAAAAGACAGTCTATCTGAATTTAAGTACTAGTGATCATGTACCAGATGAGCACCTTCCACAAACAGTTGGTAGTAATAGCCATTCTTCTCTGTTCTCCCCCAGGTAGAAAAAAAAATTAAATGTCTTAGGGTATTTTTATTCCTTGGGTGGTATTGGTTTGCTGCTTTGACTAATATCTTTCTTTTTAGTCTTGAGTCAGCTTTACTGGATTTCAATTTCGTTTGGCTCTGATTTAATTTTGTGAAAGAAGGACTATTTGACAATTGGAGTATCATATATTTCAGGCACACTTTCTGGCACAGAAAAGCTCCTCTTTTCTTTTAGACTTAGGCAGCTTTTGCAGTCTTTTGGCAACTGGGCTGATGCTGGTTTTCCCTCTAATAAATTCCTATCGTAGCTGTGTCTCCTGTCATGCATTTTCTGTCACAAACAGCTCCAAATGAAATAAAAAGCGAAGTTAAACACAGAGCTCACTGAATTCTGTCTAAACCTCTGTGAACATAAGGGGGTACAAGTAGGCTCGAACTCTTTCA